ACAGACTTTAATACAGAGATTTTTGTTATAAAATTTTAGACATAGATTACTCACTTGTTTTTCTATGATGTGCTAGCGTTTATTGTTTACAAAAAGTCCAAAACAACCTTTAAATTCCAAAAAAACTTGTGCTGAGTCACTAATGTCGAGTGCACCCTAGAAGGTGTACTTGAATTTGTCCATATTTATATTTGTTTTAACCAATATCTAAATTTATAAACTTGTTTTAAGGAAATTATTACTAGCACTGCATGCAATAATCTTCTATCTATCAAGCACCGAATTGTCAAATATGAGAGTACAAGGGGAAAGGCTGTGGATTTTCTATAAAATTTCCATATGTTTAGCATTGAATCAACACAAGGGTACATAATCCTTAAACCTCTTTCACAACTAAGTTTATTTTGGTATCTTCTGGAGGAATGAAAAAAGTGCACTGCTAAATCCTGTTAAGTTTTTAATTTTCTAAAACATCAAATATATTTGAATTTTATTTATCTAAGGCATGATATGCCTTAAAACTTTTCCAGATACACAGGTTAATCTGTACGCAAGAGTACATTTTGAGGTGAAAATGCAGCCATTTTAGCAAAAGGGTCCACAAACAACAAAATGGTACATACTCCATAAAGGGAGGTTATCCAAAATTATATTTTGTGTATATTGAGACTATTTTATTATTGGAGTGTACGACATGGTGTCTCATGAAAGGGAGGTTATAACATTATTGATTGATTGGTTGATTGGTGTTTAACGCCACTTTCAACACTATTGTGCTATTTCGTGGCGGTCAGTTTTTAATGGTGGAGAAGCCAGAGTACCCGGAGAAAACCGCCACCTTCGGTAGGAAAACTATTTAAGATTGGAGTCGAGTGCACCTGCACCGTGCGGGGTTATAACATTAATATTTTGGACAACAAAATCATTTATATTTATTTCATTGATAATAACAAACATATATTATAAGTGATTGTCAATACTTTACTTAATTTAAACAGTATTATATGGTAAAATTAACATATTTGACTTTAATGATTTATAAATTACCTTATGATAACATACATATGTTTGTTTGATATATAAAATACTTAACTGCCTTACAAAATATTTTTAGTTATAAATATAAAAAAGTGCATGCTTCATTCGTGTGTATTGTACTGTTGTACTGTAGATGAGAATTATTTGATGCAGCATTTCAGGGTTTTACTTTTCACGAACGATATTTCAAAGATTCCAGAAACGCTCAAAATTTCATGGCGCACGATTCCTCAGAGAAGACATACTTTGATTAGGAAATATTGTCATAGATATAAATTCAGTAAAATATTGTCATAGACAGAAGTTCAGTAAAATATTATCCAATAGAACTTGACAAAATTCCATAGAGAATAATGTATATTGTCCTGGAAAGTATTTCATTATATAATTATATGTAGACTATTGTTCTATGAAATTTTGTCCGGAGAACAATATTTCATTGGGGACATTTTTTTATGTTGCATAAACATGGCCATTTACACCAAACAGCCAAAAGGTTACGGTTATATCAACTTGTTATTTGCACTTATCAATAAATTACCATAATTCCAAAATAATTTCATTCGCACTATTAACGAGTTATACCCCTTTTGTGATAAAATCTGTTTATCAAGTTATTTACACCATATTTTTTTAACAAATCACGGTTGATTATAACTTTTTCGACAAACTTGGCTATGTTAACACAAAAGTAATTTTCGTACAACCATGGAAGTAATATTAGTTTGACAATAATTTGACATTTTCAGTATATGGTTAACTTACTCAAACAAGACCTGATCTTACTGCAACAAAGATGTTTTCTATCGCACGGACTTAGTAAAGGCGCGAAATCAGGTGCACCTAAGTAAGCCAATCAAAACAGGTTCAATGTTTGCCACCTGTTGCACGGTTTCAAAAACAAACTTAAATCTAAAACAAGTTTTGTATTCGTGAAAATATGTGAAATTATCATGTTTCGAAACACTTCTAATACTGTCTAAACTATAACATGAACTAGTTATTCCGAGTTTGACATTCAGTTGTGAGGAAATTCTATGTTTGCTATACATTATGTACCATATAGTTCTCAAACAGACATTACCACTTTATGTATAATTTATTTTCGTAAATGTTCAGTATCAATTTGCTTTTTGATGCCAAGATTTGTAAAATTGCAAAAAAAACATCGAAACAGAGTGTCAATGCTAACATACAGTTTTATTTATAATGAAAATTTAAGGTTAACTGATTGGTTATTAAATCGTTTTTGCAGGCATTTTTTGGGGTAAAAAATAAATCGACCATATTCCGACTGGGGGAGCACTTCGATCCTTTTGTGGTAGGGATGAGCAGCTGAAACACCCAGTACCCCTACCTTTTTCGTATTTTTTGGATATCAAAAATGCATACCTTATCAAAATGGACTCTTAATTGTTATCTAATATTGTGAAATTCGATTTGATTAATACATGTATCATTGTTTAAATATAACCTGCAGAAAATTTCCATGGAAAAAATATTATCGTGTGTAGACAAGAAGGGGAGGGGTAAAGTAAGCTATACATCTACAAATGATAGCTGTTAGGCGAAATTGGGGATACTTTAAATTGCTTACTTGTACTTTTTACTGAGAGGAAGTCAACTAATTTGCCACATCTGAAATATTTGTTATCTTGTGACCTCAAAAGAATCCATTTGCAGTATTTTGATAAATTAATTAAAATGTTAAAGAGAGATGGCCAATTTATATATACCTATTGTTAAAGTATAAGAGCTATTTTTCTTGGCGTTTTCAAATGTGGTTGCAATATTTTTGGAAATTCCTGTTAACTTTAATGAACCACTTCCTTATCAACCATATAAAAGAAATAATTTGCCAGTTCAAAACACTAAATGGTATATCAGCTTTTCAACGATTTCATGATGTAAAATGTTAATATAAAAATAAAGAGATATGGTATAAATGCCAACGAGACAGCTACTGATCAGGGACTAGATGACGAAAATGTAAACAACCATAGGGTACTGTACTGTCTTCAACAATGAGCAAAACCCATACATTATTGTAAGCTACAATAATTCCCGGCATGACAAATGTGAAACACTTCATACGAGAAAAACAACAGACTGAATTATGCTAAAAACAACTAACGAAAAACAAATAGGGAAGACAACAACTTACGATAACCACTGAATTACAGGCTCGTGACTTGGGACAGGCACATAAAGAATGTGGCGGGGTTAAACATGTTTGTGAGCGCTTAACCCTCCCCGAACATGTGACAGTGGTAAAACAGCACAACATACGAACAAACAGCACAACATACGAACAGACTATCAAAATTAGTTGGAAAGGGCTTTACTGATCAGATCGGTATTATTAATCATACAAAATAACCTTACAAAAAGCCAAAATTACAAGGTTAACCAGGTACCGATCTAAAAGTATTTAAAGTTACTGAATGCTAGTTCAAAACCGATTTCAACTAATAAATAAATCATGTTCTCTGCTGTTTAGATACAAAGAGATCCGTCTTCTGTTATCCCCTCCAGCTCAGCAATCAATCCATTCATTTTTTTGCCGCAAAAAAACGAAAGCAAAGAACTGAACATTTAAAATCATCTTATAGTATTATTGTTTTTATTACACCAGTATTATACATTGCATTCCTATACTGTATTGTTTGTATATATGCTGATATAACTGAATTATGATTGTATCATTGTCATAACCCCCGATGGACCTTAATTAGAATAAACATATTGCATTGCTGTATTGTATTATACAATTATAGCCTTTGTATGAGGTCGATGCGAGGTTATATCTCTTATATCGACCTAAGAGAAGTAAATATTAACTGAGGACGAAGTCCGAGGTCGATATACCATCGTATGGACCTCAACCAAAGGCTACAATTGTTATATTATTAATCAACTACTAGTGTATGAACAATGTAAATTTGGGATTTCTAGAATGTATTTTAGTAAAATGCTGTATGCCCTGTGCAATTTGCTGTTTTTGATCTACGAAAAGCTAAATACAACAGCATTACCATGCAAACTGAGTAAATACAAATGTACATGTGATCAAGTTTTAACTAATCACAAATCCTTAAAAATATTCGATTAATGATATTGCATACTAATATTATTGTATATGCAACATTAGTCCTTTAAAAGACCAGCCGGGTGATGAAGGAAAAATCACTGTAATAATGATTTTAAAATCGAGAAGTTGGAAAGGCAGGTAAACACGACTTTAACTGGAAAAACTCAGCACATATTACAAATTCGTACTTTCAACTATAAAAGTCACTTAAATGTGAACAATGGAGATTCAGATTTTGATAAAGTGTTTAGTCTACCTAAAATTTTCCAGATGAGACAGGGAAAAAAAGAAACAAAAGTTAGAGTTAACAAATTGAGTTATTCCTCTTTGTACTGGTTCTGTCGTCCCCTCTGCATTTCAATCGGTTTTTAATCATTTTCAATATTTGTTGTTGATCATTTTTAATGATTAATAATAAGTACGTGTTAGATTGCATGTGATATATGTTTGGATATTGTATAAAATTTGTAATTTATAATGGTTTATATTGATTTATATGCTCTAAATAAGAAAAAGAGAGGTTTGATTTTATTTCTGATTAGACATAAATGGGTCCCATTGAAGTGGAAAGAAGCAAGTTAGTAAGTGGTCACTCTTTACACCTTTGAACCATAGGGAAGGACTTGCGGTATGATAAGGTAGCGGTTAACGAACCGAGGGACGGTTTGGCTTTAAAGACATCTAAGTAACTGTATCAATATGTATAAAATAAACTAAAGCAGGCTTCCCACTACTTGACGGAATATATATGTGATGAGGTTATACGCAAATCCTCTCTAAATTTGGACTGTGTGATTATACATAATGAACTTAACAATATACTCTCCTCTAAATACTTATATATACCTGGAATCTCTTACATTATTTTTACCTTCTTTAGAAACTACATTGAAGTCTTATACAATTACATAGTCATGATAGGATTCTCTCTGTCTTAAATTTACAGTTAATACTTTAATCCTTTTTACCGATTAATTGTGGATATATTGCGCATGTATTAGTTTATTAATGATATATAAAAATACTTCTCCATTTTGAACACACAAAAAGAATAAAGTTAAGGACCGATGCCTTCACATATTGATTCTAATAATTATTTAGACTACGAAAGTACATGATTATATGATCTACACAAAATCATACGTGGAATTTACCAGAGAGAGTTGGTTCATATATAAAACCATCAAACCATCTTTAATTCTGAGATTAGTTGACTTTAATTTATCAAGACAATTATATATAAATAACACGACAAAATAGGGGGGGGGGGGTGTATACGTCAGTTTGACAATAACAAAATAACATTAAAACGGAATAAGAAGCCGAATGCCTGCTGGCCTATAGCTGAAAGCCAACACACGGTCTTCATCAATTAGAAAGTGTCTTTACAACAATTCAAGCCGTAAATCGCTCCGAGTCTTGGAAGACAGAAAACAACCAAAGATCTGCACATCAACAGAACAGAAAATTTTCGGATTAAAACGAAGATAACCACTGACTAGTTTCAAAAGTCTAGATTATCATGGAAAGGAATTAAAAACAGAGTCGGACTTAGGGTGTGAGAGGGGTCCTTCTTCTGGAGCTACACAATGCATAGACTTTTATAAATCCATGCAACTCCCTACATTGATTCGGTGACCCCTACCCCCCACCCCTCTTTTTTCTTTCAAAATACTGATTCTGCAACTGAAACTATAATATTTTTATGAGTTATCAAGTAGTCCACGTTTGCAGAATAACAGACGGTACATATTAATGTTAAATAATAAATGTACAGAAAATTGTCTTTACAAAACAGTTAAAGCAGAGACATATATGTGTATATATGTCTCTGGTTAAAGCTACAAAAGAAAAGTAAAGGAACTCATATTCATGGTATCAACGAAGACGATACGGGAATCATAATCGTGTCTTCTTGCTATCTATAAATTAATATCGACCTCTGTAATTCCTAGTGATTTCATAAAGCAACGCTATGGACAGTGCGGAGACAGGGATGAACTCTGATGCTCTCCTAGCGTGAACGCTGTTCCTACTCCACTTTTTGACACCCGTCGTGTTACTTGAATGTTTAAATCCAACGCGGACAAGTCATAATCGCCAATCAGCATTGAGATAAAAGACAAGATAACAATATTTTATTGGTTTCAAATCCAAAATTACAGGATTGTCACAAAAGTTTCACAATATATTGTATATTAGATCAAGGTCGTATAACTATCTAATATACGTCCTTGATTAGACCAAAGACATACTTAATGTTATATACTAAAATTAGATATACATTAACACACACATATATACATGCAAATAGATTTATTAGCATTTATATATGTATATACTGATGTATATATATATATGTCACATCCCCTCCAATATTAGAAATAAGATATTGTTACATTGATATAATATTTGTATATTCTGGTCTCCGGTGAGGAGGTGGTACCACAAAGTTGTTTACTGTTCAATAAAGCATTTCTAGTATTAAATTAAGATGACATGCAATAGCGGATTGGTGGGCGTCTCTTATCTTAATACTTACATATTGAAAACTTCATAAACCATCAGTACATGTTAATGCCAATGTTCATCTCTATTAAGTCAGAAACATATAATACAAAACATGTATGTGACTGAATAATTTTCCACTTGACCGAATCTGGGACTTTATACTACAGTGGCGGATCCAGAACTTTTCATAAGGGGGGCCCGCTGACTGACCCAAAAAGGGGGGGGGGCCCGCTCCAGTCATGCTCCAGTGATTCCCTATATAATCAACCAAATTTTTCCCACATAAGGGGGGGCGCCCCCCCCCCCCCCCCCCCCTGGATCCGCCTATTTACTATAATAGTCCCAGACCGAATGGAAAGTTCAAAATAAAAATGGAAACACAAACTTTTTTCAGGACAAAAGACATAAAGGCATGTTATCTATAAATAGAAACGACACATACAGGAGGTGCACTGAGTCTAAATGCACTAGTTAAAGATCCAAGATTTTAGAATTCTTAATAATATTACACAGAATTAGCCAATGCAATTTCTGTTCGAACTTGAACTGGCTACAAAACTGTCTGGATTTAACTTAACTTTTACTCTGATTAATTATAATTTTTCATAAACTTCTATGGAATGAAGTACTTTGTACTTTATATCATATTGTTCTTTATATATTTCCATTTAGAAGCGTGATTTCAAACACACAAAAAAAACATGAAATAGAACAATATAATATAATTTACTCTCTCGAAACTGTAGGTCACAATTTAAAACGTTCCAACTTATTGATTATCTCCCTTTAAAAGTTAAAATTTTTGGGAAGTAAACCGAGAAGATGGCTTTGCAGCCAACATTTACTGTTCGAATTCGAACAGAACAAGAACAAGATATGGATTGGATGGTGCAACCTGATCAGATCACATTTAATCAAGCATTAGTGAGAAAATCAATTATACAATAACCCATGATCATCATTTAGACCCTCATACCAGTTATTAGTTTTACCATTGTTTACAGTGCTTTTCTCACTGAATTCTACACTTCAGTATTTTGGAGAATACGGTCTCTTGAATTCTCTATATCTATTTATTTGGTGATGAGAATAAATATATATATATAGAAATAACATTTTACATCAAATGCTTGCAAGTATTTTACAAGGAGTGCTAATTTAACTATAATATCCTACCATAACCATTTTAATATATATATGTCAATAGGTTAATTAAATGACAACCACTCAGAAATATTAACCAATAATTGTTTCAGAGAAACTCAAAAACTGACATGACCACCACTTATAAATTCTGAGCTCTTAAGGTTCTTCATAACAAATGGCCAAATATGGCCGTATTTTCACCTCAAAAACTACTCTGTGTACAGACTTACCTGTGCAGTTTGGAAAGTTTTAAGGCCTGGCATCCACTAGATATATAAAAGTTAATTTCATTTTGCATATCAGAAAGATAAAATCTTTTTTAGATTATGATGGGCATTTTTTTTCGTTCCTGCAGAAGGTGTAAAAATTAACTAAGTTGGGATACAACTTTGAGATGCTCCCTCTCAGGTAACAACTGGTTTGTATTGTATTGATTGTCCTTGATTGGCATGGACAATAGATATCTACACATCTATAGGTGAGTTAAAGGTAGAAACTGAGTGGACAGTATCAAATGCAATTCAGGTGTTTGTTTATTTTTACACCTTCTGCAGGAAGGAAAGAAAATGCCCATCAAAATCCAAAAACGATTTTATCTTTCTGATATGCAAAATAAATTTAACTTTTGTATATCTAGTGGATGTCAGGCCTTAAAACTTTCCAAACTGCACAGGGTAGTTTTTGAGGTGAAAATACGGCCATATTTGTCCATTTGTTATGATGAACCTTAAACAGGTTGGGTACAACCAGGAACATATATATTGTTAGATATACTGTTCCTAGGAACAACCCGCTAAGAATCCGGGTCAGTTCACCCAAAAACATGTTCGCTCCCATTCACGTTCGCCCCCTTTCACGTTCGCACCCTACACGTTTGCACCCCGGGTCCATTCACACCCTACACGATCGCACCCTTTTTATTCGTTTTGTGTTAAATAATTTTTCAATCGCTTTTATATGCCACGTTTACAGGACGTATGATGGTATACCGTTGTCAGTCTGTCTGTCCGTCCGTCGTCAACATGTCGGACATTAACTCAAAAACGCTTTAACCAATTTGCATAAAACTTTGGTGAATTGTTTATATCTATTGACGTGAGCTCCCTTTCGTTTTTTATAAATTTTGGATTTTATGTTTTCGAGTTATGGGGTTTTATTCATTAAAAAAAGGGGGATTTTCCAGTTTTCGGACAATAACTCAAGAATGCTTTCACCAACTTGCAAGAAATTTGGGCTAATTGTTTATATCTATTGACATGAGCTCCCTTTTGATTTTTCATAAATTTTAGATTTTGCGTTTCCAAGTTACAGGGTTTTATTCATAAAAAAAAGGGGGATTTTCGAGTTTTCTGACAATAACTCAAAAATGCTTTCAGCAGTTCTCATGAAACTTTGATGAATTGTTGATATCTATAATTGATGTAAGCTCCCTTTAGAATTTTATAAATTTTAGATTTTACATTTCCGAGTTATAGGGTTTTATTCATTAAAAAAGGGGGGATTTTCCAGTTTTCAGACAATAACTCAAAAATGCTTTCAGCAATTCTTATGAAACTTTGGTGAATTGTTTATATCTATTGATGTAAGCTCCCTTTAGAATTTTATAAATTTTATTTGTTTATAGTCTGACAACAGATTTACTAAGTATTGCACACAACAGCATAGTGTATTGCACAACAGCAAGAAATCTTTAATTGAATATAAATTCAATTCATATAACCAATTTCAAGTTCTTTGACTACATTTATTCAGAAACCTATAATATGTCAAATATTTAATTACAATCCAAATTCAGACCTGTATCAAGCTTGAATATTGTGTCCATTTTTGCCCCAACTGTTCAGGGTTGGACCTCTGCGGGCGTATCCAGCTGCGCTCAGCGAAGCAGTTTATTGGTTAGTGTATTGCTACAAATATTTTTTTTGTTCATTGTTTCAAAATGAAGTGATTTTCTAAAAAACGGTTTTTGTGTTGAATAATTTTCTAATCGTGTTCTGTTATTGTATTGCTATAAATAAGTTTTTTTCATTGTTTCAAAATAAAGTGACTTTTTTTGTGTTAAATATTTTTGTGATTGTGTTTTTGTGAGTGGATTGCTATAAATTTTTTCTCTTTCATTGTTTCAAAATAAAGTGACTTTCTAAAAAGGTTTTTTGTGTTGAATATTATCTTTAATGTTAAGATACCAAACCGCTATATTAAACTCAACAACAATAACATTTTGAATCTTCATTGTTTTTACTCATACCAAGCTAAATACATGCTACATGTAACTACATGCAGAATTTACATCAAAGCTAGTTAAAAACAATATTTACGATTTTCAAACACATAACAATAACACAAAGTTTAGCTGTGACGTGTAAACACCATATTTACAGTAATCATACATAATTAACATATTATAATAAAAATCCTCAAATCAATTTAAAACAAAATTTCCTTTAAAAATTCCCGAATTTTTATTTATGAAAATAAAAATATTTTGATATAAACATCTAAAAAATCATTTTGAACAAAAAAAAAGGGTGGGAATGTGTAGGGGGCGAACGTGTATTGGGTGCAAACGGACCTGATACCACCCTCCAATTTGGGAACTAATCCCCAAATGAGTAACAATCCCTCATTTGCGTAATCATTTGATAATGCTAAAATTGAAATTTTCTTAACTTGGTCTTTTTACTTAAAATGTAAATGAAACAACATCTTCCAAAGAACCATATTTTTATTTTGGGTTTTCAAAAAGTTAGTAGCCTTTGAAATAGTCAATTTTTTAAAGTTTTTATACATGTAGGCTTGCAATTTCTCAGGAAATCAGGTTAGGGCTATTCATCTTTTTGGGAAATTTGCTGCATTTTTAGCTCACCTGGGCCAGGTGAGCTTATGCCATCACTTGGCGTCTGTCGTCGTAAACTGTTTCAAGAATCTTCTCCTCTGAAACTACTGGGCCAAATACCTTCAAACTTTAACTGAATGTTCCTTAGGGTATCTAGTTTATGAAGTGTATCGGAAGTTTTGATCCATCAACAAACATGGCAGCTACAAATGTATGGCTAAAAATAAAACATAGCGTCAAATGCAGTTTTTGGCTTATATCTCAAGAACTAAAGCATTTAGAGAAAATCTGACAGGGGTAAAAATGTTCAATAGGTCAAGATCTATCAGCCCTGAAATTTTCAGACGAACCGAACAACCCATTGTTGGGTTGCTGCCACTAAATTGGTAATTTTAAGTAAATTTTGCAGTTTTTGGTTATTACATGTACATGTATCTTGAATGTTATTGAAGATAAAGATAAACTGTAAACAGTAAAAATGTTCAGCAAAGTAAGATCTACAAAAAAGTAAATATGACAAAAATTTTCAATTGACCCCTTAAGGAGTTATTACCCTTTAAAGAAAATTTTACACAATTTGTTCATCATGTTTGCTAACATTTAAAAATCATCTCCTCTGAAACTACTGGGCCTAAGGGCTAAAAATAGAACATAGGGGTCAAATGCAACTTTTGGCTTTTATCTCAAAAACTATAGCAGTCAGAGCAAAAGTGAAAGGGAGTTTAAGTGATAAATGGGTCATCATCTATCTGTTATGAAATTTTCAGACAAATTCGACAACCAATTGTTGGGTTACTGTTGGAAATAGCTTATTTTTATTAAATTTTACTGTTTTTGGTTATTTTCATTAATATTACTATAGACAAATGATAGAGAGAGAGAAAGTATAAATGGCAATAAATGTTCAGCTAAGTAAGATCTACAAATAAGTCAACATGATCAAAATAGTCAATTGACCCCTTAAGGAGTTATTGCCCTTAAAACAGTATTTTTTTACCTTTTTGTGAGTCGAATTACTTTTTCAAAAATCTTCTTCTCTGAAACTTCTTGGCCAAATACTTAAAAACTTCAATTGAATGTTCCTTGGGGTATCTAGTTAATAGATTGTATTTGGAGATTTGATCCATTCAAAAACATGGCGGCAGTTTCTAAAAATAGAACATAGGGGTCAAATGAAGTTTTTGGCTTCCATCTCAAAAACTAAAGCAGTAAGAGCAAAACTGACATAGGTGAAAGTGTTAAGCCGGTTTAGATCTACCTGTCAAGTAGTCTTCAGACCAGTAGGACAACTTATTGTTGGGTTACTGTCCAGAAATAGTTAATTTTTAGGAAATTTTACAGTTTTGGGCTATGTGTTATCTCTAATATTATTATAGAAAGAGAGAAAGTGTAAATGACAAAATTGTTCAGCAAAGTAAGATCTACAAATAAGTCAAATGCCTGAAACTGAAATTACAGGTGAGCGATATCAGGCTCTCATGAGCTTCTTGTTTATGAATATATGCCATTTGAAGTAAAACTCAGTTAAGAAAATTTTGTTTTTAGCACTATTAAATTATTACTCAAACGAGGGATTGTTACTCATTTGGGGAATAGTTCCCCATTGTACCCAACCTGTTTAATCTTATTTTGGTTCTGTTATTTCTTACTGTCCCAGCCTGTACTTTGACATACAACACGGGTAGTTGGTATGCAAACCTATCACGAACAACCATCAACTAGGGGATTATATCTGAATTCAGATATAATCCAGGGAAAAACCAACTTTTCATAAAATGCAGCACAGGACATCAGAATGGGTTACATGTCACAACTAAGGAGTCATCAAATGTTGAGATGGTATTTGCCAAAAAAATGTGGGATTTCATTTACAAAAAATTTATTGTGAAGAAAACAACATGATATGTTTACCCATTTGTCTATCTCAGTTAATTAGTGGTGTAGAAGTGGACTGAAAAGTGTGAGGGGGCGGAGGGGGGGCAATCTTTTGAAAGTGACAAGCAAAAAAAAAAGCTTTGCTATAGTCTTATAGTCTAGGAGTTAGTTCAGTTTCATTTTGAATTTGATTTTTTTAGTTTTCAATACAAAAATTGCCAAATATTGCATAAATTTGTACTTACTTTTTGTAAGTTCTATAGGCATGAAAGGGGATATAACATTTACATGTATATGCAAAAAACAAAAATACACATAACATGTTAAGGAATTTATTTCCCAAAAGATTTTATTTATCTTATTATTATATTTGACAGGAAGTGATATCAAGAGTACTGCCTCAAGCCACAATAACAGCATTTGAATGTATGTAAATATTAAATTGTGTTTATGTTGTTCTGCATATGTTATGGTTGATAATAATGTATGTAAATATTAAAGTGTGTCTATGTTGTTCTGCATATGTTATGGTTGATAATAATATATGTAAATATTACAGTGTGTTTATGTTGTTCTGCATATGTTATGGTTGATAATAATATATGTAAATATTACAGTGTGTCTATGTTGTTCTGCATATGTTATGGTTGATAATAATATATGTAAATATTACAGTGTGTTTATGTTGTTCTGCATATGTTATGGTTGATAATAATATATGTAAATATTACAGTGTGTCTATGTTGTTCTGCATATGTTATGGTTGATAATAATATATGTAAATATTACAGTGTGTTTATGTTGTTCTGCATATGTTATTGTTGATAATAAGCATCTATGATTTTGAAGTTATTAGAAAAATTTAAGAAGATGTGGTATGATTGCCAATGAGACAACTCTACACCAGAGACCAAAGTGTATGAATCAGGGAGCTTTGGTTCCCTTAATTTTTCAGAGGCCAGTTATTGATGAACAATAAATTAATTTGGTATGAGTTATGAGAAATAAAAGAATTTCATATCGTCATAACAATATTTTCAATTTTAATGTAAAAGTCGGTTGGAAATAAAAAATATGTATTATGTCTCCTATAATTCAACATATTTATGCCCCTGCCAAAGCGGGGGGGTAATTAAGTTTTACCCTTGTGTGTACGTACATCCATCCGTCCGTACGTCCCATAATTGGTTTCTGTTCTTTAACTTTAGTTTGCCTCAACCAAATGTTACGAAACTTATACACAATGCTTATTACCACAAAACACAGATCAATTTTGAATTTTGGTGGCGTCACTTTTACCGTTCTAGAGTTACAAAAAAAACAATTGTATGCCCCTTTATTTTTATATGTAATTGTTATAAACATATAAATAAGATAATACTTTTAGCCAAGATTTAGGTGTACAATAAATGTATTGTTTTTACAGTGTATCCTAATTTGTAAATCTATAGTACCAGTGAACACAATAAGCATGTGAAAGGTGTGTAATTATGTACAGGGAGTAAACAGAATTATGCATTAATGTATTTTTTTTTTCCAGATGAAGATGAAGATGGGGACAGAATTACAGTAAGAAGTGACGAAGAGATGAGGTCTATGTTCCAAACCGTAGGTACATCTGATATTCTAAATTGCTATATATTTGATTAGAATCACTCACTGCTGATACAAAGATAATATCAAATCATAGAGACAAAGATAAAATCAAATCAAAGAGTCAAATTCAGTTTATCTTAAACTTATTTCTCAGCTTGTAAAATAAATTTTAAAAAAAAACACGATTACTCAGTGTTATATTGGAGAGGCAAATGTATACATAAGATTGGTTTTAGTAAGTTTTATTTCAAACTAAACTATATATATATATAACATGTAAAAGTGACAATATGATTGAAACAATTGTGATATTAAGAAAACGTAGAAAGTAACTTTAGCTTTTGATAAAAACATCAACTTGATAGTAAACATATGCACCCTGGTGTTTTTTTAATCTATAAAGTTAAATATAGTTCAGTGACTTAACTGATGTTACACTTAGGGCTTACATTAATGTGTAATCAGGATGATAAAAGATCTCTTCTCATCCATCAATTCATTTTTTTAGCTTCAAAAGAGATATCAAGTGGTCATAGATTTTTAACAGTCAACCATGTTGTCAGTGGTTTTTAGTTTGGATACAAATAGGTTTTAGGCAAAGAAATTTAAAGACAGAGCAAATTATATTTGTTAAGAATTGACGTGAAATTTTTGGTCTATAAGAAGGATCTTGCATACTTACAATGGAACTTTCTTAAGAAACAAACTATAACCAGGCAATTTATTTTGATCTCCTCTACTGTTGTATGAGCCTACATGAAACAAATCTTATTTTTGCTTAAACGTTTTACCATCTTTAACCTTGATTAAAATTGACCTTTATTAATATGTGGCTCATTTACTGCAAGATAAACATTTTATTATATTTCCTTCCAAAGACGTGTCAAACATGGCCAGAGTTCTTGAAATCTTTTTTTTTTTTCCTATTGGTCATTGGGACCACCAAGACTAAAAGTCTGGTGGTCCTGTAATTTTACTTGAATTTATCAAACACCTATTAGTTACATGTATGTCATTTCTCAATACTATATTAACTATCCTAGTTTCTATGTTATATATTTGGTTGTTTTCAATTAAATTTTGAACTCCGCATTGTTCACTAATTTTTATACTTTGTCAGTTTGATTACATGTTTGTTTTATGTCTCATGCATTATACTACAATCATTTACAGTGAAAAGTGCATTAAAATGATAGAAATAAAAGACTAAGTCTGATGTTTATTCCTCAGCTGCAAATTTTGTAACTACAGTACTATATCTGAAGTTGTTACACCCAGAAATAAACAGATATTTTTCATGTTGGCCTTGTTGTTATCTTTACAATTCATCATTTCTGGTCGATCACTTAAAGCATCGATGCATATTTTTTTTTCTCCTCGTAATAAAAAAGTCATTTATGAATGTCTTTCCATTTATTTAGGAGCATTCTTTCCGGCCTATCATTTTGTTTATAATCTTTTCGTTTTTTCACCTCTCTGTTGTCATTATTTTTTGTTTGCACTCTTTTAACACCGGGTTTAGCACCATTTTTGAACAAGATGGGCCATGCGGCAGCCATGATAACTTTTACGACTGGTTATTTTTCAAAAGTATTACCGTAATTTTGAGCTATGCTACAAAAGTTAAATTACAGTAGTTACCAGTTCAAAAACTATCTGAATACCAAAGAAACTGATGACTGGTTCTTTTTCAAAAGTATTACCGTAATTTTGAGCTATGCAATTAAAGTTTGTTTACATTAGTAACCAGTTAAAAGCTTTCTGAATACCGAAAAGTGAACAACCACCAAAATTTTGTCAGTCATCAGGACTTCCACTACACATGCAATTGTCGGTCCTAGCTGATTTTTGGCGGTTGAGACCGACGGTTTTCGGGAACTCTGTATGGCTTTACTTTTACTATTGAGTAAACATTGTTCATTAATCAGGACATTGGTGTTCTTGTTGTGCATTTTATCCTTTCTGGGCCTTTTATATCTTGCTACATGTTATGGATTTTTCTCATTATTGAAGGCTGTATGAGGACACATATTTAGTAGTCCAAATCTCTTACATGTACCTTTATAAAAATTTGAAACCATATGTATGTTTGCACTTTACATTGCATAAATAGAATTTTAATGTTATAAGGGATGTTAAGTTTACTAAAGTTTCAATCCTCTGTTACAGAAAAAAATGCTAGTTTGTTTTATTATAGCCAACGAATACACCTTGGCTACATTCTGAATTTTCTTATCAATCATTTCAGTTTTAATTGGAATATTATAACCTTTTGTAACTAGATAAAAATGAAATGTTAAAAAATACAGATTACCACACACTTTCAATAATGAGTAAAAACAATATCCACACACCTTCAACACTGAGTAAAAACTATACAAATATGCTTTCAACAATAAGCAAAACCTAGACCTACACACTTTAAACAATCAGTAAAAACTATACACACACCCCCCTTCAACAATAAGCAAAACCTAGACCCAACACACCATCAATTTGCAAAACATATACCCACACACCTTCAACAATGAGCAAAACCTATACCCTGTTCATAGCTTTTAAAGGCTATTATCTTTCTTTGTATAATGAGATTTTCTTACATTTCAGTATTTTAACTTGTTAAGTGATGAAGACTATGCAAGAGGATTATTACCTCCCCTGATCATATACCCTAGAGGTAAGTTCGAAAAATAATTCTCAAGTGGTTAATACCTCCCCTGATCATATACCATTGAGGTGAGTTAGAAAAATAATTCACAAGTGGATTATTACCTCCCCTGATCATTACCCTAGAAGTAAGTTAGAAAAATAATTCACAAGTGGTTAATACCTCCCCTGATCATATACCATTGAGGTAAGTAAGAAAAATAATTCACAAGTGGGTTATTACCTCCCCTGATCAAATACCCAGGATATTAGTTTAGAAAAATGATTCACTAGAGGATTATTACCTACCCTGATCATATACCCTTGAGGTAAGTTAGAAAAATAATTCTCAAGAAGATTATTACCTCTCCTGGTCTTATATCATTGAAGTAAGTTATAAAAAATGATTCACAAGAGGATTATTACCTCCCCTGATCATATACCTTAGAAGAAAGTCAGAAAAATGATTGAAAAGAGAAGTATTATCTCCCCTGATCATATACCCTGGCTCAGCAAGGATATTGAATTTTTTTCACACAATTTCTGTCATTTTGAGATGACTTAAAAGTTTTTTTTCAAACTGTCAAAATTATTCACACTAGATTCATGGTATCAACAAACTTGTATTGACTGTTTCATCTCATTTACTTCGGGAATTTTTTTACTGTTTTTATAAAATTGTTGAAGTACATTTTATGCAATACAACAGTAAAATTGAAATGATTTTAATGACTCAAAACAGAACATTTCTCGGGAATCGCTTCTTCCAATTTTGAATATAGAATATAAACCAGTGGTTTCATGTAAATACTCAAGTACTAGTGAATGCAGATTTATTTCCAGGATTCCTCGTATTTATCAAATTGACAGGAAATCACCGAATTTTTAATTTTATAACCTTTAAGAGTTTTTGAATATAACAGGTAAGAGTTACACTGGTTTAATTTATCATGAAATCATTTTACAATTAAGTTTCTACTCTGGTGAACACAATTTCACACATGCGTATTACATAGTAAATACAGCACACCTTTGACTCCTGAAAAATTACATTTTCTAAGTAAATTGAATCAGGTTTTAATTTTTAAATCAGTATTGACGATTGTCTTTGAATGAAAAAAAGTTGTCATGTTATTTTGATTTCTTTATAATATTAGTTCTGAGCTTGCGATCACTGTCAGGTGTGAATTAAAAACACAGGTAAAAAGTGATTAGCGATCATTAGCCAATATCTCCTGGAGGCATTAAAATGGTTATTAGGAGGGCCCTCATACTATACTGGAAAGGCAGTTTTATTACCGGGAAAGGATTGCAAAATAAAAACAAGTGCAAAATGGTAATTAAGAAACCTGATCTCAATGAAATGACTGAAATTATTTCTGTAAAAAAAAAATTTGACCTAAATTCTTATCTGCCGTTTAGGACAAATAGCTTTCAGTTTCGGTCATGACTGGCACATATGACCGTTTCCAGACCCTTGCCCTGATGAAAAGTTAGAAAAACTATGGACAAGAGAAGTATTACCTCCCCTGATCATATACCCTGGAGGTAATTTAGAAGAATGATTGAAAAGAGAATTATTACCTCCCCTGAGAATGCACCTTAGAGGTAAGCTAGATGAATAATTCACGAGCGAAATATTACCTTCCCTTATCATGCACCTGAGAGGTAGATTAGAAGAATGATTCACAAGAGGATAATTACCTCCCCTGATCATAAACTGTAGAGGTAAATTAGAAGAATAAAGGCATTTTGTTGACAGTAGCATTGAAGAGATTATTAAAGTGAGCTGTTTATAGTAGCAATGGTATCAGGCTCCCAAATTAAAAACTTACAATATTTGTGAAAAGATTTCTAAGTTCCAGCAAACAAATGGCAAAAAGAAAACTGTCTTTTCAACAATCTTTTTGATCCCTGATTTATTGACATAAGTATAAAAATATATTCTTTTTTTTAGGTTATGACTATCCAAAACCAAATACAAATAAGTTTTATGTAATCTTTGGACAGCGACATTTAACTTTCAGAGTGGTTTGGTTATGTTTGATTTATTTATATTTCAGTTGGAAAAACACCACAGAACAGAAACAAGTTTGGTTTAAAAGTAAGTTTTAAATACTGATAGATTGATTGATGTTTAACACCACTTTCAGCACTATTGCGCTATTTCGTAGCGGTCAGTTTTTGGAAAGTTTGCTATAGCTTGCTATAGCAATATACTTTCCTAAGGCATCGGCCTCAAACAAGAAGTAGGACAGACTAACTTACTTCCGGATCTCTACTCCTAGATAATGTAGTACTAGTGTTTGAATACAAATTCTAGGAAGATGCTTTTGAAATTTTGAGTTACAACTTTCTTGATAAGCTTACAGCTTGAATGAAAATGGACTGAATGTTCACCGACAATTCAAATGAATTCAACTTCATTTTGAAAATGGGTATCACAAACACTACTTCGCAGATCTGCCCTGCGCGGAAGATAAAATCAATACAAATCTACATGAGACAGCAGTTTCTACTTTTAGAAAATTTAGAGGGCCGGATATTTATTTCGAGGTGGGTGTTGTTTTTTTCCATTTTTTCATGAAATTAAAGTATCCTTATTGTTAAGAATATTGTAATCTTTTCAATTTTTACATTTGTAGATGGTATTAGGTTTGACCTCTATAAATTATGCATACTTTGAACTGTCAACCATTTTGTATGTTTATGTTACCTGTATGCTTTCCTTGTATGAGATCCATACATGTGAAACTCCCGAATGGAGTACAATAATCCCGGTTTAAGGGGTCCTCCCGTCCCTCGGTTGAAGAGAAAAAAATCTCGTGTATAAAATATTTCATGAATGAACATTTCTGGCACCATTTTTACTACGATATTTACAAATGTTATTAATATGTAAAAGCCCGAGTGTATCAAAAGTATCTGGTATTACAGACATTATTGATTACGCAACATGTTTACATTTTGACCAGGCTGGAGGGTAATTAACAAGTGATAATAGTTTGATTGAACAATAAACAGGTGACAGGATATTAAATACTCGATAATCATATTGCTTCTGTCTATGTCACATGCCAAGGATGAGTAAAGGTAATTACCTGATTTGATAGAAAAGTGCATTGTTTTTGTCAAAACATCGATCGGAAGGTTTAGATGCCAAAAAACATTTATAAACTTTCAATTCAGCAAAGAAATACTAGCTATTTCACATTCCAATGCAGATATAAGGACCTTCAGCATGCTCAAGTGGATCCAAACTGACAGCAGAAAAACATAATTAAACATTGCCTCAATGATAGTTCACAGCCTCCCTCAGCAGCCTCCTAAGTGTTAAGATTAACAACTACACAAAACTGTTACAAGGATAAGGATTACTTTAGTACAGAGTCAAATGTATAAAAGCAGCCAAGTCAACTTCTACTTCTTAGAATAACTCAGTGTGCCAAGACAAGTTCTGTAGAACTTATTAAAAAACATTTGTCCATGTAATATAGGCAGTGCTTTACCTTATATATTTTAAAGTGTTTAAAACAATGAGTCTTAAGTTTTCTAGCAAAATGACTTTCTTAATGCTTAAAAACCATGCATAAATTTGGTTATTATTTGTTTGTTTATTTATCATGTTAAAAATATGTACAGCAAATATTTTTTTATATATCTATACCTATGACATTGCATACAAATAAAACAGATGGAGGCATGAATAAAACACTATACTTAAATTTTCTCTAAGTACTCAAAGAAAAGGTTAAATCATAGAAATGATTTTGAAAGTTGACTTTATCCAATTTGTGGCCGTTTCATAAAGTTTGTGCTTTAAACTTTGGGTTATCAAACTCAGTAGGCAGTTGCATCATGGTCTTTGGACGTGTCATATCCCAAAGTCGGATCACTTTGACCTTGACTTTGTCCTTTGATACTTATGATAGTAAAACCTTGTACAATTCATGCCTGGGTCATACCTTTTGTACCTTAGAATTTTGGTTAACCTAGCGAGTAACTGCATGGTATGCAGTTTAACTGTTGCATTTGGGCTTGGGGTGCATCATATACCAAAGTCAGATCATTCTGACCTTTCTAATTTGACCCCTATGATAGTTAAACAGTGTATGGTTTGTGTTTGGTGCATAAGTTTTGAACAGTAGCACTTTAATTGACAAAACTTTGTACGCAGAAGCATCATACTGACCTTGACATTCAATTTCAGAATTTACACTTATGAACCTCACACTTTGTTCCTGGGTCAGTATGATTCTTTAAGATTGACCCATAATTTACAATGTGTCAACTCAACACAGAGGCAATGATTATATCAAATGAATGGCTGAAAACCAAAAATCTCAAAATGTCGTTGCCTCAATGCTGAATTTCACAGCAGCAACTAAAATGTATTACATGGTTATAAGTACCTCTATGAATCTAGTGTATATAAACCTTTTTATTCCTGTCTACATATTGCCATGGTCTTGATTTAAGTTGGCTGTCTTAATATTTAAAATAGGAGATTTGGTAATTTTTGTGAATGAACCAGCTATCCAAAAGAGTTCAAAGGAGGAAGATACATTTACATATAAACAATTATAGGTCACCATACGGTCGTCAACAATGAGAAAAACTCATACCGTATAGTAAGCTATAAAAGGCCCTGATATGAAAAATGTGGAACAATTCAAAGCTGTGATTAAATACATATTTGAAATAGTACACATCTGCAACCTATTTGAAATAATACACATCTACCGTTGCAAACTTTCCACAGGTGCTATGCAGCACTTTGATTTATTGGTGGAGGAAGTTGAAGTGCCTGGTGAGAACCACCTACCTTCAATAGGAAAACTGACAATCCTAGTCAATTAAGATTGGAGTCACCTGCCACATGCCTGATTCAAACTCTCAACCTCAGTGTCGACTGGCTAGTGATACAGGCCCCCTGATAGATTGGAGACATTCCTGTAGTTAGGGATTTCCTATATTTGTTCAGATAGCATGCAAGCAAAGTGTATTAAAAACATTTCCATAAGTGACATTTTTTTTTTTAATCAAAATGAATTAAGTAAAAGTTTTTTTGTCTGGATAGTCTCCTTATTTTCTAATGCCTTCTATAAATTCTGTGTATTTTTATACAGGATATATCTAATAAGGGTTTGCATTTGATTGACAGTGCAAAAATAGTAAACAAGAGTCTGCTTGGAGTCATTATTGCCCACCTGGCATCTATGCTTTAAACTGTAATGCTTTCCTCCATGATTCTTTGGCTTAAGAAATAACCCCAAAATGCAACAAAAAACAGAAAAATTAGAGTATCATTCAGAAAAGAAAAGGCTTGGCTTCCCAATCAGCAGCTTGTTTATGTAGGACAGTGAAGAAAAACCATATAAAAATGTTTACACTGTTGTAAATACATTCCATTGCGACCAGCATATGGTACTGATACAAGAGGTATTGCAGACAAAACAATGATGTAGTTTATATAAAAGGTTTAAGCAATTACCTAAAATATTTTTTGTATTTGCATATTTATCATGTTTATAAAAACTTTAAAAACTTAAAGCAAGCATCGAAAGATGTCAAAATAAAAGTCATTTGTCTTCTTAAATAGTCAGAAATACTGAGCAATTGGTTGTCTTGCATCAAGGGAAATATAATTTAAGGACAATGAAACACTAAAAAGAAATCTAATATCATTGAGGAGAGAGTGTAAAAGTGTGAACAAATTTACTTGAAAACTGAAATTGTTGCATTTTATTCTTGCAGATTAAAACAGATAAACAGTCAATATCCAAATCATCCAAACCTGTCCTTATGATTTCAGACATTCAGAAGTAGGTATTATAGGAAGTCCTCTATATATCTCCTATAGTCCAGTTCTACCCTTGTTTACAAGGAAAATTTTTTAGAATTAAAAGATCTCCTGTAAAGGATATATCTATGTAAAGGATATCATATATCTATGCCAAATTTGAAGAAAACAATACTTTGATAAAAAATTATGGTAGCTCAACATGTAATGGAAGATATTACATTCATATTACGGTAATGAAATGACATCTATATGCCAGCATAAGGTCTTCAATAATTGACAAGGGTCTATTTTATATATCAAGCTCTAAATTCCATTTACTCTAGACAGGTAGTGAAAAAATTAAGGCAACAAATTGCAACGATGTTCAAATCTCTTAATCATATGTCATTTAGGAAGATAAATCAAGTTAACAAACAAATGCTGAGGGAATAGCATGAAATCCAAAAGGAACAAGAACGGGTGAGTAAACAGGGTTAGTGTCTCCTGCTATGTATGCATCTCCTACCATGCGAATCCATAATCCTGAATAGTACACAATGTGTAAAACTACTGATTAGATGACTTTTCTGATGTCTTAGGATCTAAAACTATGAAAATATTTTGCTTGTGAGTTGAGACATAGACATATGGTATCGGTCAACCTCTTCTTGAAGGTGACCATAAAACTTGTGTTGATTTCAGTCTTTCTTCCTTATAACTCAGTTAAGTAGCATCCCCTGCTAATGACTCATAACTCAGTTGAGTAGCACCCCTGCTAATGACACATAAATCAGTTGAGTAGCACCCCCTGCTAATGACTCATAACTCAGTTGAGTAGCACCCCTTGCTAATGACTCATGACTCAGTTGAGTAGCACTTCCTGCTAATGACTCATAACTCAGTTGAGTAGCATCCCCTGCTAATGACTCATGACTCAGTTGAGTAGCACTTCCTGCTAATGACTCATAACTCAGTTGAGTAGCATCCCCTGCTAATGACTCATAACTCAGTTGAGTATAGCACCCCTTGCTAATGACTCATGACTCAATTGAGGAGCACTTCCTGCTAATGAAGTCTGTATAGTGTGAAGATGCACAAGTAAACTAGTTTAACAGACTGTCAAGAATATTTTATTTAATCAAGTGTTTTCAAATGTATAACTTAACTATATTACTTGAAGGATATTCAAAATCTTTCATCTACACATTTGTCAACATCATTTTGATTAAATTTTATTTCTGTCTACGTATCTTGATGAATATTGTCTTAAAGATTTGTATTGAAGTTTGATTGATTGATTGCTAGATACTTTATGTCCACTGTGGAGATTTAAAATCGATACTTTCACTAACTGTTGGCTGCACTCATTGATTGTGAGGGCACAGTAGAGGGATTTTAGCTAGGTCTACTAATCAGGTAATGGTGGTATAAAAGCAGCAAAAAAAGTGTCTAAAATGTCTTGAATATTAGTGTGGGGTTACTGTTTATGTTTATATTTATTATTTTTATTGTTTTTTGTTTTGTTTTTGTATTGTGGAGTGAAAGACAAATGATAAAACTTACTTGCAGTTTATTGTTTTCAGAAATAACAATCCTAAAAAAAATTGTCAATCGATGGATTGTGGAGACAGTGATACAGGACGTCCTCCAGGTCAGCCATTACATCCAGCTTCAGTCACACATTTTGATACGGTACAACCAACTGGTCAGTTTTCTCAGCCTGCTGAGGTTGGACATCAACCTTTCAATATGAGACAGAACTTACATCCTACTGAAATGGGCCATAATCCTACAAACACAGGCCAAGCCTTGTACCCTGCAGGTATAGGACAAGGCTTACATCCTGCAGAAGTCCGACCCCAACCTACTAATCCTACAGGAATGGAACATAAGCTAATAAGAACATCTAGTGATCTGAGGCAGCTGTTAGCTACACAAGTCATTTCAGAAGAAGATCTACAAATTTTAAATTTAATTGGTAAAGGCAATGTAGGCTGTGTCTACAGGTAAATTAATATTTCCTATATTAAACTCTTATTATATGTTTAGTCTGTTTATTTTCTTAGAGTTCTTGTAAAGTCATTTGAATTAGATGGATTTTGAAAGTGAAATGTTTCATTTTCTTGATATAATAAATTAAAATTATAAGCAATAGAAAAGAGCATTGAAGTTGGCCCCCTTTAAGTCACTCTTCTGCATAATGTCACCTGTCCCATTCACTGAAAACATACTAAGACATCTGTAGTTTTTAAGAAGATGATGTAGATAAGATCCGTGCAATGTTTCCAGTTTTTAACCAATTCATTTTTTTTGGTCTTTATCTTTTAAATATAGAAACCTATAATACTGATCTTGTCTTATAAGATCCATATACCACACAAAGCAAAATAATGCACAAGATCCATATACCACACAAAGCAAAATAATGCACAAGATCTATATAGCACACAAAGCAAAATAATGCACAAGATCTATATAGCACACAAAGCAAAATAATGCACAAGATCTATATAGCACACAAAGCAAAATAATACACAAGATCTATATAGCACACAAAGCAAAATAATGCACAAGATCCATATACCACACAAACCAAAATAATGCACAAAAACAATCAGATCAAAGCATTCTACCTGAAATCACATTGGTGCATAAATTTGTGTCAACATAATTACAGAAGAGCACATACGTTGTTATCTAGCACTATTAGAGGGAGAAGTCATGCTCTTTTTGTAGACATCTGTGAAAGGAAAACTTTGTAACATATAAAAGTGATAAACTGATAAGCAATTAATATTCCATATTAATGTAATGTTCTTTTGGTTTTAAATACATTAAATTTAACATCATTAAAAAATTGTTGCACATGATCATGACCTTTTTAATAAAAAGAGAGGCAAAGTTCTTGTTTTATGTTTCCATTAGTGAAGTGGGCATTGTTGTCATCCCCTTTATTGATAATGTTTTTTCACTCAAGGTCATACATGTGTAATATTTAAGATATTTTAAAAAAGAGAATGGTTCAAATATCAGGAGCTTATAATTAGGGCCCCCCCCCCCCCCCCCCCCCCCCCCGAATGGCGGACGCCCTATAGTGATCTGTCTGTCCGTCCGTCTGTCCGTTCGTAACAAATTGTGTCCGCTCTATATCTAGAGAACCATTATGATTTCAAAGTTTATACTTGACATGTATATGAACCAACACCAGAGGGTGTGTCATAATGTATGTACAACTTCCTAGGTCAAAGGTCAAGGTCAAAAACTTTGGTTTTAGTTGACAACCCCCATGTCCTATGGTAAAGATCGTGTCTTCTCTATATCTTGAGAACCATTATGATTTCAAAGTTTATAGTTGACATGTATATAAACCAACACCAGAGGGTGTGTCATAATTTATGTACAACTTCCTAGGTCAAAGGTCAAGGTCATAAACTTTGGTCTCAGTTGACAACCCCATGTCCAATGATAGATACAAATTTTTTACCACACATTATTCACAGCGGGGCCCACAGAGATGGCTCCCATCTCAATGATATCTAGTTGATATTATCTCCAATCAGGAGATTTGTAATTTTGATGAGGAGAATAACATCTCCAGATGAGATGATGACATGTACTGGCTCTTTACTGTGTCAAGATATTATGTGTATGCTTCTTTGTTTCAGAGCATTACATAAACCTACTCAAGCAATTATGGCTGTAAAGGTAAGATATATGTTTTCTCCGTTGTTGGTTCAAAATAATGATGTCTGTGAAGAAGTATGGAAAGACTGTTAGTATGTAATATATATATGTGTAATATGATGAAAAAGTATCTTTTATGCATGTGTGATATACTGCTTAAAATGTAACGTGAATTTTACTGAAAGGAAATAGAATTCTTACTAAAGTATGGATGAAAAAAAGAAAACATTTGTGTGATAAGGACAGTCACAAATATTACATATTCCTAATTTGAGTAAGTTATATATGTCAATGTTATATTTGTATATAAGCACTCCTTCCCTGCATCTGTTCTAGTTAAAAGTGGGTCATATTGTTTTAAGATTATCTTTATGGTTTTTTTCATATCTATGTTTATAGGTAATGCTGCTAGATGTATCGACAGAAGAACAAAGTAGTATATTGTCTGAATTAGATATTTTAAATAAAGTAAGTAGTTTAAGTAAGATCAAAGTAAACAAAGCCTAGTTGCAGTTAAATGGTTATTACTGAATACATTTAAGACATAGAAATATGCCTGACCTACTAAGAAGTTTAGTGCATAGATGTGAACACTACAGATATTGACCAGAGCTTCACAATATTTTTACATCTAAGGGAGATAACTATAAATCTGATAATGAAAACAAGTCTTTTGAAAATGATGTCAAATCTGTCACTTAGGACAAAAAGTCTAAAATGAACCCATTTTACACTTTTATTTCATTTCATGTAGTTGTTTGTCCTTCAAAACTTGACAATTTACTGGCAAACACTTTTTATGAAACGAAAGAGATTTGGTAATGATTGCCAATGAGAAAACTATTTATATCCACCAGAGTTCAAATGATGTGGATGTAAGCATCTATAGATCACTGTACAGCCTTCAACAATGAGTAAAACACATACCAAAATGCTATTTGTTTGTTTACACAATGTCTATGGCGTCCAAAATCTCAGTTGAAAAAAAGGAACAAGATTGAGAGAGAAAAAAAACAAGCATACTAACAATGGTACATTCATCCTGATTTTATATATAACGATATATGTTTCTCTCTTTCAGTGTAATTCCCCTGTGATAATTGGCTTTTATAAAGCTTTCTTTGTTGAAAACAGAATTTCTATTTGTACAGAATTTATGGATGGTATGTATATTAGAAGAACTATAACATACACAGTTTTTTTAAATTTTGCAGACATTAATCTTTGATTTTTGTTCTGACATTGACTTACTGGCAATAAAAATTTCTCTGAACTGCACAGATATATCTTTTTACTTTTAATTTCAAGATCACATAGCTTTTCTTTCTAATACCAGTATAGTGTTATTTTTAAATTTGAAACACATCCTTTGGTGTGACATCTTGTCTCAAAAAGAGGTTTAAACTGGATTTTTAATATGTCATATTGTGCATTTAAATGCAACAATGAAATTAATCATGATTTGATAAGTTTGCATTTCTCAACAGAAGCTAGAGGTCGGTCCTCTTGAAGTTGCAGCAATGTATGAACTTTTGCTTTATGTTCATATGAAATTAAGATAAAGAACAGCAACAAAAACAGCATATATAGATAAACCATATACCTTCTTTCCAGTTACTTTTATATATTTTGTGTTTCAGGTGGATCTTTAGATAAGTATGGTCTGATTCCTGAGCATATATTAGGGAGAATGGCTGTATCTATGGTAGAAGGTTTATGTTATATGTGGGCTTTAAAAATTCTACACAGAGGTACCTAAATAAATAATAGAGAATAGTTGTTGCTTATTGTACTACTTACTGTCTGATCAACAAGAGGTATGGGGTGACTGTTTTATTAGGCAACAAACCAACAACACAAGCTCACCAAATATAAACATCTTCTGGTCACAAGTTGGTACTCAAGGATAGTAGAACATTCACACCATATGGCAAGCTCTAAATCACCCCTATTCTTAAGTTGCAAATGAATTTAACAGATGGCAAATTATCTAAAATTAACTCCAAGATCTTAGAGTCAAATGAATTCAACAGATGGCAAATTATCTAACATTAACTCCAAGATCTTAGAGTCAAATGAATTCAACAGATGGCAAATTATCTAACATTACCTCCAAGATCTTAGAGTCAAATGAATTCAACAGATGGCAAATTATCTAACATTAACTCCAACATCTTAGAGTCAAATGAATTCAACAGATGGCAAATTATCTAACATTAACTCTAGGTTCTTAGAGTCAAATGAATTCAACAGATGGCAAATTATCTAACATTACCTCCAAGATCTTAGAGTCAAATGAATTCAACAGATGGCAAATTATCTAACATTAACACCAAGATCTTAGAGTCAAATGAATTCAACAGATGGCAAATTATCTAACATTACCTCCAAGATCTTAGAGTCAAATGAATTCAACAGATGGCAAATTATCTAACATTAACTCCAAGATCTTAGAGTCAAATGAATTCAACAGATGGCAAATTATCTAACATTAACTCCAAGATCTTAGAGTCAAATGAATTCAACAGATGGCAAATTATCTAACATTAACTCCAAGATCTTAGAGTCAAATGAATTCAACAGATGGCAAATTATCTAACATTAACTCCAAGATCTTAGAGTCAAATGAATTCAACAGATGGCAAATTATCTAACATTAACTCCAAGTTCTTAGAGTCAAATGAATTCAACAGATGGCAAATTATCTAACATTACCTCCAAGATCTTAGAGTCAAATGAATTCAACAGATGGCAATTTATCTAACATTACCTCCAAGATCTTAGAGTCAAATGAATTCAGCAGATGGCAAATTATCTAACATTAACTCCAAGTTCTTAGAGTCAAATGAATTCAACAGATGGCAAATTATCTAACATTAACTCCAAGTTCTTAGAGTCAAATGAATTCAACAGATGGCAAATTATCTAACATTAACTCCAAGATCTTAGAGTCATAGGGACAACCACTGATTAAATTCCTGGAGCAGGCCCATAGTTTGGAACATGGTAAATCTGTCTGATTTGAACTCTGTTGTGGTATATATTTAGCTTAATGGGTTCTTATTGGCGACACTTTGCAGGAGTCAATAAAGATATTATAGTTTAGGAATTTACTATCAAAACTGGGCAAAGTATTCCAATTCATACTAAAGTTATTTAAGATAACTATATATTCTTCACAGTTCTATAAAATCTTCCCTTGGATATATTAATGATTAAAATGTGAGTGTTTGTTTTACAGATATAAAACCTTCAAATGTTCTAGTCAATACCCAGGGTCAGGTCAAACTTTGTGATTTTGGTGTCAGTACGCAGGTAATTATTTTAAACAAAATGTAATATTAGGTAAAAGATATGAGAGAGCAACAAAAACAACACATTGTGAGACAAAACAATGAACGTGTTTAATTACCTTGAAATAAAAATGCATGTTCATTAAGATATAGACTGTTTGAAATATTTGGCAAATTAAGGTTATTAAGCAGATTCTGAAGTTCACTAAACATGGAAATGTGATAGTCCAAAGGTGGCCTGCATGATGTCCTATGTTCAAAGTAGAACAATAATATTTATATAATTTTATATTTTTTATGTTTTAAACATTTTCTAACACCCTTTTTGTGAAATCTTGAATATACTTACATTTTCTCATGTGATGTTGTTGTGAAATAGATAGATAATCATTCATTTTCTGCTGATTAACTGCCATTAAAAAGTAAAATGCTTATTTGGGACCATTGTGTATTCTTGTACACTGTAACCTTTAAACTTAAGCTATGCAAATAATTAAAATCAAAGAGTTTTAAATTGGTATTTGCCTAACAGTTCAGAGTTAGAGCCAAAACTGGTCAGTATTGAGTCAGATAATTGTTTCCGGGTAGGATAACATGTTTTCCTGCACCTGTTACCTTGTGATGCAGTACATTAAAAATGCATCTCAGCTTGTCAGTGTAGTACAAAGCAGGGAATATTGAAATTTTATTAACCTGAATATGCATGGAATATTAGCAGCTGAACCACAAACAGCCATCAAACAATAATTGTCTGGATACATGCATACTATCTATGAAAAAAAAGAGATATTGTGCAGTTACAGTAGAAAAATAGTTTTATTCTGATTGTATATTTTGTAATTTCAGCTAGTAAAGTCAATAGCTAAAACCTATATAGGAACCAATGCATATATGGCTGTAAGTTTATTTTGTAAGATATTACACAAAACATTCCAGCATGTATGAGTTTCTATTCAACATCTAAAAAAAGAAACTTGCTTGAAAATTCTTAAAATATCTACTATATCGGATCTATCCTCTAATGTTAAATGTGAATTTCTGTGTGGCAGTTGTGCATAACATTATTATCACAGTAATCTTGATTAAATTGTTTCACAGTTTGTAATGTCAGAGCCTTTTCTAGCTTGGTATGGGGTATAAGTTTTACTCATTGTTTAAGGTGGTATGGTGACCTATATTTGCTAACATTTCCTTCATTTGATCTCTGGTTGATAGTTGTCTCATGGGCAATCATTCCACATCTTAAGAGTTTTATTAATGAACTTAGATTCAATGTTTGATTTTACCAATTAGAGGGATTTTTAGTTGCCTTTTATTTTAGGGCAAATTTTGCTCCAAATTGTACCTTTACCTTTGTCATATGTTATATATAACTAAATATCAATGTAATTTTAGCCTGAAAGAATAAGAGGAGAGGTATATAGCCATCCTGCAGAAGTATGGAGCTTTGGTATAACTTTGTTTGAGGTAAGTCTGAGTAAATAGCAGCCATCCTGCAGAACTATGGAGCTTTGGTCTAAGTCTGAGTAAATAGCCATCTAACAGAAGAGTGGAGCTTTGGTATAACTTTGTTTGAGGTAAGTTGTGAGTATATAAAAACCCTGCAGAAGTATGGAGCTTTGATATAACTTTGTTTAAGGTAGGTCTGAGTAAATAGCAGCCATCATGCAGAACTATGGAGCTTTGGTCTAAGTCTGAGTAAATAGCCATCTAACAGAAGAGTGGAGCTTTGGTATAACTTTGTTTGAGGTAAGTTGTGAGTATATAACAACCCTGCAGAAGTATGGAGCTTTGATATAACTTTGTTTAAGGTAGGTCTGAGTAAATAGCCATCTGATAGGAAAATAACTGACTTTATTTGAGGTAAGTCTGAACATATAGCCATCCTGCAGAAGTATTGAGTTTTGGTATAACTTTATTTGAGGTAACTTGAGGTGACATCTGCTATTGCTTGCAATGGCAATTCTAGTTAACATATATTTTTGTTATTTACTATTTAAAAGGATGTGGTACTTAATCTAGAAATGTAATTTCATTCAGTAGTATGATATGACAGGCCCTGTTAAAAGGTCAATAACAGATAAAACTGTCCAATTGTTACAGAAATTTCAGTATTAATAGGAATTTTATTAAAATAATGTATCTTTTTCAGCTTGTTCAAGGAAGATTTCCATATGACAATGTAAGTTTTGTGTATATTTTTTAAAATAGCATCCAAGATGATAAATCATATCCCAAGAACCAGAGAGAGAATTAAACTAAAGTAAACAACTACTGGTCCTGAATATAACCAGAAATTTTCTGGTCCATATTTAATTCATCCAACATCACTGAAAATTTATCCACACTGTGAACACTTATACTTGGTTTAAACAACACTTAATAAATAAATAAAAACATAAAGTATACTGTATAACAAAAGAATAAAAAAACAAGCAACAAAGCTTATTTTAATCTGTCTCCAAAAATTCAAGCATTTATTTAATGAAATGCAGAGTTTTTTAATTTGAATGTACATTTACAACATTTCCTAGTTAGAAGATAATGGGAGACTAAATAACAAAGCCATTTTACTATGTTTTTAGCATGTGGAATGATTATATATTCTTCTTCTTGCGGTTAAGTAGTCCTCCCAGGGGAGTATTTTCGTACCGTTGACTATTTACATACTTGATGCGAGGACAAAATTGTGGAAAAAGTGCATATATGTATACCGTGCAGCTGTGCTTCAATAAAATCTGGTTAAAAACGACATCACTATCTACCGTACCTGGACACACTGCACACCTTGTTAAAGGAGACCTTGTAAAACATGTCAATGAAGTTATAACAGTATTTAAGATGTGGCTGTATTCACTTTCATTTCTAAATGTGAATAACAAGAGCTGAGTCTATAAAAATTAATAGGTTGTGAATTATTTCTTTAGATTCTAATTCATTTATAAACCTTTAAATTTTGTTTTAGATGTCTGTGTACAACTCAGTAAGTATTTCTCATTTTATTTCAGTGATATTGAAATTAGCTTTAATAAAAATGTATATGATATGCATTTAATGTATTTAGTTCTAATTTAAAGATATCAAAGTGTGAAGCATTAATTTCAGTTTATAATTATTCAATATTAAAAATTTCTTTAATTTTACAAGACTGTCTTTACACTATTCCACATAAATAAAGGCAACAGTAGTATACCGGTGTTCAAAAGTCATAAATCGATTGAGAGAAAACAAATCTGGGTTACAAACTAAAACCGAGGGAAACACATCAACTATAAGAGGAAAACAAAGGAACAACAGGAACACTGAAGTGTTACAAAAACAAACGCCAACATACATAGAAACAAACTATTTGATAACAACTGCCATATTCCTGACGTGGTACAGGACATTTTAAGAAAAAGTGGTGGGTTGAACCTGGTTTTATGGCTAGCCAAACCTCCCTATAAAATATGAATGAACAGTTGTGTATTCATCTAAATATTTTAAATCATGCTGAGTTCTTTTAATGTTTTCCAATCAATAGTTATAATGTGTTGTGGTTAATCTTCTTATATTTAGCCCATGGCACTACTAAACAGAATAACTAGTGAAGTAAGTACATTCTACTTTTTATTGGTCATAATTTTTTTCACTAATACACATAATAAATATCGCTTCAACTAACAAAACACCAGGAGATGTTAATTGTGTGTTTTGACATTAACTAATTTTTATTTTTTATGTAGATCAATCCTTTATTTTGTAACATGTTTCAAAAAATTATCCTTGTTCAAAAAATTCGTAAGGGTTCCACGGAACCCAGTGTCTCGCCTACTTTTGCTGTTAATCGCAGGCTCAACAAAAATGAAAAAAAAAATTAATAAAAATATTCCTCTCTATACTATCTTTTGATTGTAAGTAGCTTCTGTCCAAGTTTGGTAAAAATCCAGGATAGTTTATGAATCTAATAAATGTTTTAAAAACTTAAACTGCAGACTGTATGTTATGTTAACTGGAAGAAAAACTAAGTTCATTTATAAGTAAAATACGGAAAATATGGAACAAAATTTTAACAAAATTTCCTTCTAGATACTAGGTTTTAATCATAAACAAGCTTCTGTCCAAGTTTGGTACAAATCCAAGATAGTTTAAGAAAGTTGTTAAAATTTTAAAAACTCTAACCACAGAGTGAATGTAATGTTAAATGGCAGAAAAACTAAGTCCATTTATAAGTAAAATACGGAAAATATGGAATTTGTTTTTTACAAAGTTTACTTCTGGATACTATCTTATGATCATAAACAAGCTTCTTTCCAAGTTTGGTAGAAATCTAGGATAGTTTAAGAAAGTTATTAAAATTTCAAAAACTTTAACCACAGAGTGAATGTAATGTTTCCTGGCAGAAAAACTAAGTCCATTTATAAGTAAAATACGGAAAAATAGAATTTTTTTTTTACAAAATTTACTTTTGAATATTATTTTATAATCATAAACAAGCTTCTGTCCAAGTTTGGTAGAAATCCAGGATAGTTTAAGAAAGTTATTAAAATTTCAAAAACTTTAACCACAGAGTGAATATTTGTGGACGCCGCCAACGACGACGCCGACGACGGAATGTAGGATCGCTATGTCTCGCTTTTTCGACAAAAGTCGAAGGCTCGACAAAAATGTCAAACAATTATTTTAGCCATTATCAATGATAAGAAAAGAATTCTTTTGACTGCAAAAGTTTACACTCTTTCACTTATGGTTAAAGATCTTCTAGAAAAAAAGCATCATAAAGGATTGCAATTAAAGGTGTAATTTTGTATGGATGGTTATTTCTTTGCAAAACTTTGGGCTATAAAACATTGTTGGTTTTGTTATAAAGATAAAATGTTGGTATGTTTCTCCTTTCTGTTCATTTCACAAGGTGTTCTACTATACTTTGACTTTGAGGAAAACTAAATGCACATGAACTTTTAAAAAAGGCTGTTACAATTTTTTTAAATGCTTAACATTAACTCTGCAATATTGTATAAACATTTGTGTTTTTTTTTAAAGACAATGACATTATAATTTCAGCCAACTCCAAGACTTTCTGAAAATGAATATTCACCTGATTTCATTGATTTTGTATCAAGATGGTAAGTTTTTAGCATAACAACTGTATTCTAATTTTATTATTTAACACCATATAAAAATATCAGCAACTTCATTTTCCTTATCATAAAAACATTTTTCAGTTTCTTACTGGTTTTGATCAGTCGTTATAATCCTGGAATCTTCCAAAATACACTAAAATAGAGGTGAAAGATATCAAAGGGATATTCAAACTCATGAGTAGAAAAACACACTGACTGGTGAAAAACGACAAAAAGGCAAACAACAGTATACAAAACACAATATAGAAAGCTAAAGACTGACCAATGGTCACTAACAGAATTTTGTCCACCTGTACATCTTTTGGATAGTAGTTTATTATTCGTGTTGCTCTTATTAAAGTATACCAAACATCACCATTTACATATTTATCACTAATACATGTAAACAAATATTACTGATATAAATCGCAACCAAAACAAACCATCAGATATGTAATAAAAGAATCAATATAAAATTTGGTAAGATGAAATTCTGTCACTTTCAGAAATAGGAAATTATGTCTCAAATATATCTTTGATTTATATAACAATAATTACATATATACATTGGTGTATGGCTACTGATAATATACAAATAAACAAAATCTGAAAAAAAAATACAATAACACATTTCTACATTATTCAAGGTACATGTTCAAACCTTTGCAAGTTATAGTTCTAAAAAGTATTCATGTAATAGTAGCTTTCCGTTTCCCTTAAACAAGGTGGTATAATGTTTGATTATTGCCAGGATGTGGTTCCCTGGAGTAATTCCCCTTTTAACTTCATAAATGATGCATTTCTACATTAGGTCTTCTTTGAACAAAACCTTAGGTTAACAGAAAATTTGGAATGGAAAACTAGTCTGCATCAGTGAAAAACTCATTTATTGTTTTATTTTGTAACAGTATGCAACCAATTCCAAGTCACAGATTAAAAATGGAAGAATTGTCAGTAAGTATTGACCAGATTATTTTTAAAGCATCAATAGTGCCAAAATTGTAATAAACTGTTGACATAGAGGTATGTCTTGCCTGTATGTAATTTAATATGTGCCATGGTTATACATCTGTATACCAAATATCATTAACTTATCATTAGTGTTTCCCCTTAAACTAGCGTAAACACAAACTTCAACATGTTTCCTATCCAAAGTTTCAAATTCAATATACCATGACTGAGGGGGTGGTGCCAAGATGGGATGTGCCAATGCTTATACAATTGTGTACCAAATAGCATTGATTTACCATAAGTGGTTCTCCTTAAACTGACCAATCACAAACTTTAATAAATTGTTGATGTAGCTGCCAGAAACAGCATACCTAAGTCTCACTTTTTGACTTGTCAAGGCCAGACAAAAACTGTCTTCTTTTTTCAATTGAATAGCATTGTACATGTTCTATGTTTGAATAAGTAAATATAGAAATCATAATGAACACAGTAGCTAAATTTTATTTTTGTCCCCTGCGTAATGTGGTGCGGGGGACGTGGAAATACCAGGCGTCCGTCGGTGTGTCCCTCAGTCTGGTTTTGTTAGCGCTCTCACAGGAACAATTCTTGCCAGATATTTATAGAACTTATACTATAGGTTAATATCAGCAATATCTCGGACAAGTTTTATAATGGTGGACGATCAACTTTTTTAAAAGAGAAAGGCCCCTTGGAAATATGAAATATGTGCAAAGCAGGGGACATTGGAACTCTGTTCTTTTATTAATATATATTTTTATATAAGTATTTGTATTTGAGGATGCCCAACAAATTTATTTTCAGCACAAGTCTTTCAGTAATACAACCAAATTCATAAACATATGGATGGGTTCTTATGCTCAATTTCATTCCAAATCAGTGAAAACTTATTCTTGAAATGTTCTGTTTGAATAAAAAAAACTTAATAAACAATTGGCTTTGCATGCTTTTATGAGTTTTACAAAATCATATGTTTTATATTGAAACAAAACATTTAACAACTGAATCCTGGATGACTGTGAACAAATTTGAACTGGTTTTAAGTTGTTATGGTGCCTTAAGAAGATCTTATAAGAAAAGTTATTTTGGTGAATTAGGGCTCATTTGGCCTAATCACAAAGCAACTGTCATCATTTCATTCCATAAAATCATTGAATTTTAGTATCACATATTAGGATGCTTTTTGTACGTATAGTTAGGAGGAATATAGATTGTAACATTCAATTATTTAGTCTTGCAAAATGCTATTTTATTTTCCTAATTTTAATGTCATAAAAAAATACACATGCCATATTTATTTGAGAGAATTCTTTTTTCAGGTTCACAGTTTTATACAAAGAAACAATGATGGAAACCTAGCCATTATAGCTGCCTGGATACAAGCCAAACTTGCCCAAAGACAATCTATATCATAGCATTATAGTTATTGTTTATAAACTATACAAAAGTTCAAAAGCTGTGATAGAAGCATTATATAATACCAGTCAAGGAAACCTAATGTCTAGTTGACATAATTTTCCTCTGTTATTTGTTGTATCACCTGGATTGATCCACTATTTACATTGTGCCTTGACCAAGTAAAGGATCAAGACAGTGAATGGTCATTTGTTTCAGTAGTTATCAAGTAATTCAAAGTGGCTAGTATATATGGACATCCATTTTTTATGTCCCAACTACAATAGAAAGAGACATTATGTTTTCAGGTTTGTGTGTTACTTTGTTGGTCTGTCCGTCCCATATCAGGTTAAAGTTTTCAGTCAATGTAGTTTACCATGAAGTTGTGGTCACATCAACTTGAAACTTAGTACACATATAAAAATAAGATGATATGGTGTGGTTGCCTATGAGACAACTCTCCACCAGAGACGAATGACATAGAAGTGAACAAATATAGGTCATTGTACGGCCTTCAAAAAATGAGCAAAACCCATACTGCATAGTAATCTTTAATGTCCCGAATTGACAAATGTAAAACAATTCAAAGAGAAAACTATCTGCCTGATTTATTTACAAAACAAATACGATATGCAGCAACAAAAACAATCACTGAATTACAGGCTCCTGACTTGGGACAGGCACATACAGAATGTGGTGGGGTTAAACATGTCCATTATGTTCACTGATGAAAGTTTCAACCCAAAAATTGCATTTCATTGAACAAGAATATTGACTTTTGCCCTAACCTAAAAGTATTTATTATGTTGTATTGGCTACAAGAATATGTCATAAACTTTTTTTTTTATGAAAATGTTTTTAAACAGATTTGTCTGTTTCAATAGCATACATTTGTACATGAACATTGCTGAACCATTCTATAGTGTTTTATTTGGTGCAAACTATACCTGGTTTTACAGGATTTTTTATATGAATGCTTGTATTTGTGAGAATGACTAAATGTGACTATTGATAGTGTTGTTTATAAATTGGTATGTTGAATTTATGATAGATACTAGTATTGCAATTATATGCCTGGATTTATAATCCAAAATATTTATACTTCATTGTTTATGTGCATTATTGTTAAATGAGTGAGACTTAACCCTACTTAAATGAATTAAAAAAATAAAATATTGAAAGTTTTCACTAAAGAGGCAAAATATTTGCCATTTTGCATTACTAAATTGCTGTATCTTTCATATTTAATTGTCAGCATTTTTCACAAACGTATATAATATTTGCCACTGGATGTTAAGCAAACAATAATAAATGCCACTAAATGTTAAGCAAACAACAATAAATGCCACTGCCCTGACTGGATGTTAAGCAAACAACAATAAATGCCACTGCCCTGACTGGATGTTAAGCAAACAACAATCAATGCCACTGGATGTTAAGCAAACAACAATCAATGCCACTGGATGTTAAGCAAACAACAATAAATGTCACTGCCCTCACTGGATGTTAAGCAAACAACAATAAATGTCACGGCCCTCTCTGGATGTTAAGCAAACAACAATCAATGCCACTGGATGATAAGCTAACAACAATAAATGCCACTGCCCTAACTGGATGTTAAGCAAACAACAATAAATGTCACTGCCCTCTCTGGATGTTAAGCAAACAACAATAAATGTCACTGCCCTGACTGGATGTTAAGCAAACAACAATAAATGTCACTGCCCTCTCTGGATGATAAGCAAACAACAATAAATGCCACTGCCCTGACTGGATGTTAAGCAAACAACAATAAATGCCACTGCCCTAACTGGATGTTAAGCAAACAACAATAAATGTCACTGCCCTCTCTGGATGTTAAGCAAACAACAATAAATGTCACTGCCCTCACTGGATGTTAAGCAAACAACAATAAATGCCAATGCCCTCACTGGATGTTAAGCAAACAACAATAAATGCCACTGCCCTCACTGGATGTTAAGCAAACAACAATAAATGTCACTGCCCTCACTGGATGTTAAGCAAACAACAATAAATGCCACTGCCCTGACTGCATGTTAAGCAAACAACAATCAATGCCACTGCCCTCACTGGATGTTAAGCAAACAACAATCAATGCCACTGGATGTTAAGCAAACAATAATAAATGCCACTGGATGTTAAGCAAACAACAATCAATGCCACTGGATGTTAAGCAAACAACAATTAATGCCACTGGATGTTAAGCAAACAGCCATCAATCAATCACAAATGTACAAAAGGTGGCCTTGGCTTGGTTCCTCTACATTGATCACTACTTGCCTGTCAACTGGTAAAGTTGTGAGTTCAAAAATTGCTCGTTGCTAGGTGTGTTTAACTCCAATCTTAATTTACAAGGGATGCCAGTTTTCCTGCCAAAAGTTGACTATTTCTTAGAGTGCTCCAGCTTCCACCACCAATAAAAACCTTGCCACAATATAGTGCAAGTCACTGAAAGTGGTGATAAACATCAACAAATAAACAAACAAATGTACAATGAGCACTTCCAGTTTTAAGTGTACTATTGTTTTTTACTTTTTATACGACCGCAAAAAAATTTTTGTGGTCGTATATTGGTATGACGTTGGCGTCGTTGTCGTCGTCCTAAGACACATTGGTGTTCGCACTCTAACTTTAGTTTAAGTGAATGGATCTCTATGAAATTTCACCACAAGGTTCAATACCACAAAAGGAAGGTTGGGATTGATTTTGGGGGTTATGGTACCAACAGTAAAGGAATTAAGGGCCAAAAAGGGGCCAAAAATAAGCATTTTTGTAACTTCCAGACATAATTTGTGTGTTAGTGTATGGATCTCTCTGACATTGTACCACAAGGTTCCATATCACAAAAGGAATGCTGGGATTGATTTTGGGGGTTATTGTCTCAAAATTTTAGGATTTAGGGGCCAAAAAAGGCAAAAAACAAGCATTTTTCTAGTTTCATGACAATAACTTGTGTGTAAGTGTATGGATCTTTCTGAAATTGTACTACAAGGTTCCATATCACAAAGGGAAAGCTGGAATTGAGTTTGGGGGTAATTGCCGAAACGTTTAGGAATTGGGGGCCAAAAATAAGCATTTTTCTAGTTTCCAGACAATAACTTGTGTTCAAGTATATGGATCTCTCTGAAATTGTACTGCAAGGTACCATACCACAAAGGGAAGGCTGGGATTGATGATGGGGGTAATTGCCTCAATATTTTAGGAATTAGGGGCCAAAAAGGGGCAAAAAACAAGCATTTTTCTAGTTTCAGGACAATAACTTGTGTGTAAGTGTATGGATCTTTCTGAAATTGTACTACAAGGTTCCATATCACAAAGGGAAAGCTGGGTTTGAGTTTGGGGGTAATTGCCCTGAACGTTTAGGAATTTGGGGCCAAAAAAGGGCCAAAAAACACATTTTTCTAGTTTCCAGACAATAACTTGTGTTCAAGTGTATGGATCTCTCTGAAATTGTACTGCAAGGTACCATACCACAAAGGTAAGGCTGGAATTGAGTTTGGGGGTGATGAATCATAAGGGGGTTCAAAAAATTTGGGGGGGGATTTTTTTTTTTTTCCTTTTTTTTCTTTTTTTCCTTTTTTTTTCCTTTAAAATTTTCCATTTTAAGTTGGTTATTTCTGATTTATATTTAAAAGCAAACAATAATGATATGGTAGGAGATACACACCAAACAGGATGTGTAAATTATTATATAATAAGTTTTGTGCAATAGCAAGAAATTTTCAATTGCACAGTATTGCACAATAGCAAGAAATCTTCAATTGCACAGTATTGCGCAATAGCAAGAAATATCCAATAGCACAATATTGCGCAATAGCAAGAAATTGTCAATTTTACAGTATTGCGCAATAGCAAGAAATTGTCAATTTTACAGTATTGCGCAATAGCAAGAAATATTTAATTGCACAGTATTGTGCAAAAGAAGATACTTCGTATAAATTGCTTATTTCTTGACCAATTTCAATGGGGTTTTATTCTTGAATTCTTGGGGTTCTTTAATATGCTGAATCTAACCGTGTATTTAGTTTTTGGATTTTGGGCCCCGTTTTTAAATTGGTCCACATTGAGGTCCAAAGGGTCCAAAATTAAACTTTGTTTGATTTCATCAAAAATTGAATTAATGGGGTTCTTTGATATGCCGAATCTAACCGTGTATTTAGATTCTTAATTTTTGGTTCCGTTTTCAAATTGGTCTACATTAAGGTCCAAAGGGTCCAAAATTAAACTTTTGTTTGATTTCATCAAAAATTGAATTCTTGAGGTTCTTTGATATGCTGAATCTAACCATGTATTTAGATTTTGGATATTGGACCATAATAGGTGAATGTCCAATTTAAAATTTTTAAGTTCTTAGACCACATTCATTCTGTGAAGAAACCTATGCTGTGTCAAATATTTAATCACAATCCAAATGCAAAGCTGTATCAAGCTTGAATGTGTCCATACTTGCCCTAACTGTTCAGGGTTCGACCTCTGCGGTCGTATCAAGCTGCGCCCTGCGGAGCATTTTATTCTGTTTTGGTTTATAAATTATAATTGTATTGAGTTTGAAGAATGCTGTTTTAAATTTCAGCACCAATCTTACACCATAGAATATTAAGAGTTTATAATGTACATTTTCAAGGGAATTAACTCTTTGGGTAATGATGAGCATTCAATGTTTAATGTTGTTGCCAATTTTGTATACATTTGTCATTGTTACAGATGAATTGAGAGGAAAACTGATAAGAAATGAACATTGCATAAAGAAACCAATTATAAGCAAAGTTAAACTAACTTTTCTATCCCTTTTTATTGCAATTAGGCATTACTTTGGGTCGATTGTCATTAACCTTTTCAAAAAAAATTCTTTTTCTGAAACAATTAGACCAATGGAAACCAAAGTTGGGCTGTGTGATCCTCAGGGTAAAAGTTATGTTTGTGTTCCTGCCAAGCATCCTATATGGCCACTATAGCTAAAATACATCGTATGGGTCAATTGCACATAATTGTGTAATATCTTGAAAACCACAACAAAGAAAATCTGACAGCAAAAATGCTCAGAATGTCAGAAGATCTACCTACTTTCCTATACTACCTTAACATTATAGGAATTACTGCCTATAAATGACAATTTTGCAACCATTTTTTCTGTTTTTGTCTATTGCTATATATAAAACATAAAAGATGGATAAAATTAGTACAAAACAAATTATTATTAATACAAGATCTACAAAAATGATAATATAGAAAGTGAAGATATTTATTTTCCTTTAATGAGTTCTAAAAGAAACAAAGTACAATATGCATTAGACATTATTTTAAACCGAAAATTATTGTACAATTCGAACCTGCAATATATATGTAGTTTATGTATGTTTATGTAAGTAATACATCTTTCTCAGATACAACAAAAGAAATGCAGGCAGTAAATGATTTTGCAATTAGTTCAGACGTTTATATAACTTAAAGACAGAAGACACCATTAAATAATGGTGCTACATGGCACGGTAGGTGATAGATGGTTATTGCATGTAAAAAGAGGATAATAATCAAGTTAGTTACGTAGCTTAGGAAGAAATTGCAAATAACTTGACTAGACATCCTCGGGACTAATGCAGAGGGATTATATAGAATATATTGTGGTTTAAAGCTATCCTAATGGAAGGAGGGTTTCTTTTTGTGGAGTATCGCCTGTCACAATTGTGAGACAGAGTTTAAAAAATCCGGCGGTGACGGCTTAAACTATTTGTATAAATCTTTATAAGACCTGGATGCTTCCTACCTTGTAATTGGATGCCTTATTTTACAAAGTTCCCAACCGTCTTATGTCCATTGTCCTTGACCTCATTATCATGATTCAACGACTGCTCGAAAAAAAATTCTGTCGTGTAAATACTCACTTATTATGAGTAATAGGATAACTGTATTTGGTGTATTGGATCCTTGCAAGGTCTACATATCTGTCGAAGAGGGTTCACCGGACCTCAACCTCATTTCATGAATCAGTTATCAAAGTTAAAGGGATAGTAGCTACGATTTTGACAAAATTATGACCAAGTTTTAAAGCTGCTAAAATCAAAGATATGTACTTTAAATTAACAATAAGATCGGTGGAATGTTTATATAAAGTACAGAAGTGTTAATAATTGATAATTAATATCGTGTAGCGTGCATTTTCATCTCATTAATTATGCATCGGGTTTACTTCCCGAACTTTGCCGACACAGCGAGTGAGATGACCTAGATATAAATAAATATGAACATGTGCTTTTGTTTTCTTACGTATTTGACAATTTCTTTAGATTAAACGTACATATTTGAAACCATTTATCAAATTATGTAAACAACAAAATATACCAAATGCCTGCATATTATTCTCCAACAATGGCGATATTATACACTTGTTTTATATTTGTATGACAAAACAATGCCGATAACGTATACACGTGTTTGTGAATTGAATTGGGGCCTTCACGCAGGGTACACCGAAAGAATAATATTAAATTGTAAGAAGTTGATTTTTAATGTCTTCTAAGTTGTGAGATCACTGCTCTTAAATTTATAAAAATATTTTGGACAATAATGATTTGAACACGTCGCGATTTATTTTCATGTGATCTGGATTCGAAAAGTTCAGAAATGTTTTTTACATTTCGCAAACCGTCGTAATGTCGACTGCTTATATAATGACTTTATCTGCGTGACGGGTGTTTGTAAATGATTCTAATGACCGATCTCATCGCCGTTATTTATTTTCAATTTACAATAACTTGTCTGCACCTCTTTACTGTTTCTTTTTCTCGCAGAAACTGTAAACACACGTTCCATTTCCGCGATAACATTCCTCTGTTCGACATTTTCCCTTCGAGGGACAACTTGCGATTGCGCATTGGGAACTGCGGAGTTAAGGTCAACATAGGTCATATGAATAAGGGTTGGCTTAACATCGAATGTTTGTCCATAGACAAGAATTAAATTTAGGTGTAAAACGTTAAAAAGCTTTCTAAATGCTAATTGGAAAGTAAACAGTGATGGTTTTATTCATTCTAAATAAACCTTTTGTACAAAATCCGGCATATAGATTAGAAAAATAATTTTAATGAAAATCGTAGCTACTATCCGTTTAAGTTTTCGTGGTCAAGTTCGTATTTCAGAAATCATAAGCAATAGGTCAACTATATTTAGTGTATTGAATGATTGTAAGGTGTAGATGTCAGACAGGCAGGTTTCATCTGTCCTTTACCTCATTTTTATGGTTCATTGGTTAATGTTAAGTGTTGGTTGTTTTGTCTGTTTCTCAGACATCATATTAAGCAATAGATTTTTTGTACTTTCTTAAGATCTTTGTTATATTAAAGTCTAACAAATAAAGTATGCGGAAACTTAAAACTATTAGTCTGTTTCTTTTTGATTATACCAGAGACATGTGTATATATGTCTCTGATTATACCGTCCGTTGTGCAAGATCAGCAACCATTAATATAAAGCAGTAATCATTCATTTTTAGACATCTTTCAGTATCTATTTTCTCGTCTGACTGAAGACTGTACTTTTCACTCCATACAATTTTGTAGTAATGGAAATAAATAATAAATTATTTTAACATTGTGAATAAAACTCTTGTTGTTATAATTTTTAAATACTCAGAATACATTTGGTATATTGCTGTCGTTGGGTTTACGCCCACAACTTTGTTCAATTATAAAACAAATTCAATACTTAACGATGAGAACAACGGGAGAATTTCTTGGACCATCAGACATAAATGGTAAAGAAAATATTATCAATATCATTTGCCATTTTATTGCTTAAAACGTTGAGTTCCCATGAAACACATTTACGATGCGTAAACATTTCATTTGTAACAACATTGGCAACATGTTTACCCTTGTACTCTTATTTTCAGTAGCAAGGGCATCGATATTCGGTGGACTATCATAAATATTTGTACTTTTAACTATTTTATATCCACTGTAGGTATGCATTTTATTAAGAATTGAATGCTTCTTTTTGTAATTTTATTGGGGGTGTGAAAGATTAACCGAATAACGTTTTGCGGAAGCGTTTCATACTAAAAATGTGCGCACGATCAAGGCTTTTACAACCCTATAAAATTACAAAAAGAAGCATTCAATTCTTATAACTAAATTTTTATGCAAACACAATGAAATTACGAGTAATAGCATTTTTTTCTTTTGTTTCCCATTGCATTGGTGTGACGGTGTTGACACGAGAAGCACGTGATGTCATGAATGTTGAATGTTTTGAGAAATACAATTTGATATTACAATGCCTCGCGATTACTTTTAGCCAATCAAGAGTACGGATTCTTATGAAACGTATATGTATGGTAATTATTAAGAAATGTTCTATTATTTTGGTTAAAACGCGGCATGTGCAAAGTGATCTTGTTAGATCACTTCAATATCATATAATTACATTATATGTTTGTTTCATTAGAATCCGTAATTTTTATTGGCTGATATAACAATTGCCAGGAACTCCAAAACACGTCATATTTTACTTCCGTATGAAATGCCACAGCTATGCCTGCACGTGCTATCCATGACAATTTTAAAACAATGCAAAAAAACAAACGAAAAGCTTGATATAACTCTTAATTTCATTTCTAATTCCGCGCTTTATAAAAATGTGCTCCGGTTAACGCTTTTTTGTGTTCTTAATGCCTTGTTTTGTATTTCAGATCTACCGCTGTCACTGTAGTGTCGTGTGTTCTTAATGTCGTGTTTTGTATTCCAGGTCTAACGCTGTCACTGTAGTGTCGTGTGTTCTTAATGTCGTGTTTTGCATTCCAGATCTACAGCTGTCACTATAGTGTCGTGTGTTCTTAATGCCGTGTTTTGTATTCCAGATCTAACGCTGTCACTTTAGTGTCGTGTTTTGTATTCAGTCCAACACGACGGGTGCCACTAGTTGAGCAGGATTTTATCATAGTTAGACGATGAAACAATTGCACTCGACACAACCATAGCATTTGCTAAACAAAGGCCATTGGATGAATTTAAAATGTGTCAAGTTTGAATTCTAGTTTGGTTTCCTCAAACTTGTCAAATACCGGACGGGTACCAGACTGTTTATGTGTAATGATTTTCTTTCATATATTCTTCTGTTTTTAAGGACAAACATAATGTTAATATTCGTGTTCTAGGTCTTTCAGTTTTTATGTAGTATTTTGTACATTGTTAACGTTGTTTTCTTTTCGTCATCCAAGTTCTATAATTTTTTTCTTTGGTCTCTCTTCGACTAATATGATTCTCCTTCTCGTACCTTCCACTTGTTTCTTCCTCTTCTATAAAAGTGATTTTGTTTTTGTCTGTATGTGATCGGAACGAACGTTTAGAACCTTGAACTGAATTACTAGCACATAAAAGTGTTGGTCAACGGTTCAATATTTTTTGGTGTTACTTAGGTCTACATGGTATTAAATTCGTCAAGGTGAACTTATTTCTTTTGGGGGAGAAAACTGACTCTAAATAATTCTAGACTTTCTAAATGATATCGCTCACGACATCAGTAATTTCAGACTTAAATTCTTGAACAGCTTTAAAATTAAAATAAAACTTGAAATTCTTAATGCGACACATTGTTACGATCGTGTTTATTGTAAATGGGAAGAGAAGTTGATCATGAAATAATCACCATCAATATATTCTGTTCCATTTATTCCAGTCAAGTGAAATAATAGATACAGTCATAAAAATCATTGGAATTTTGCATTTTAAATAAGGTATCCTCATGTGACTACACCACATCAACAAATTAATAATGCATATGAACTAGATGATACTTCAGTGTCCTTGAGGTACAAATTGTCCAACATCAGGTATGTTGTCATTTCTTATCTTAATATATGATTTATCAATTTATTTATTCATTCATTTCTGTTTGTTTTCTTTTTTTTTAATCAAGATTGCAAAAATAAATACAAAAAAGTTACGTTATTTTTATGAACTCTACATATTCCGATCTTCTTTTATGAGTGATAGATATGTTTATGCCACAGTTCATTATCATATTTTCTTCTCACCTATGTTAGTTTATCGGAAATTACCAAAACCCGTTGGGAGTTTTAAAAATTGAAACTTTTAATTGCAAAATGATACAATATAATATATTGATGGAAAATATGAGTTATTTGTAATTGCTACGAAAACGTGGAAAAAGCTCGAGGAGCCATGCATTTTTCTCGTTTTTTTTTTAACGGGAATGATTTTTCTAGATAGAACATGTACGTGTATTCTCTCAAGTTGTTACAACAAACATACAACAATATAAGATAAACTGCTGACACAGAGATATCTCTCGCCTTTATTCTATTTTGAAAGCATAATGCAAATGTTAAATATGAATGGGAATACTTTAACAACATTCAAATAATCAGATGAGCCAAAGCTAACACAACTGCATATCTATTACAAGTGGTCACCTTTAAACTGTCCTAATCTATGCAAAATTTTCAAGGTCAGTGAACCATAATCCATGGAAACGAAACGTCCACATTCTAACACAACTGCATACTAAATATCATTGATCCAGTGGATTTATGTTAAGACGTCATAAGACTTTGAGAAAGGCATGACCATGTGCAATGCCAGAATATAAGTACCGACAAGACATAGGACTATTTTGGGAAATTATATAGTAAGGTTATAGTACTAATAAATTCCGTGCCCAGTAAACACGCTTATATGAATTATGAACTTTTTTGGAACAAACAATACCACAGATACAATCTGACTGGATGATCATCTATTTTTATGAATTTTTAATCTGTCGTTTTATTAGCATTTCCTCACTGCGTATGTATTCTTTCTTCAGTATCTTCAAATTTTTTTAAATGTTAATTTCGTATGTACTATATACTATTTTTTCCAACCATTGATTTCAGTTATTTCCTCAGAATGAAAGAACATGCGAAGATACAGATTATGGATTGGCATATTATGTTTCATATCTGTGATGGTAAACATTATCTGGTTGACATGGACAGTCAGTAACCTGAACCCACAGACAAATAAAGGAGTTTACGGATTGAACAAACCTGCATTTCAAGTTTGTCCAAATGCGAGCGTTTCAACGGACATTACTTATTCACCGTCTGTCGTTTTACAGAAATGTGCAAATATTCAGATATATGCTTATGCTTTCGTCATGCTGCAAAATGTTGTGATAAATCCTACTAAAGCTAAAAGTAAAAAAGGAGGAGAAGATTTAACCAAAGTCATTGGCCAAGAAGCAGACGAAGAAGAGCTTCAGCCACAACCCGGTTATTTTACGATTAACTGTGATTTCGAGAATTTCAAACTATTGTCAAATGAATACTCTCTGTTTCTTACTAAAATGACTCGTCTGTGGATGCATGTTATTGTAGCACAGGATGGGATGTTGATGTTTAACGAAACCGAAAATACTTTGACGATCGCCGTCCACCGAATCGAATATGCCAACTTATACCACGCAATGACGGAATGGTACAATACATTTTTGGTCGCGTATGTCTTTCGGAAGCTGATTAATTGCCAAATTAATGTACTGTTTCTTGATGGTCATCCGTATTCTGATCTAGATTTAACGTGGTCGACACTATTTGGAAAAGTTACCAGAGCATCTTTTATCAGACAACCAACATTATACCGTAACTTCATTTTAGGTATGGCGGGAAGTAGTAGCCCATTGAACGACCATAAATCAAAAAGTTTGCCAATGGTGGAATCATTCAGAAACTTCTTTCTAATAAAACATGGAATAACTGAAACTGTGACTAAAAACTGTAACCAACTGAATATCCTTTTTATATGGAGACACGACTATGTTGCTCATCCACGAAACCCAAGTGGAAAAATCAAAAGAAAAATTAGAAATGAATTCGAACTTCTAGAAAACGCTAGACGTTTTTTTCCAAATCATAATATCTATGGAAGGCAAATGGAACAATTAAATTTGAAAGAACAACTTATTTTAATTTCAAAAACTAACATTCTTATTGGAATGCACGGAGCCGGTATGTCACATGTATTTTTCCTGGAAACCGGATCAGGAGTGATCGAGTTGTTCCCAAAATATACTCTTCCTTCTAATATACATTTTAAAGCAATGTCGAGATGGCGAAAGTTATTCTATAAATCATGGCAAAATGTACAAAGTTGGAATGAATTTGATGATGGAAGTACTTATATTCATCCAACAGTGATCAAGTATTTAATTCGACGAACAGTCGCAAAGATATGTATCTGATTGAATACTATTTTTTAGGGATATGCCTTACCATTTTTTAACAAAAACTGAAAGTTTTATGTTTCAGTTCTAGTAATGATACTAAATTATGAAAATAAAGTATCTCAATGTCATTATACTATTCAAATGTTGAACATTTAGCAAGATTCAACTTGTTTGATTGCCTGTCGACCGTCATGTTCGCATAATTTCGGATACAAAATTAGTTTAACAAAATTTTATACGAGAAATTGTTTACGCCTTCCCTTTGATTGGAAAATATATCATTTGTTAGCATCAACCCGTCCAAAAAAAAATCGTCTACACTTTTATGGAATTACGCGCCCCCTGGGTTAGTGGGTATTATAAATATCGTAATCACTATCTACATGGATCGATGTCTAATTCATAATTTATACAAGTTTAATGGCACACTGACTATATATGAATTAATTTTCATAGACTTCAATATTACCTCTAAATAATTAATTCTGCAAATCTATATAACCGTAGTCAGGGTAGGTAAACTGTCCGATTGATATCGTGGTTTTTTTTTCGATTGAATTGATTGGATTTTTTTTCTGGTGTGACCAGGTTTTTTACGTGAATATGATTACAAATGTAAATAAACAGACATTGTTTCTGGTACAATGAGAAAACCCATACCGTAAAGCCTTTCCAATACACATACAAATGCAAAAATTAAAGAAAATGCGTTCATACAATCTACATATCCTTACATTGACATACACTTTACAGAAATATGTGTGATTGGATGAATAAGAACATTTTGAGTTTAAATTATTTTTTATATGTCGTGTTTTTCGAGTAGCGTTCAGGTTTTATCGAGTGAATTCACAATATTGCTACAAGTTAAATGCGATCTATTGATGCAATTACGTTACGAAAACATGACATGATAAGAGTTTCATATTTCCATATGCTTCAAATGCCATCTTAGGACCACCAAATAGACGAAGGCATCATACTAGAATTAAATATAAGTGTTGTTTCTTTGTGATATACGAGGATGTAATGTTTATATTAACAAAAGGAAATGTGAGACGACGCCCTAAAGAAACAATAATCAATCAAAGTACTGAAGTACTGAACATCGGATGACCGCAAGTTCTGGTGGATGGTCACAAGCACTTGTCTCAGAAAAAAAATCACATCTCTATACCTGAAAGTTAGGTAAGCACATAGATATATGTTTTTCTGAGACAAGTTCATGTGTGGATGATGAATAAATGACAAAGAATTCAACCTCACCGTTATAACTATTATATTGTAGTGATATAATCATTTGTTATCAGTATACCCTGGTTTGTTGTTATATATTATATTAATATTTGTATAACAGTTATATATTCTATTCTACTGTCCTAATGATAGTGCAGTGCAAGTGCATGGTAGACACTTTTCTGTAATAATTCGTTTTTCTAATATATTGGATTCGAGTAGGAATTCATATTTTCCCGCGTTTGTTACAAAACGTTCTTGAGATATTCTTCCGCATGCGTTAACACAAATTTTCGGTATTCTTGATTTGTGTTATTGGTATATATATTTCTCACGACAAAACATTTTCATATCATTTATCTATGTTCTTAAAAATTATTTTCATGAATATTTATTGATGAAATTAATATATAACAAGCGATAAGGAATGTTATTTTGCACTCGATAATATCCGCGTAATTATACGAAATACGTTCGGTTATCAGTCAAAAACGCAAGTCACTTGGGTAGAAATGTCCTCGGCAACATAACACCGGAATGCCCTCACGGTCATCCTCTGTAAAAAGCATTTAAAGGGCAACAGTCAGTCACGTGTCTATGTAATATATCTAGCCCTAAATCGTCCCAAGTCCATAAAAGTTGGGCATAATCTAAACATAAACAATCAAAGATCTGGAATTAACACATTTATGCAGCTTTGATATTTGATAACAGGAGTTTTGACTCTTCTGGAGCACATAAGTTCACCCCAGGTTATGGTAGGGTCGTTAGGTTTTTGTATGTTTCATTATTATAGTTTGTCTTTTCGACTTTTGTCGTTTTGGTCATGGTGTTGTCTGTGTTTGTCAGACTAATGATTTCTATTGCCCCTTTGGTGTCTTCTTTTCTTTTCACATTGACAAGGATCTAGTTTTCTTACCATTTGAGCTATTTCGTTACTTTCAGGGATATCGCCAAAACTCAAACGTTATTTGTTGCATTGTGAATTCTATTTTTTTTTTTTTATTTAAGGATGTATTTTTCTGATGTTTCAGTCTCGTTGAAATCTCGTTCGGGGATTATTTCTAAAACATGTGATACAAGTGGAAAATATTAATGAATTTAAAAATATCATAATTAAACTAAACTCCGTGTGAAAAATTGTGTACTTACAATTAGTAGATTTTGAGGAATAAAATTTTCAAATTTTATAACCAATCCGGTCAGTGTCATCAGCCAAAGTATTGAGAAAATGGGTGAGGGGTACAAAGAAATGATTTTACCAAAAATATGTACAACCCAAATCAATTTTTTGTTTTCAAAATTCTTAGATAAGTATTTGTTCAATCATTTATAATAAAGAAGTTTAAATAACATAAATTTTGTTCTAGAAAAAAAGAAAAATCCCAAAATTACAAATTTGACAGCTTGGTCAAATTCACAAGAAAAAGTAAGAAATTATTTTAAAACTTTCTTATATCAACACCAACCTTTAGTTTTTTAAGGCAAATATATCAGATTGGTTCACTTCATCTGTAGTGAAAGTATGATAAAAAGTTTAATTGTAAAACTGTGATTTTTTTCATGATAATAGCCCAAAAATTGGTAAAAATTGATGAAGAGTAGGAAAATCATTAAAAATGGGCACTTTCAAATGGCTGTAGCAAAAAAAGGAGTGCACCACAATATGATTTTTTTTTCATCAATTACTTTCTTACAGTCTTATAAACCCAAAAATCAGGTTAAGAAAAAAAGTTTAATTCTAGAAATTGTTGGCTCCTCAGTGGTGTACACATCCTTAAGTTTTGTTGCAATTAATTGGTGTGCGACAAATAATTTATAAGAAACACAAATAATTACAAGATAAAAACAAAGCAAGCATACACAATTATGCATCTCCTGTTGGTAGTTCTATTATGGTTCTATAGTGCCCCGATGTTCTGAACAGAAAGTTGACGTTACACTGAAAAGAGTTTACACTGATAAACATTACAGATCTATGTTTTGAGAGTCTTAAAATGAAAATATGTATTTTCCTTCACTTGACAATCGACTGCAGCATGTAATCAAAACCCGATTTAAACAGTTATCAATGGGGACGTAGTAGAGTTTCGTGTAAGTGTTGAAGACACTAACACCACACCGAGTTAAGCTCAATGCGAGATAATTATCTAACAAAGCCCAAATGACGCGGATTAACGCAACTATAGGTCACAAATATGACCGTCAGTAACTAACGACCACTGAGTTACAGGCTCCTGACTAGGGACAGGCACATATAGAATGTGGTGGGGTTAAACATAACTGTGAGCGTTCAACCTCCTCCCAACTTTCAACAGTGGTGTGGCAGCACAACATAAGAACAAATATCAGTTAATAATGGGTTGACTCATCAAATTGGCACAAAGCACAAAAAACTAACATAATGACAAAGACACAAAATAACATCTAAGAGTACTGGCAGTTATTGAAAGCTAGTTAAAGTCAATAACAACTAATAAATAAATCATGCTATCCCAGACAAAAGTATCAATCAGTACACATCCAGCAGAGTTAGAGCAGTTTGATCCGTGGCGTCAATGTTATTTTGCGTAATGGTGGAGCAGGAACATTCCTTGATGTTTTTTGTTGAATTTGATCATTATACCAAAGGAAATAGAGTACTGAAAACTTACATTGACAGAAATGCTGCGACAAAATTTTTAAACAAGTTTTCACAAATCTTTTGACATTTTTCTCTTGTTTAAAAAGTTATTTCACAAGGAATTTATACTCGTTGATACACACAAATAAGTGATGTAAAATAGATTAATACATGCCCTTTTCTATATCTACCCTATTATCATCATCATCATCCATCGATTGATAGTGTCCTCGGGCTAAAGCCCTCTGATAGATATAAAGATCTCGGGATAATAATAGGGCGGATATAAAAAAGGCATGTTTTAATATATAAATATTGTCTATATAGGTACTAACATTTATTTAAGTCTGAATGGATATCAAAGGTATAAGCGACAGTTGTAACAAGTGTACATCAATTTTTATACTCGCAGAGTGCATCAGAACAATAAACATCAAATCTAAACACCCGTGTTGTGCAACAAAAGAATGAACATCAAACTTCAAACAAATCTTCAATGCACTTTTATATCAAAATGCATAGTTAAAGAATCAAAGATAGGGAAATAAAATGATATTTTTTAATCTTAACTGCCACATTTTACACAACTAAAACTTTTATATTCTTAAGCTTTATGATCATAGCAATTTTGAACAAAAAGAACTTAATGATATTTCAGATATTTTCAATTTTCATGGAACCTGAGAAAGAATATATGTCTTCATTAGCTGCAAAAGGTAACTGGTTGCAAGCCTGACGATATCGGTGAGCCCAATTTTTTTTTTGCATCTTAATTTATCTTCGTGTTTTGCTGTGTATTTCTGTTCCATTAAAACTGTAGTCTTCATCCAATAGTCCCTCTGGTACAAAGTCTGTAATTAAAAAAAAAGAACTAGAAGTACTGTTAGCAGAGCTCGGAAATTGATACCACCGCTCCCTATACCCACTTGAGAATTAACTTTATGAACATGTTATCTTATGGGAACCCTTAAAATCATACTAAAGAAAAAAACAAGACCAATTCTGGGTCCGGACCTGTGTCGCTACATGCAATTAATTGAAGTAGCATGTGTACTGACGTTCCATACCAAATACAAAAGTATTCTTTTCAATAGAAGCCAAAAAAAGAACTACGAAAATGTTCCTTGTACAATGAGTGTTGTCAGGGCCGTAAATTATGTGGAGGCATGTAGGCAGTTTGCAAGCCGACCAAAAAAAAATAATAATCAAAAATAAAAATGATAAATTATTTGAGAGTTCTTATCTTGACATCGTATGCCTGTCATGACACCGTAGAACATCTATCGTGCCCCGTGACCTCTTTAACATGCATGTCAAAACCCATTCACAAATTTTATTCATCATGCTTCCAAAAAATTGTCTTTGCATTCGTCTTCACAATCCACAAAAAAACTTATCACATGGCATTTCGAATTCAGTATAACAAAACCTAACGCAGAATGAAAGCTGGACTTTTTTTTCAATACTTTTCAAATGCGAAGTAGATAGATATAAGAAGATGTGGTATGAGTGCCAACGAGACAACTCTCCATCCAAGTCAAAATTTATAAAAGTAAACCATTATAGGTCAAAGTACGGTCTTCAACACGGAGCCTTGGCTCACACCGAACAGCAAGCTATAAAGGGCCCCCAAAATTACTGGTGTAAAACCATTCAAACGGGAAAACCAACGGTCTAATCTAAATAAAAACGAGAAACGAAAAACATGTATGAACCACATCAACAAACGACAACTACTGAGCATCAGATTCCTGACTTAGGACAGGTGCAAACAATTGCAGCAGGTTTAAACGTTAAAATGGTACCAAACCTTCACCCTTATCTGAAACAATAGTGTAACATCACAACATAGAAAGACACACTATAAAATATCAATTGAAATGGCTTAACTCAATCAAAAGACTTATTAACACCAGTTAACATACACTGAACAAATAAATTTGATCTATGATACAATGTAAATACAAAATAAATAAACTAAGGGAAGAATAATTAAAGTAACATGTTATACCGCTGTGAAATGTTAAACAATTTAAGAACAACAATATGCTTGAACAAAAATATCATCCATTTGCAATTACTTTAAACACAGGTAAATGAAAATAATTTTATTGTTAGGTATACGTGTACAGTTTAAATCATTTTTGTACCCTTTCGATTGTACTGCCTAAATCTTGTCCTTGTCCACAGTTATCAACTCAGTCGTATAGATTTCAAAATTCTGGTGGCAGTTCTAGGTACAATCACGATTACCAGGTCATCAATTCGTCGAGTAAGCGTAGAAATATTAGGGAACCTGTTATGAAAGATAAATGCCAAGATGCCGTTGAATTTAAGTTGATGCATGCTATTGAACCAGGACCAACAGTTCTATCAACTCTTGCAGAAACTCGATAGAGATCACAAACGAATACATAAGATTGGCTGTTGAAACAGTTTGAACAGGTTCATGATATAAATGATATGAAGTTCAAAACCAAACCATTATCGACAAGTCAGATACTTATTAAGGCGAAGTACACATCATTGGATGATATATCGGATTTTTACGAAATTTGGCATGCATTTAAATATTGTTGAACTGCATTTGAATATTGAACAAATGGTACATGTTATAGATATTTCATATCTTTTTAGCTAGGTTTGCGGTATTTCGTAAATTTTACCATAGTTTTTGATAAATCCCCCGGCAATAACCACACGAGACGACATATAGATTCTAGAGATAAAAAGAACCAGAGGTATTTATTATGTCTCTAACAGAGTTCTACCTACAAATTTAGAGGTAAAAAGTGATGGAAAAAATGCATTTTATTCGATTAAAATTGTGATTTCTCATAATTCCGTCAACATTATTTGTTTTAATTTATATTTTATAGCTGCGAACATTTTCGGTTTAATGATATGAAAATATCAGGGGTCACCAGATCATTTTTGCAATCTTTCAAAATCATTTTAAAGTTTGAGTGATGTATGAAAACATATGATAAATTGCGATATTATAGCATGACATTACGCTTATTTTGTTTTTCAACGCATTTGTCAATTTACATACCGAGACTATAATTGATTTTTGGCTGAACTTGAAAACGAATCCGAGTAATTCTGTGGCTGGAATTTCGAGAGGTGCATACAATATACTTTCATCAATGTTTTTTTACATTCATTCTATACATTTATAGATCCTTTTCATAATGTTTTATTAGATATTATCTCTAAAAATATCACCTTTTAGATATTCAGACGCAGTTCATTGAGTTCCAAATACATCCAAAAATTTTATATGGGTAAGAACGCTGTCCATAGAACTTGAATCTGAATAATGTGACCTTGTTAATGCTGCGTTCACACGTAATTCGAATTCGATTCGCATTAACTAATTCGAATTAGTTTAATTCGCATTCGAAACGTTTAACGTCCAAACGTAAATTCTAATTCGAATTGCAATGCGCGTCAAATTCTCTTTACTGTCCTAACGACGTTAACTTTTAATTCGTATTAACAAAAACGCATTTCTAATGCGAGTTGGATAATGCGATTTAGCCAATTCGAATCAATGCGAATTAAAAAAGAAGTGTGTGTGAACGCGATTAGCGAATTCGATTTAAATGTACGTGTGAACGAGGCATAAGATTCATATCCAAGTTCGAACATTAGGTAAATCATTTCTCCTGATACGAGAAATTAGGAGCAAGTTAATAAGAATGAAATATATATTGCACGTTACTATTTACAAATTATACAGGTAAATAGAATGCCCTTGAAAAACACACGCATATCAGTAGGTGTTTTCCATTTGGACCGATCGGTTGGTATAAACCTTGGGTGTGTTTGATTATTCAAAATTAAAACGTTGGATATCCATTGAGGCGCTTCTATTATTTTCTTGTTTATAAATATTATAATAATAATTATTGATATTTATTTAATTATTTTTCATGCCTTCATGCTTATTAGAAAATTACAATTTTATGTAATGTGCAATATAAATATAATGTATATTCATGTATATTATGGAGAAGACGGAACTAAGTTGAAAAACTTGTGTCTTATACATTTGTTTTGTACAATAAAATTTGTTTAAACTAAGAACGAAATTATGAATTTAACACATAATGGTCATAAACTAACAATGTTCAAAATATCTTCACTAAACTTTAAAAGCCATATATTAAAATGTGAATTTGGTAAAATAAATGAGATTATTAGTGATGTAGAGCGTAGTTTCAATTATGACGTTTGACAGGTTTTTTTTCTGAAACCAAGTCAAAATATCTCCAGGGTGAGACAAACAAGCAAGATAAAACATAAAAACTTCATATCATCTGGGGATCTGTAAGTTCCCAAGACCTCCGCATATTCTAATGCCTCCTATTATACAAGTTCTAATTTACGGCCCTGGTTGTATAATTTCAAACTATCGTCAAACGGAATGAAGCTGCACGGCAGATATAAAGAAAATTGTTTTTCATACTAAAAAGATAAAAAAACAAAATTATTCACAACCATAGAAGCCAAGAAAAGTTTGACTAAAACTATCCGTGTAAAACCAGTGTTTTTAAAAAATATCGTTCAACATGATGAAGCTGTACGGCAATTCTAAACATTTGCTTGCACGCTAAAGCGCATCATTATCAAGCTGCAGACAAAATATAGAATTATTCCTTATCATAGAAGCCAAGAAAACTTCGACAAAAGTTTTCAACCCCTGGTCTTTCGGACAGATGGACGAAATGGCGGATGACTTCATACGGAATCGGGCGGTTACTAGAACTGCTTTCGCCGTGAGCGACGCATCCAGGAAATAAAAACTTGTATATATAACGTGAGCAAAGCTTACTTTTATAATTACAATTGGGGATGTTCACCCCTTAAATATAAAAGGGTAAATTTCCATGTTTTTGTATTGGAAACCCACAGGCACTTGTCTCTGACATTTCTTTCCTATATATATTTTAACATAACACAAGGTTATGGCCACTTACCCACAATTTAGAGATAAACTGTCTGGTTTAAAATTTTTATTCTTTTAATAAGGCCTCTATTTTTATTTCAGATTTGATTTTGCTCTACAGTAAAGTATTAATTTTGAACAGAAAAAGGTTTATTTAAGACTTTTTTTGGTGTAGAGGTTAAGTGATATCTATTGATTATATAATAGTATAGGCCATATGTGAAACTATGAGAAACATTCTCTCATTTTCACTTTTTCCTGAATAGTCTATTGGGAGGTTCATGCAGGGTGAACAGAGTTTAGGCTTAACCAATCAAATAACAATACCGGTAATTACCATTGCATCTGTATAACAGGTTTGAAAATATGACTTTTTCTTGTGAAAAACAGAAAACACCTAGTTTTCCACCAAGTAAAGTTGTATCAATGACATTACCAGAATCTGCTATAAGGTCTGTTCCTTCAAAAAACTGAACTCTAAATCAAAAGAAAATAACGAATTATGTAACTTCATGTATATCTTAAACCTGGGACATAATACACAAATGTAGTATATATAATAGTCCCCGCTTAAACTCAAATAGTTACAGAAAACAACAATACGTATGAACAAAACTAACAAGGAAAAACATCTTCTATCGATTCAAAATCATAAAGCAAAGTTGGCTGCCGGAACATGATGTTGGAAATAATTTCTAAGTAAAATGAGTGTTCCTAGATTAGTTTGACAGAATCAATATTATACACGATGAGTTAAATCAGCATTCTTCGGTGAAACTCAGTTTGTTGCCTGTTCAGATATTTATTATGGCGGCATAAAGAAAACACCACTATCTATAATAAAATCATGTTAGCGAGGACAGATGTTTTCTTATGTAGCTGTAGTTGGTCGACGAACTGGTCCGTTAGTGCTTGCTATCTATTTTTATTCTTATACTGGAGCTTAATTATCGAATTCATCGTTTATGTGAATCTAAAAGACACTTAAATATCTTCAGTCAAAGAAATTTCCAAACTTTACCTAACTTAAGGAAAATGAATCTTAACACATCTAACCTGATCAGTCCATGGTTAGGTCTGTGAATCAGTTCCATCCTATATGCTGTCTTATCCTTCCATCCAACATTCATTGGATCCTGCCATAATAATCGTACCTACAAGGGAAAATTGATTTTAAAACTCCTTAAAGCTCTCGTGTCCTAATAAAAGTTTCACGGCATCTTTCAAGAAAAAAAAAATCGACTCCAGATTGACAAGGAATAAAATCTAGAATCCCACATCCCTTCGATGCACCCCGTAAAAATAAAAATAATTACTCGCTAATATATTTGTTTTAATCTCGAATTATTGATGTTATTGTCAGGTAAAATGTTAATGCACCTCGGGCCCTTACTTGGAATAAGAATATTATTCTAAATATTCTATCTATGTATGCCCCTTTTCTGCAGTTTCACGCGCAATTAATGATTTTTTTCAGAAATCGTGATACAGTTTGAGAATACAATGTTTCCCCTGTTGCGTCACGTTTTAAGTTCTGCTCCAACACGTGACTTTAGAATAATTGATTTTCATTTGCTTATCATAGATCTGTCTCTAATGCAGGACAAACACTCCCAAGTTTTATCTTTTTGTAAGCCTCAAATATCTGTCTCAAGTTAGGATCTTAAAATGTACAAAATTTCATTAGAGGTTTAATTGACTGTGGGTCGACCGAAACGAAGGACATGTAATTAACTAGCCGCTTGAACAGTTGGATAGGAACAGGAATTTCCCTTGCAACAACCCAACTCGACTTTCTTCTTATATATGTAGTAAAATATCAACCTCGATGAACACATGTCGAGCGGCTGATATCTTACGATATCAATATGCAAAATATTCGATACTAGTAATCTATACGTATAGATCCTTCAGTCTCTCGGACACCTCTCTTTCTCAATCCTTGGGAGGTCAAGTTAAACTGGACAGGATTTTTAGTAAAATTTAGTTTTCTCTTTCGAATTGTTTCAGGGCCTTTTTATAGATAACTATACTACGGTATGTGTTTTGCTCATTGTGGAAGGCAATGATTGTGGATGACCTGAAATTGTTATATCTTTGTCCTTTAAAATAAAACACCTTTGGATATGATCATTTCAGAAAGTGACAAAAAAACAGTTTCTCTTGACCAACATTCTTATCATTTTGGTCAAGTTTGAAGAAAATCGCCCAAAGCATACAAGAGATGGTGCGCGACACGCGAAAATTTGACTATTTTTTCAAAACATTAATAATCCTATAACTCTGGAACGAAAAAAAAACAATGGATTTTAATTTGTCTTCCACTAAAATGGAAAAGGAAAAATAAAGTTATCTAGAATTTGAATAAAATATAGGCCAGGTGTTTAGTTCGAATGATACTGATGGAGACGCAAGCGCGTATGAAAAATAAACGTGACAGAATGTTTCGTCGTTTCATATGTGCTTTTCTATTGTAATATTACATGACTTGTAATGAGAAGACCAGAAAAAGGATGACAATAAAAACACGGACAAAGACATAATCGGATTGAAAGAAGGACAAATAACACAAATCATATATGATCTTTGATAATAAACAACACCACCGTAACCTTTCATTTTCTTATTATCTAGTTGACAATTGCTATTACAAAATAACAAATAACGCGTATTAATTGTAATATATCTGCACTGTAATTTTCATGAACATTCATGAAGGAAAATATTGTTAAATTACTTATATTTTTTTTACCAACATAATAACAGCATCTCCATACCTATTTGACTTTTTCACCAGATTTTGAATCCTTGTTTTTTTTTCTATCCCCTCATGAAAATCCAATGGTTTTCTAAACCTCGTATATATAAACTATCATTTTGCCTTTATCTTAATTTTTACATGATTGTCAGTTTTCCTGCCGACGTCGGAGGTTCTCTCCGGGCACTCCAGCTTCCTCCACCAATAAAAACTTGCCTTCACGAAATTTCCAATAGTGCTGAAAATGGCGTAAACACCAATCAATCAATATATCTTTATCTTTATATGAATAAAAGGAGATGTGGATATTCATACGTTCAAGAAACAGCAGCCCATTGTTTACAGTTCGACTAACTGTTGATTAATTTATTAAGAATTGCATATTTATACCCCCGAGGGTTGAAGGCAAACAATACATCAATATACACAAATTTCATCTGCAAACATTAATAATCTGTAATCAATTATATTACAAAATCATATGGAATAAAAATTAAAATGAATCCCCCATGGACGCCTTGCAAAAATCCTACAACAAAAAAGTAAAGTGTTATAATAAGGCCGTGCCAAATTTGCTCCAAAATTCGGTACGAGCAATATCATGCTTTTTATTCGATTTTTTACTTTCTGCTAGCGATATTGCGCAAGTTTCAATAATTATAAACGACAAAGATTTTGAATTGAAACAATTCCTAGTGATAAATTAATATACACACATATACATTTCCGATTCTTTACTCCTTTATTCTATTTCATCGAAGCAAAAATCATAAATGCGAGTTGACAATTTACTGGCGTATTAATATTTCTTTCTAAAAAATGTTTTATTCAAAAACCGACATGAAGAGAGATCAAATCAAATTAAAACGTTCCCACAATGCGAATTCTTTGATCTGTCGACACCTCAGTGATGTCCCAAAAATAGAATCAATCATCAAAGGTCAGCGAGCTGTCAATCAAAATTCCTTGTATAAAGCTAAATTATCCTTCGATAACGTTTTATACCATATGCGTAGATGCTGATGAAGTGAGCGCATGTGATTTTGTGAAACTGCAAATATGTATAGCTTGAATCAGGATTATTTTAAACTAAGTGATTTTTTGAGAAATAATAGGAAAGAAGATGTGATATGTCCAGGACTTAAGCCGTTTAATCCAACTGGCACAGTTTTACCGCCGGAAAATCCAGAACCTGTTGTAATCCGAGAAATTCGTATTATCCAGTTTGTACCTGTGCCAGTGTTACCTGTTGAAGAGGAGAGGATTGTGGCGATGTGGCCACTTGAAGAAGAAAACGTGACAGGAAGACCGACAACAAAAGACAACAATCTCGAACATTATAGTAACGGTGAATTGGACTACATGGTCAATGGCATGCAGGGTGTCGCACTACAGAAAAGGGGAAAGTGGAAAACAAATGGCAATACCGTTCGAGGCATTGGTGGCGGTCGAAAGCAAAATGGATGTGGATTCTGCAGGCGGAATGGAGAAAGAGCGGCATTCTTTTATTCCCATTCTCTGAAGGATTTGCATGGTAATGTGGAATGTCCAATTTTGAGGAATTATATTTGTCCTCAATGTCAGGCGACGGGTGACCACGCCCATACCGTAGCATACTGTCCCATGGGTCGGGATAGGGCACCAATAACGTCTATCAAGTCAACAAGAAAGAGTTGTGGCTGTAAGTGGTCAGACAAACACTGCCACTGTACATGAACTTTGTTGTCTTTTGTATTTTTGTTAGTTCGCATTTTGACGAAGGAAAGAAATCCTTGTGCTAATGAGTAATTACCTGGACACTTTTGATGATGATTAACTTGGTATTGTGTATAAAGGAATAAAATACATTCGACTGTCAACTCTTCACACGTAATTCTGGAACTTGTTTAATTGGAAAATGTAATTTGATCGATTAATATTAATTTCACATACCATTACAGAAAAAAAACAGATTTTGAGACTTGAAAAAATGAATTTGGTTTTTTATCGAATTGATATTGTTCTTGCTGAAATATTTTGAAAGATTTTAACATTACACTGTAAAGTTTAAATTTTTATTAACCTATTTTATAAACACATGTATGTATACCAGTTTTTTTAAGATTTGAATTTTAGTGTAGAATTTTTACTAAAGTATATTCATCATTGAAGTCTTTGCTGTTTATTTAACTTGAGATTATTCCGTATTGTGAGTAATGTTCGTTATCATTAATTTATATCTAGGTTGAATAATGAATGTGTTGAGCTACTTCATGCTACTGCTTGTCACCTCCCCCATAGTTTGGAGGGGTTCATAGGGACCAGGCTGTCAATTGGTGTTCAAGTCATGACTACTTCGTAACGGATGGATGAATTAATGACATATAAATAATGAAAATACCATCACAGACAGGATCTTCCAATAAATTTATTTGTTGAACGACCCCCTTCCCCTCGCATAATGTATGGTTTGTAATGTCTACTTTCATACTTTTTATGTAAATAAAAGTATTATGGGGAAACTATCAATGAGACAGCTAACCAACGACACAAATAAACATGGTATGATCCCTTGTTAGATCCCAATATGTTATTGGCCATGTGATTTAGAATTTGCACCCCATTGTGACTATTAGACGTTGACAAATATCAACAGTTCTCGAGTGTGTTTTAAATGTATTCATTGATCAATTCTAATCGAATTCTCGTAGTGATCACTACTTAAATACCGGTCTTTCCTCAGTGGAGCAGCTTTAATACTCGACCAACTCTACAGTAAACTTCTGAAAACGTGGTACGATTGCCAATGAGACCCCTATCCATCAAGAACAAACGAACGAGGTAGTAAACTACTGAAGGACACTGTGTGGCCTTCAATAACGAGCAAAACCCTTTCCGTATAGTAAGCTATACAAGACCATTGCATGACGCAATATAAAAGTACAAAAAAGAAAATATTATGCTTGATTTATGCAATAACAGCAAAATACCAGTAAACACAAATATGTTAGCCAGCAACCAACGACAACCACTGAATTACAGGCTCCTGACTCGTGACAGTCGCATGTAAATGTGGTGGGGTTATACCTGTATGTGAGTGCTTAACCTTTCCTAAACTAGGTTAGTTGTGTAACAGGTCAACATAAGAACAAATGATAAAATTCAGTTCAAGAAGACTAAGACTTGTCAGATCGACACTATAAGCACAAAAAGCCCTTACAAAAAAGACAAAAAAATACATGGTACAAATCTAAGAGTACTCGCAGTTACTGAAAACTGGTTGAACAGAAAAGAAAGGATATGGGATATCCATCCATGCGACAAAATCATTACGAGCACAGCTAAAAAAAACACATAAGCAAAGGAACAGCGCTTTTATTATGTTGTTCATCTAAAAGTCACAGTAAGACCTTCAACACGGGGCAAAAACTGTCGCCTCACTTCAAACTACACTCCTAATTAATAAATAATGTTTTCCAAAACTAAAATATCAATCAGCACATGTATTAAGTGTAAAGACGTCATGAGCAGTCCGAGAAATCTTGTAAACTTGTGTAATGCAAAAATATATGTATCGATAGGATGTAGGACCGCAATTGTTCATAACTGTATAGCCATACATATAAAGTTATGATTTCGTTTTGTAAAAGCAAATTCAAAGTTAGTACCGCTGAAGACAATATTCAAAGATCTTACTACGGAATTTTATTGATTATCTTCAGAATAATTTAATTCAAAGATCGATGTGGTTAGATAAATCGTATCTAAATTTACGGGTTCTATTCCTGATATAAAAATAAGATGTATTGATTGACAATGAGACAACTCTCCACCAGAGACTTCCACTTCTACTTCTACCATATAGTGACCGCCTTCAACAAATTGTGATTATGTCATAGGAGGATAACTTACAACAAGACATAGATTAATATACATACAAATTAAAAAATAGATGAAAAATTACAAATGTACAATTAGTTTGATGCAAGTAGTTGAGTTAAATATTGATGCTTTGAAATTAAAGATTTAAAAGAATCTACTGATGTGCAATTTATGATGTTCTCGGGTAGTTTGTTCCAGTCGGTTATTGTTCTAGGGGAAACGATTCTTTTCTGTACTGTGTTTTTCAGGATGGAATTTGGAAGCTGTTCGAATTTGAATGTCTTGTTTGTCTTTTTTGTGGAATTAATTTATTGTTTTTTTTGGTATTGCAACCATTTCGTGTTCTATTTTATATATCATTACCAATCGTGAATCTTTTCTTCTGTCCGAGAGGCTGCGCCATTCAAGGTGTTGTAACATGTTACCAACGCTTGAGGTGTTTTTGTATTTGTTGGTTACAAAACGGGCAGCCTTCCTTTGAACTTTTTTAATGCTATCTATGTCTTGTTGTAAGTATGGATCCCAAACAGAGCAAGCATACTCTAGTGATGGTCTTACTAGGGACTTGTATGCTTGCTCGTTAATGAATGATGGAGACCAAATGACATAGAAGTTCTTCGAAGGCCTTCAATTATGAGCAAAACAATTACCACATAGTAAGCTATAAAAGTCCCCGACATTACCGAACATCACTGCAAAAATGAGGATGCGAGATCCCTTTTGTATTAAGTTCCTCTGGTACCGCCGTTCGTCCAAATCAAAAAGTTGTATATATGAATGAATAAGTAAATGTTTTAAGTTATTTGTGGTAACGTAATCCATCACCGTCCAAGACAGGAAAATTAACAATAACAAACGCAAATCGTCTCTCTTGTGAATTTCAGTATTGAGTTTCTAGAGTGAAACTAAAATATCCAAATTTGTAAAAGGACAATTAATGTTGTATATTTTAAATTTATTTAAAGTAATTGCCTTTGTTTCAATTTCGGCGGTATAATTAGAGAACTACTGATTATTTAACGCAAAAATATCATCAATGGTTCTGAACTAGTTTTCAGAAAAAGTGATAATACATAATTTCTCCCTCTCTAAGAGTAAGGCTGTATTGCGCTTACCTTGTCCGTTCATATAACACACATTTCCGTCACACTTTTCTCGGGTACTACTGGATATAATTACTTCATAGTTGGTAAGCTGCTTGCCAGCAACTATGAGTTGTAACGTATGAGTATTTTTCATATCTGTCAGCACCTAGTATATATTTCTTGTTTGCCGATACTTTTGAATTTTCAATATGCTAAATTGACTTGAACATATATCGAAACACCTTTCTCGAGTACTACGTAACAGAGTCAGTGGCGTTTCCAGGATAGGGCGTACAGGGCGTATGCCCCCCTTTTTGGTCGCCCCAAAAAATTGAAAAAATATATCGTGTTTCTCACGATTTATAAGATTTTAGAGCCTAAAATCGTCCGAATTTATTCCGTTTTCTTGAATTACGCCCCCTTTAACAAAATCCTGTATCCGCCCCTGAGAATGACTTCATATTTAGTTTGTGAACACTTTTCTGATTTTGTCAAACACCTACTTTCTGTCAAGCCAAGGAAATTTCTACTTTCAAAGTTTTGATGGTGTGAATCCTTACAAAAAAACCAGAGGATCCCGAAAGGCCAATAAAACAAATTAACAGAAAGTAGTATCCTTGTAATCAAAGCGTGGACACATAATCTGTATTTTAATCAAATTGAGAATTACTAAAATCTCTAGTTTCATGCGATTCATTGGGCAGCAGGCATGGTGGCGACGAATCAATAAAGGTCCCCGCTGAATCCTCTGGATTTTTTACATCTGAAACTACATGGATGAGCTTGATCAGGCTTTCGTAAAGTAATAAATTTATCTTTCCGATCAGGCGTTAATCTTTGTGAGAGACCATTCTTGATTTTGTCAATTTTTTCTCTGGAACTGAAAGAACAAATTTTTTAATGATTGGGAGACCATCAACAAAGAGTTCTCGTTTTATATAAACGGAGTCACGGGCACACGAGGTTTTAATTATGCCATTAGGGTTCCATGGACAGGGAAATCACATTTCATAGATTTTTTTTATCACATCGCATTTTTACCATATTCTCTGAAACTACCATGACAATCGCAACCACACTTACCTTATAATGGATAAAAGTATCACTTTTCGTTCTCTATTAAAGCAACAAACATGAATGACACTTGGTTCATTGATTGATTGATTGCAATTTACTTACCATCCAGTGTCTAATATTTCATGCATATTCAGGACGAGAACAAAATAATAATGAACACAATTGGTAGGTTCTGATAGGTAGTTCGACAGGGATGAAGGTCGGGAAATTTGGACTGCCACTGAAAAATGAGAGAATGTTTGATAGGAACAGAATTTTGCCTTGCAACAAGCCACCTACAGACCCCTCAGAGTTGTTGCAGGGGTTCTTTGATGTGCAAAGAGCGGATAGGTAGTTCGACCGGGATGAAGGTCGGGAAATTTGGACTGCCACTGAAAAATGAGAGAATGTTTGATAGGAACAGAATTTTGCCTTTCAACAAGCCACCTACAGACCCCTCAGAGTTGTTGCAGGGGTTCTTTGATGTGCAAAGAGCGTGATACCATTTCTGTTATTTTCTTGCAGCTTCATATCAGACTGGTTTATGTGATGTATTCGTAGTTTACCTGATTTTCCGTGTCACCAGTATGCCACAAAGCATTTCGGAGGTCTTCTCCAGGTCCCGTCAGAGATTTAACAACTTTTAACTGAATTCCCGGCTGTGCTACGGCTCTGAAAGGAGTAGCATGCCAGTAGGTTTGCTGGGACTTTTTCCACATGACAACGTAGAAACTAGAACTGTCCTGGTAACTGAAGATAAACCCTGCATAGTCATCGTCTACTCCAGAGTTTATGAAGAATGTGGCACTAAAATCTACCCCACCAAACGTGGCCTCACCTGAAGTTATAAAAACCAAACTCGAAACAAAAACTTGCTAAAATAAATTAAAATAATGTACTTATTCAACACTGGAGAGGTTATAGCTATTTCACCAATACAATCTCTTCGCGGCTTTAAATAGAAGAAACGGTATAAAATTTTATTTTAAGTATTTTCGTCTGAAGGAAAAGTTTTGAAATTAATTCAAAATTAATTGATTGTATACCAAATAAAACATAAAAATGATTTCATCATCAGAAGGAATTGATCAGTTAAAATCCAAGCAATAGGATTGATCTTAAATAACACAGAGTAAAAAAAAATACGCAAACTAAAAACATCACAAGCATGTAACAGCAATATTTGTTTTTCTTGTTTTTAACAAGTGACAACATGCCTCGTCCCAAAAAGCTTTATAATTATTACAGTTAAGACATGGAATAAACAAGGGAATACGGCCTACCATTGTTACATTTGCGTAAATACCAAGTGATCGAAAACAACAAAGATCTATTATTAGTACACATATTAAACATAATAGTTAAATATAAAATGCATTCACAAATGTTTATATAAAAAATGATGACATATATTAGAAATTATCATATATATAAATGAGAGAACTATCCATCGGCATCTATTTTGCTAGTAATGAATTGTTATAGCTACTGATGGCTTCAAGTAAGCAATATACAATAAAACATCGGTGTTACAGCACAACAAGTTGATTGTGAGCTCTCAACACCCTAACCTGGAACATTGGTGTTAAAACACACATGGTTTTGAGCGCTCCGCCCTCAACCTGGGAAATTGGTGTGACAACAGCACAAGTTTGTGAGGGCTCAACACCCTAACCTGGGAAATTTGCGTAACTGCACATCAAGTTTGTGATCGCTAAACCCTAACCTGGGACATTGATGTAGCAACAAGTTTGTGAGCGCTCAACCCCTAACCAGGGACATTGATGTAACAACAACACAACAAGTTTGTGAACTCTTAACCCCTAACCTGGAATATTATTGTAACATCACAGGTTTTTGAGCGCTCAACCCCCAACCTCGACATTTGTGTAACAACATCACAAGTTTGTGATCGCTCAACACCTTAACCTTATATATTCGTGTAACAGCACAACAGGTGTGTGAAGGCTCAACCCCTTATCTGAGAAATTGGTGCAACAACAAATTTGCTAGCGCTTAATCCACTAACCAGGGACATTGGTGTAACAACAAAACATGTGTGTGTGTGCTTAACCGCGTTACCTAGGATATTCGTGTAATAGCACAAGTGTGTGAGCGCTCAACCTTCTAACCTGAGATAATGGTGCAACAACAGAAGTTTGTGAACGCTCAACCCCCTAACCTGGGATATTTGTGATACAGCACATGTTCGTGAGCACCCAACCCTTAACCTGGGACATTGGTGTAACAGCACATGTATGTGTGCGCTTAATCCCCTAACCTGGTACATTGGTGTAGCAACAGCACAACATGTTTGTGAGCGCTCAATCCCCTAACCTGGGACATTGGTGTAAAAACAGAACATGTTTGTGAGCGCTCAACCCCCTAACGTAAGACATTGGTGTAACAACCAAGATTGTCACTAACAGATAGATTGTGTTGTGTACATGTACGTCTTGTCGAATTACATGTAAAAAAAATTGTTTTGTTTTTTAACCAACAGATATATGCCATGTAATGTTGCCAACAGATTCTTCGTGATTGCTTTTAACAGAGCAGTTGTTTATTATTTTTAGCAAAAAATCCACGTTATTTTCATATGCCAAGAGCGTGATTTACATGTAACTCTAACGTGTAAAATGTCAATTTGAAGAATTGTGATCTTATTCCAATGAATTTTTAAATTTTGTTTTGGAAATATTTGCAGATTTTTTTTATATACAAGTTGGCGCTTTTAGCTAACAGCTGATCTGCTCTAGCTGACACATGAAACCCAACGATTCGGTAAAATCTGTGTCTGGACAGTTTTTTGTCAAAAGATGATCATTGTTCATCAATTCTAATCAAATAGTACAATTTTGGAACTTCAGATCATAAAATGAACACTATCTAACTTCAGAAGTTTTTAATAAAAAAATCTATTATGAAAAAAAACCTCAAAAAGCAAATACAAACAGATCTAGAAAAAAAGAAAACTCCATGTATATACAACAACATTTCTTTTTCTGTTTTTTACTTCATGTCATTTCATGTCATTTCAAAAACTTCAACAGTTCCCCTTCTGTTTGAGCAAAGCATTAATGTACTAGTTTCATGGCAATAGTCAATTGCGGTGGGATACATCAATCCATCTCGATGAGTCAGAACTATCTCATGATACTTGCCGTCTGCCGACACAGCAATGACATTTTTCGAATTGTAACCCGTTACGAGAACAAATTCATCTCTTATCGCAGTTATTCCACAGGGATATTTCAAATTATCATTTTGAAACTTAAACACTTTACTCCCATTCAAGTCGATGCAATTTACAGTTTTGCGAATAAAGTCCGTATAGTAAAGGTTTCCAAACGCAGCTACGACGTACCGGACCCCACTGACGTCACATTTTAAGGTAGCGGCTATTGTACCGGTTCTGTCTAGAATGACAAATCCAACTTTCTCACACACAACAACAATTCTTCCATCCATTGAGGCAATTCCAGTACACGGATTGTTAACTTTTATCTGTTGTACTAAAGAGAATTTCTTCGTTTCCATGATGACTATTTCCTTCTTGTCGGGGATGGTCAATCCCACCTTGTCTAGTTCAAGGGTTGTCACATCCCAAGGACAAGAATAAAATGTGATTCTGTCCAAAATTGACCCTTTTGGACTGAACACTATTAAACATTTATTGTTATGATCCAATAAAATAATACGCCCATCCGACAAGATAGTTCCTCCGCGTATAAAATTGAAGTTGCTACCCTTTTCAACTGAGAAACAGACTTTCGATTTCAAAATAATATTGCTTGGCATGGTGGTAACAACAGCCTGGTTGGCAGCTTTCTTGTCTTTTTCTTTCTTGTCGAATTTAATATCAAGTGAAAGCGGCATTGGTTTAATGTTACTTCTGACTATTCCAAACTTTTCCACTTTCAAGGGCAAATCCATAAAATTTGTGACGACAAACTCTAAAGTCACGTGATTAAATTGACCTTCGAAGACTTTAAGAAGTTTCATTTCTTGTGCCTGTCTCTCCTTTAGTTCTCGGTTACCAAGAAAAACTTGATATTGTGATGCATAAGTTTGCATCATTTTGATATCCCTCTGCATATCCCCGAGAGACTGCTGTCGCTCCTGAAGGGTTTGGTTTTGGCGCTGAATCTCTTTCATATTTTTAGTATATACGTCTGCTAGTTCGTCGAGAGATTTCTGTTGCATGGCATCGAAATGTTTCACTAATTCATCTCTGAACCTTTTAATTTCCTTTTCTATGGCTGAGCGCTGTAGATCCAGCTCGCGCAGATTTCTAGCTCTTTGTGTTTGAAGTTTTTCTACCATTTGCGACCAAACTTTCATTTTTTCGTCAATCAACTTCATGTCGGTAAAACTTAGCGATTTTTGTGCAGCGTCATCTACGGTCAGCACGTCGTTACAGAATTTATGTGTTGACGTTACACATTGTGCACAAATGGGTACATCATGTTCAGTACAGAAAAATTCGTATTTCTTGAGCTTGTGAAACGAACAGTTCTCTTTTATCTTGAGAGTAAACGGCATTTCGTCAGTTTCGGAGATTTTTATGAGCTTGTGTGTCTTTGACATTCCGAGAGATTTATGGTGGTCGCTGCACGCTTCACACAGAGCCTCGTTACAATCCCGGCACCAATAATGAGCTTCATGGAAAGTGTCTTGGTTTTCACATGGTGTGCAAGTAAGTCCTTCGAAATCTTTTGTATGCTCTCGTTCTGACATGTCAATAGAAATACTAGTGCTCGCTGAAGTAAATGTTTTGTTTCTGCTTGAAGTACGTGAAATACGTGATGAACTGTTGTGACTCTGAATTGGAGTAAGTGGTTGTTTAACAGTGGACATGTTGCTTCTGCGTTGGGTGAATGAAACTTTTGACGACATTCCTTTTTGTACAGTTTTCGGTATTGAATCGGGTGTTTTGCGCGAAGTTACTGAAGAAGACCTAGCAGAAATTGGAGTTTTGGATGTTGGTTTTGTTTTCGAAGCAGCGGAACTTGGTTTGGATGTACTTCTTGGAGTTGGTGTCAATTTCTGTTCAGTTGCTGTTTGTGCTGATGAAATTTCTGTTTCTTTTGTAGAAAACGACGACATCTGCCGTGGTGACTGTGGAAGCTGGTCCTTAATGGATTGCTCGGCTTCCTGTTTTAACCTGATTATTTCATGTACAGCATCCGGTGTTTTGTCCAAGTTTTCGTTCATTGGAAGAGATTCAAAAGACATTTTGGTAGGTTCCTTTTCTTCCGGGGTTGGATCAGGAGACGGAAACTTCACTCTCTTATCTTCTGCTTCGGCCATTGTTTGTCTAAAATACAATTTCTACAGATCATTTACATGCATTTTAATAATTAATCAAAAGAATTCGCTGATAATTATGCATCATCAAAAGAATAATTTGTAGAAGCAGCCGGATTATTAAACTGATGCATGAAATTTTAAGAAAAAATGCAAAATTGCAAATGATTTTTGATTCTATGATTTTTTTCCCCAAAACAAATTTTCAACTTTGACCGAAAATTATTATGAACAATTTTTTAAAGGCATTACAAAAAAATCAATGTACATAATAAAATGATAAAAAAAAACATGAAAATGAAAATAACAAAAACTTACCTTTGAAATTCCTGACACCCGTTTTTAAATATTCGGGTAGCGGTTTGGTCGTTGATAATGACATAAATAGTCAACTCATGATTTCAATTGTTTAAAATAACACATCGGTTCATTGATTAATCAAACGTTTTCTTTTATTTCGTGTCATATGCATCGAATTTCATTTTAGAACAATGCATGTTTAATGTTTATGTATACTGTGTATGCCCGTAAAATGAAAAGTCATTGGGCGTAGTCTAATATTGAAATCAACATAAGATTTAATACAAAATCCTACAAAATGTAATTCAAAAATATAAACTGTTATATCAGAACCACATCATTGAAATAAATTGTATGAAATGTATGTAAGATGAAAAAAACAATCACTCTGATCAATTTTCCCAGCTAAGTACAATACAGTAGCAGAAAAAAAATCTGCGTTTCGCTCCTTTTGAACTTTTTACCTGCTCCTTCTGGGTATTATACGACACTCTCACGTCCTTTTGAAATTCATAAAACTTTTCCCGGTTGTGTATGGAGATATTTAAGGGAATGTATGCGTGGCATGTGCGGTTCCAGGTTTTCGAGAGAAAAAAAAAGAGGGGGCTGGCAAGCCAACGTTTGGAGTGATACATTACAGCAATCTCTGACTAACCAAATAATACTGCAGGACACTATATCTGACAACCTTTAAGATATTGATTTTTCGAAATTTTTTGTAACTAATCATCTTTTCAAAACCTGTATACATCTGTATAATGTTCAAGAAGCTTTAAACGAGACCAATTCGATGTATGTGAGGAAAAGTTATTTATTGAACTGCATACAACGTCAAAGAGCTGCTTCGTAAATATTCTTTACAGATGGAATTCGTGTGATTTTTTTAGAAATGTGGTAGAAATAGGATTGAAATTTTGTGATAACTTATGTGTTTTAGAGTATTGTATTGAGGTTAAAATAAATTTATTTTGAAAATTCATATTTCCGTTGAAAAAAGGTTTAAAAAATTGGGAAAAATTACAAAACAGTTGTAGCTTTTCGAAGTTCCGATAATGTGAAGCCAAAATAATTCTTCTGGCGTTTTGACTTGAGTCCTTTCATGCATCATGCAAAACATGCTACAGTTTGCATTTATATTGCTGCAAAACAAACAAACATATAATTTTAGAACATAAATGTCATATAAATTACTTACCAATAGCTACACCAGGGTCACTATTCATAACCTGGTAAATTTCAGCACCCTATAAATAATTAATTTTTTTTTTTTAATTTATTTTTGTCATCAGTGTATAGTCTAGAAAAGTGATTCAAAAGACTTGTGAAGGTACATTCAGATATTTATCTCAACAATTTCTCTCTACAAAATTAAATCGTTAAGGCATCGGCCATTTATCTTTTGTTTGGGCAAATAGGCATGCTTTTTTTTAAATAAATTGTTTAATTCCAAATAATTTGTTTCAGAATTGAAGGGAAAAGTTTCCATTGAAAATAAAGGGAAAAAAATAAATACAATTGAGTTTCAAAAATATGTCTTGTTCCTCCTGTATGTTATTGAAACAAATGGTTTGAAAAATGCTGGATCCGATCATAAAAAAATCCATGCCCCCATTAACGATGAACGGTCTTGGAGAAAGGTTTTAAATTACAAAAATATAAAAAAAATCTACATACGCCATGCAATATAACCCATTTAGCATCTATTTGTGAATCTCCAACTGGATCCAGTGTAACAGTACGGTACGACCGGAAATCAGTCGCAAAAACTCCGGCGTTGTGAGGACAAACATCTTCATCATCCGGGTAGCCATCTCCGTCACTATCAAACTGACAAGCATCTCCATACCCATCACCTGATGATAAATATTCAAATTTTCTTTTTGGAATTGCGAGCGTAAATTCAAAATTGAAACTTTTATTATGTTGACATAAAAAAGTACTAAGCACAACTTTTTTTTAATTTTTTATCACTGGTCGCTGTTAAATATTAAACAATTATTATGTTCATATAAAAATATGCTTAGGGTAGATTGATTTTGCGGATTTGCAAAAAATCAAATACTATCAAACAGTGACGGGAAAATGTTGTCTATTGTTGTATACATCATTAGGTTGCTGTTTCATTGACATAAGGATGGGGGGAAACCCGGTCAACTAGTATCTGTGTTAACCAAGGTAACTTGTATAACATCATTAGGTTGCTGTTTCATTGACATAAGGATGGGGGAAACCCGGTCAACTAATATCTGTGTTAACCAAGGTAACTTGTATAACATCATTAGGTTGCTGTTTCATTGACATAAGGATGGGGGGAAACCCGGTCAACTAGTATCTGTGTTAACCAAGGTAACTTGTATAACATCATTAGGTTGCTGTTTCATTGACATAAGGATGGGGGAAACCCGGTCAACTAATATCTGTGTTAACCAAGGTAACTTGTATAACATCATTAGGTTGCTGTTTCATTGACATAAGGATGGGGGAAACCCGGTCAACTAGTATCTGTGTTAACCAAGGTAAATTGTATAACATCATTAGGTTGCTGTTTCATTGACATAAGGATGGGGGAAACCCGGTCAACTTGAATTTGTGTTAACCAAGGTAACTTGTATAACATCATTAGGTTGCTGTTTCATTGACATAAGGATGGGGGAAACCCGGTCAACTAGTATCTGTGTTAACCAAGGGTAACTTGTATAACATCATGTTTCAGCAATTTTGGATCAACTCTCATCCGGAAGGCACAATAACATTTTAAGAGCACGCAAATCAATTTGATGATTTTAAAAAGGATATATGACTAAGAAACCACTGGTTCTTATAAGTAACAAACAGAAAATGTTGTGTCAAACGTTAATTAAGTTTATACAAAAAAGAAGAAAAACGAATCATACTTTCAAAAATAAACAAAATTGGAGTTTCCAAGCTGAGTTAAAAAATAGTTTTGATGATGCATGTTTATTTTCACAAATCAATCTTACCATTAGTGTCGGTCTGGTTGATATTGAACACTAATGGACAGTTATCGATGTCATCGAGAATGGTATCGCCGTCGTCATCATCGTCGCAAGCATCGCCTAAAATACAAATATAATAACTAGTATCACATGTGGAGGTTTTTAATACATCACTTAAACGAAATTTAACAATATAACTAATTCGGTATTATTAATACCCGATTCACACGCATGCTAGATTCAAATCGAATATGAAACCCGATCGATGTATATATCTGGATTTTTCATCTAGTTTGTATCAGATTTCAGATTTTGTTGTGTCGTGTGAACGGGTATAATACTTTAAGGGGGTACTTCCTTGATTCAATTTCCTAAGATATTATATCAAACATTAGTGCCGTTTTTGTCTTGATATAGCCAAGACGAAGAACAACAATAAAAGGTTGTTACTATCAAATATAATTGTTTTTTTCGAGCATTTCATGGCATTGTAAATTCATGCACATCCACACAACTCCTTTCTATCTAAAATATCCTGTAAATCAGGTTTCCACCTCCAGAACCTCATGTAGAAATGTACGTAGAAAATAAAGATTCAGTTTTTTAAGCCAAATTGGTGGTTTTACCATTTGTACTTACAGACAGAAGTGAAAAGTAAGATTGCAGGTCCATTCTTAAGCGCCAAAATGCCTTAACTTCAATGGATACAAGCTGGGGGAAAAATTAATAAGATATTGGTGACATTGACACTTTGGATTACACTTCGATAAGTCATATTTACACACCTACTCCATCTTTATCGGTATCAATTTGGTCTGAGTTGGCTTGATTCAGACAATTATCACGGTCATCCTGTATACCATCGATGTCACTGAAATTGAATAAAAGAGAAAAAAGTAATCATTATCTGACATTAAACAGGGGCGTATTGAGGAGCCAGGGGACAATTTTTTGTCCCCTTCTACTTTTTGGGGGCAAATTATTGGAAATAAAAAATGAAAATAAAAGAGGACTGACTCACTAACTCTAAGACTATTGTAAAGTTTTCATAAGTTTGCCTCCACACACTTTTCAGTCTACCCGTAAGCCGCTCTTCACTGTTAGATGCACTTATTACATGACTGGCCAATTCTCGTATGATTTTAATCTTAAAAAAGACTAGTGGCAAATAGTTCACACAAACTCAGAGCGAAGGAATATCATAGAGTCCTCAAACATGTTTAAACTTTGTACACATTTTACTTATATATTATTAGATCTTACAAGCCTTCATATTTAACTTACAGATCAATGTTCGAATCACACTCATTTCCGATACCGTCGTTATCGTCATCTAACTGAAAATATAAACATTAGAAAACTAAAAAAGTTAACACCTATAACTTACATCATTTTTGTAAATTAAATATATTGATATTATAATTCACACAAAAATATATTTGAATGTATATGCTAATTTAGTTTTGCAGGCGGATGTGAATGTTGAACACACAAGTCTTATATTCTTCCAGAAAAGTTCCTATCTTTGGTGAGGAGTTAGTCCTTCATTTTCACGTTCGTTACAGAGTCCTATAGATCGTAAATGATAGGTACAAGATTTTTCTTTTTAGTAATACTGGATCACTGTCGTTACCGAAAAAGGTTTCTCCAGGAACGCATGTGTAAAGGTCGGTATAAAGTGTTTATATTACTACTGCTAGGGCATTGCCGTTACCAAAAAAGGTTACTCAAGGAACGCATGTCTAAAGGACGGTATAAAGAGTTTATATTACTACTGCTAGGGCATTGTCGTTACTGAAAAAGGTTACTCAAAGAACGCATGTCTAAAGTTCAGTATAAAGTGTTTATATTATTACTGCTAGGGCATTGTGGTGACCGAATAAGTTTACTACAGGAACGCATGTCTCATTGGCGGTATAAGGTGTTGTTGTATAACCACTAGGTCAATGCCGTAACCGGTAGGTTGTCACGCGTTATCTCATTCACTACCCATTAACCCCATTAACCAGCATATTTTTACGAGATTTGCCTCTTCATTCAATCTGGTGAATGCAAACGTATCACAACCTACTCTCATATATGTGAGCCGCCATGACATTTGGAACCAGACTTACGGAGGTATAACGACATTGTGAGAAAACAGCGTTAACTATTAACGTTACGTCACATTATGTATTGGGACATACAAGTTTATTTCTGTATTGAATTTATAGCAAGATGTTAAAGAATCAAATTTGAAAGGTCAATTTAAATTTTTCGCTAAACATGAGAATTAATCATTTGTTATTATGCAATATTAAGTTTGTAACTATTTGCGTATTTTATTTCATCTCTGTCTATAAAACATGGAGAGTAAGTAAAGAGATTTTTTTCTTCCGTATTTTTTTATCATTGAATATAAGGAGATGTGGTATGATTGCCAATGAGACAACTATCCAGCAGCAAAGTACATTATGCAAAACATTTTCTTATTGCCATTCATTCAATAACAAAAAATAATACCATATAGATTATGTTCAACGAATTAATATTACACCATTCATTTAGCTCCAATTATTACAAGTTCTACGACGGAAAAACGCAAGATGGCAAAATCTTATAGATATAGCGAAAGTACATCGCTGGAAATGGAGGATTGAGGGAATACATCTGTTGTGTGCTACAGTTATGAAGTCGGTGAATTCATGATAGGTAAATTATTAAGGACGCAGATGATGTATGGTTTATCTGCTTGACAAGATATCTATTACGATTTCGAGAAAGAAACTTGTACAAAATCTGGGTCGGCAATATCCATGTTTTCCATATGGACATCCAACGGCCCCTGCAAGTTCCAAAAAGGCCGTCAGAGTGATCTTACACTTACCAACTATGTAAAGTCTTAGACTGTATGTCTTTGGGTTATTTGTGTCGTTGGGTTGCTGTATCAATGTCGTATACCCTACATTCCCTTTTAATCATACCTGTTGGTAATTTGGTATATCTAGACAATTGTCACAAGCATCCCCAACGCCATCACTATCGGTGTCATTCTGGTCAGGATTGTACACTTTCTCACAATTATCACCTTCGTTTATTATACCTATGAAAAGAGTTCATTACAATCGTGACAATTCAATTCATCGGTTGCGAATAATATGCTTGCAATAGTATGGTTACTTTATTATCTAACAATTAGCATGTCTTATATAATTTCAAGAATAAACTTTAAAATATGCAAAAGTAAATGATAATTTCATCTAGAATTGTACATGTTCGCTTTTCCGCCCGTTTTCTGTCGATTTTTTTCTCTCATGTCTTCAGTCGATTTTGTTTTGAACATTAACTGCTCTTTTCACAACAGTGAAGAAAGACTAAGGGTAATGCCAAACTAGTTATCCGCTTAATAGAATTCACCAGCGGTGAAATTAAATTTGACATCTTAAACATGGACCAGACACCATTAAAACTTTTAACAAGTAAAAAAAAATGAAGATAAAAATCATGACATAAACGTTTTTATTTTAACTATCTGAAGACATATGAGGGTGTGGATGGGGGTTTACAGAATAGAAAATAAGAGGCAAAAAATATAAAGAATAGAGAAAAATAGCCTATAAAATTAAAGAATATAGAAATGAAGGACCTCCCATCCAGCCCTTCACACATTGCCATCGGATTTTTTTTTCTTTTAAATCTACCACAATTAAGAACACATTTAGTAATGGCAATGATACAAGTACGTGAGGAATGATAACTGAACATTAAATTATAAGCTAGTTAAATTATTTGCAGCTAAAATAAGAACAATATTTGAAAAATGATCTCCTACACGTCAAAGCTGATCTAATCATTTGTAACAATTGTTACATGTAATGAAGATTTATTAGAAAGCAAGGATACAAACAATATCATGCTTTTTGGCATCATTTCCGTTCTTGACCTTGGCCTTTGTTGTATTTATATATCGATGTCAATGTCTTATGAAATTTTTCAATGATTCAAAATAACAGACCAAAAAAACAAGCAAGAATGTTGTGATTTTTCTACTCTTATATAAGATTATTATTCAATCTATTTCACAAAAATACAAAATATTGCTGGTTTGAAAAACGGACGGTACTACAATGACTACTCATTTCCGGTTTCACGACCTTGGCCTCTGAATGTATTTATAGTATCTATGTCAAGTCTACAGGAATCTTTCTACGATTTAAAATAACATTTAAGACCAATAAACAAACAGGAATACAGTGATGTTTTATTAGCATCTTTTCTTATGTAAGATTATTATCCAATCTATTACATAGTATCAAAGACAAGTCCAACCTAAATACAAAATATTACGAACATTTATACCGTAATGAAACAAAGTTTTTATATAAAAATAGTCACAGTACCCAAATTATACCGATTACCCAAATTGCACCCTTTTTGCAAAAAAAGCAGCGGAAATCTTTTCCTAGAGACTAAATAATTTGTATTTTCTTCAACATAGCTAAATATATTCAAATGTGCACAAAACGGTCAAATTATATATCAAATGATGAAATATCCCGAGAAAAAAGTAATAGTTACGAAAACGTCCACGAAAAGGTAACTTTAAAAAATGGGCAATTTACATAATATGTCCGAGGCATCTATTTCTTACAAAATGAAGAGAAAGCATGAACAAATTTCAAATTGTTCGAAAAATATGGAGAAATTTAACAAAACAACAGTTATTCGATTTTTTCGAATGTGAATTTAAGAATGGATGTAATTTAGGTAATTCTCAGTTCAGAATCTTAGGTCCTTTGGAGGTCGGTTCAAACCCATTTTTCTATGATTCAGTGTGGATTCAAATTAATATAATAATATTGAAGAACTATATAGTAATTTGAAGGATACATCTACAAAATAAAGACAAAATTGAAACTTGTGTCTGACTCATAAATAAACGTAGGGAAAAAACTGTCAAAATAGGTGAAATTTGGGTACCCTCCGTTGAGCAATTTGGAAATTTTTAACAAACTAAGGTTTTAATTCTTTCGGGCAAAGTTGTCTTTAGATGGATTTGGCTATTCTTTTAAAATATGTCTCTTTTTGGTCCTCAATGACTTATCAGGTGTTCAACTACTTATAAATCGTTGGCTTCGAAATGTTTAGGGTTTGAGCGTATCTAATGAAAATACATCCAGAAAAGCATATAGTGCACACCAAATTTATAACGTGTTATTTTCAATTTCCACTCTTCACACAACCTTTTTTGTCGGATCATATCTCATAGTAATCACCTTGATCCATAAATAAAATTAAAAGGTTCATTCTAACGTTGGGTACAATTCATATAGGTTTGTTTAACTGAGATTCATTTAAAAAAATAGATTTATGGAAAGGGCGCCAACTCCTGCTTGAAAAAACGTAAACGTTCATGTTTTGCTATTGGAACCCCCAAATAATTTAGATAAATGCCAATGCTCATGTGTTATGAAAAATCTGGGTAAAATCACAAGAATCCGTCTATGCACTTTGTTAGAAGGAAACACTTAGAATGAGGCTGTCCTACTTTTCAGCGTACTGTTTTGTTAGCTCACCTGACCTGAAAGGTCAAGTGAGCTTTTCTCATCACTTTGCGTCCGTCGTCCTGCGTCCGTAAACTTTTACAAAAATCTTCTCCTCTGAAACTACTGGGCCAAATGCACCCAAACTTAAACACAATCATCATTCAAGTATCTAGTTTAAAAAATGTGTCCGATGACCCCGCCAACCTACCAAGATGGTCGCCATTGCTAAAAATAGAACATAGGGGTAAAATGCATTTTTTGGCTTATAACTCAAAAACCAAAGCATTAAGAGCAAATCTGACGTGGGGTAAAATTGTTCATCAGGTCAAGATCTATCTGCCCTGAAATTTTCAGATGAATCGAACAACCTGTTATTGGGTTGCTGCCCCTGAATTGGTAATTTTAAGGAAATTTTGCTGCTTTTGGTTATTATCTTGAATATTATTATAGATAGAGATAAACTGTAAACAGCAATAATGTTCAGCAAAGTAAGATTTACAAATAAGTCAATATAACCGAAATGGTCAGTTGACCCCTTTAGGAGTATTAGCCCTTTATAGTCAATTTTTAACCATTTTTCGTAAATCTTAGTAATCTTTTACAAAAATCTTCTCCTCTGAAACAACTGGGCCAAATTAAACCAAACTTGGCCACAATCATCATTGGGGTATCTAGTTTAAAAAATGTGTGGCGTGACCCGGCCAACCAACCAAGATGGCCGCCACAGCTAAAAATAAAACATAGGGGTAAAATGCAGTTTTTGGCTTATAACTCAAAAACCAAAGCATTTAGAGCAAATCTGACATGAAGTAAAATTGTTTATAAGGTCAAGATCTATCTGCCCTGAAATTTTCAGATGAATCGAACAACCTGTTGTTGGGTTGCTGCCCCTGAATTGGTAATTTTAAGGAAATTTTGCTGTTTTTGGTTATTATCTTGAATATTATTATAGATAGAGATAAACTGTAAACAGCAATTATGTTCAGCAAAGTAAGATTAACAAATAAGTCAACATGACTGAAATGGTCAGTTGACCCCTTTAGGAGTTATTGCCCTTTATAGTCAATTTTTAACAATTTTTCGTAAATCTTGGTAATCTTTTACAAAAATCTTCTCCTCTGAAACTACGTGGCCAAATTAAACCAAACTTGGCCACAATCATCATTTGGTTATCTAGTTTTAAAAATGTGTGGCGTGACCTGGTCAACCAACCAAGATGGCCGCCACGGCTAAAAATAGAACATGGGGGTAAAATTCAGTTTTTGGCTTTTAACTCAAAAACCAAAGCATTTAAAGCAAATCTGACATGAAGTAAAATTGTTCATCATGTCAAGATCTATCTGCCCTGAAATTTTCAGATCAATCGGACAACCCGTTGTTGGGTTGCTGCCCCTGAATTGGTAATTTTAAGGTAATTTTGCTGTTTTTGGTTATTATCTTGAATATTATTATAGATAGAGATAAACTGTAAAAAACAATAAATGTCGGCAAAGTAAGATCTACAAATAAGTCAACATGACCGAAATTGTCAGTTGACCCCTTTAGGAGTTATTGCCCTTTATAGTCAATTTTTAACCATTTTTTCGTAAATCTTAGTAATCTTTTACAAAAATCTTCTCCTCTGAAACTACTGGGCCAAGTTAATTATAGATAGAGATAATTGTAAGCAGGAAAAATGTTCAGTAAATTAAGATGTACAAACACATCACCATCACCAAAACACAATTTTGTCATGAATCCATCTGCGTCCTTTGTTTAATATTCACATAGACCAAGGTGAGCAACACAGGCTCTTTAGAGCCTCTAGTTTTTATGCAACCAACAAATTATTTGGCTGAAATAATGATAAAAGACGACACACATTCTATAATTTCATGGACATCCATTCAGGAAAAAATACATTCACAGTTGGTTAAGGAGGAGATACAGACGAATACATTGACGTGGCCTTAGTATGAACGGACATCTCGTTACTTGAATGAGATCTAACGATTACGTAGAAGACAAATTCAAAATGGACATTAACAAGCGGATGACAACAATTTCCCGTATATTTTCTAATATTTTTTTTCAAGTAACATGCTGATTTTGAGTATGCTCATAAGTTTATCTGCAAACACGAAATAAACCCATCTCAAAAGCAATAATACAATTGCATTGAAAATTCTCTGTCGTTGTACATCTTAAATTTGAAACACTCAAATTAGATTTATGGAGTATAATACCATCATTGTCTATATCAGAATCGCAGGCATCACCGTAACCGTCCTGATCAGTATCTATCTGATCTGGATTAGACAGAGAAGGACAGTTGTCACATGCATCGCCGTATTTATCTTCGTCATTTCCTATGTGTTCTTGGTCAGGGTTCACAACAAATTCACAATTATCCTGAAAGTTAAATAATATATTTTTACAGATTTGTTACGTTTGGTGGACGTTTTTTTCAACGGACAGTCGACATTCACATAACAGCCATATGTGATTATCTTCTTGTCGAGTTGTTCCTGTATTGGTATAATCGGGATTATGAAGAAAAATCAAACGAAGCTAACATTTTCCTTTAATTTAACGGTATATACTCTTTAGACGATGTCATGTTACTTAATAATAGTAATTCAAATTTATGTGACTTTGCTGATCGATTGAACTTCATATAAAGAATTCTAAAGATACTGTTAAGTCTGATTCATATCAGCATTACATCTAGAAATTGACAATAAAAATCAATTGAGAACTAAATTATGCGACAAAACACATAACTTTTTTTATATTGCGAGTTTTCCTTTTCTGTATAACATCATTCTATCAGCACCTGCATAACCATAGGAAACTTCTTTATCCCTTCGGGTGTTTCATGGACGTTAAACGTTGAGAAATATCCGTACCAGAGATGATCACCACGGTTGCTTTCCAATGGTAACCATTCCCCACCCCCTCCCCATTATCCCTCAATGGTGACATCTCTAATTTCGACTTAAAACCGAACAGTTTTTACTCAAAATGAGCAGCACGACGGATGCTACTAGTTGAATAGCAACTATTCAAACTGGAGAAACTGAGTTTTACCCAAGCTTTAGTTCGCCTAATTTTTAGTTTACTGTATCGTATTTTGTGGACTGTTTGTTGTATGTCGTAAAGTTGTTTTTCTTTTGACCATGAAGTTGTCTGTTTTTTTGTTGTAAATTTCCGTTGATATGCTGTCCATATTTACTATAGAAATGCATAAAAATATGACTGTATCTAATACAAAATGTATGTCATTTTAGAAAACTAAACGTTGGAACTACGGTAATCTGCAAGTTAAACGACCTATCTAAAAATATTGAGTAGCAGAAGATTAACGTTTGGCTGCACTGTAAATCCATTGTTTGTCTAGCTCCTCACCACATATAAGTTCGATAAAACACCAGACGTTGGACATAACGTTTTTGGAAGAAGAAGAAACTAGAAAGATTTTAAAGATTGTCTACACGTCCAATACAACTTTTTGATTGTTATTGAGTTGTTTATAGGTTAAACTTGGTTTCTACCTTGGGTAGGATTCAGAATACCGGTTTTTTCATGCTGAGTATTTCTTTTAGTCAATGCTTGGATGATTCTGCCTGAGATTAAGGATACATTAGACTTTCCAGAAATGAAAATACTTACTGGTGAATTTGGTATCCCGTCATTATCTATATCATCATCACAAGCATCACCTACACCGTCCATGTCCGTATCTTCTTGTCCACTGTTTGGAATTACACGACAGTTGTCCTAAATGAGAAGAAACGAAAAAAAGTTAGATTGTAAACGAAAAAAAATGGAAAAATTATTGAGAACTATTAGCAACACTCTTTAGTTTTCTGTGTTGTGTCATCTGTACTATCATTTGTCTGTTTGTCTTTTTATTTTTGGCCATGGCGTTGTCAGTTTGTTTTCGATCTATGAGTTTGACTGTCCCTCTGGTATCTTTCGTCCCTCTTTTAAATGTAATACAGCCAATCCAGGTAAGACAGAAACGAAAAAATCTTTGACAAAACAAATACTTACAAGATGTCAAGAAATTTAATCAGATACATAATACTATATAAGATTAATGCTTCTGAACCATAGATAGAAAGTGTGATTGATTAAGTGTTGCTTGCATAACGTCCAGTTGCATTGAGAGAAAGAGGAAATTTTGAAAGTCAGAAGCAGTTGAAAGCTTGAACCAGATGAATCTCTTTTCTTGTCCTTTCAAGCATTCATGTACTTTACATACCCGTAAACATCTAGAGCCAGAACAATCAAGTGGTTTGTCTGGAACACCGTCAATGTCAAAATCGTCTCCACATATGTATCCATCACCAGCGAAACCAATATTACACTGCAAAAAAAATATTTTAGAATTCATTAAAAGTGTGACCGTTTCTGAAGTGTTGTACTATTTAAATTTGAAGTAAATTTCATCGTAGTACTTACAAATTATGCAATTCATAATACAGGCTAAAAAGATAATAATATGTGTGTAAAACAAAGTTGAAAAATTAAAAAGCTGGTTAAAATAAAATGACAAATTGCATGATAACAAGTATGAAAAGAAATGTAGACTATTATTACTTGACAGAAGAATCCTGCTTTACGTTGGTGTTTTATACATCTGGCATTGATATCACATTCAGATTCCTGGTCAGGACATTTTGTTCCAAGTTTCTTACAGCCATCCGTCTGGTTTCCATAGTAACCATCAATACAAGGTCCACATATAAATGAGCCCTAAAATTACTTTCAACATGATCTGTTATGTATATAATGTAATGCAATGCTTATTAGTTTCTATCAGAAATAAGCATTTTATAGCTGCTAACTTCTACTTCATTTGGTCTCTGGTGGAGAGCTGGAATTACGGTTATAGTTTTTAAAACAGAAACCGCCGAACTTCTAAATCAACCATTCTAATGCTACACATATTAGATTTTCAAATGCACTTATCGGGATTGTCAATCGTCTACTATCAGTTCTCACATCAGGGGGAAAGGAATCAGACTATACAAAATAGACATTCAAAACTCATAAGTCGAAGGGAAAATGATAACGCCATGGTCAGTCGTCCAAAGAAGGTGTTAGATGTTCTGTTTGACGTGATTTCATATCATACGTTTTTACAAGTACTAGTATGACATGAAAGAATGATTTTTCCGGCAGGATGGTGGCCATTGTCTGATGAAGTAGTAGAATTGTCTGTGTTTATTTAATCGTATAAGTTTGAGTTATAGTGAAGAAGAGAGAAAAAAGACAATACTCACAACAGTATTTTGACACACAGAAAAGTTTACACATCCACCATTATCGATACTGCATTCGTCAAAATCTGAACATATCTGTAAAATAGATATATGCTATGAAATGACATAAAAAATACTTACTTTTGTTGCCTTTTGTAACATTATTGTCGTCTCATTGATGTTTTATCCCCTGTTTTCATGTATCTACTTTTTTCGTATTAACCTTGTTAAAAAACAAAATCTCAATTTCAACGATAAAACGAACTTAAATAAGTGCATTATGGTAAAGCAAGAGTCCCACAGATGAAAAGTGACAAGAGCACTTTAATTTTCACTCAAATGTTTAAATTGGAAAGTTGGTGAAATATAGCTGAATCTGAAAAATAAAGATTCTCAACAACCACATTTGAAAGGCAGTATGTAGATACAATTAAGATAGATTGTCGGTTCATATTCAGCTGATTTTGAAGATACACGCTCTAAATTTGCCACTTTTGTCAAAAGTTTTTTTTTTTTTTTTGCAATCTGTGTATTTACATATACTAATCAGAAGTATGCCACAATCTTTTCAGGGTCCGAAAATACACACATGATACTGTTTTAGTACAAATAGGACAGATTTATTTTTATGATCTATTTCTTTTCTATACGTTAATGATAACAATTACTGTAACAGTAAACATTTTTCGATGTATTTTCTTTTCTGCTATAATACCATTAAAACAAAGGAATAATCCAAAATATATACCTGTTTTGTTGTGGTGTCGTTTAATCCAACTCCTTTCACAGTGGACCCAGTATAACCAGATGGGCACTCTGTACAACGGAATCCTGGTTCCAAGTTGACACAACTGGACATATTGCTGCATGGATTGGACAGTTCACACTGATCCATAAAAATAAAGTTAAAAAGTATGACTATCATCGTGTAATACTAAGATTAATAAATGGAACCTATACAATACTGTGCACAAAGACCTTAAAACTGGCATTTCTACTTTCCGGAAAGTCCAAAGCATTTGCTTATTAGGAGTAAAGGGCAAAAATGGATGTGTTCAAAGGTGGCACAATTCGTCGTCATGACAAGCAACACAACCAATGACTTAAAAATGAAATTGCTATGTGGTGTTCAGTCATTTCATTTGATTCACTGCTGTTTAATAAATACAAGGGTCGGTGTAGTTAAAAGATTGTGAGTGTATTTATCTATAGTCTTTAATTTTGTGAGTTTTCATGGAGTATCTGTACTTTTGTCATTGTTGACATATAGGAGCCCAACGATGTCTATTTTTAATTTATTTTGATAATCTCAATAGATTGTTTCATATTTTAATTGTCTTTTAGTATTATTTTAAACCAGAGAAAGATCATAAAGGATTTAGACTCCAGACATTTTACGGTAATACCGACAGAAATCATGAGAATAAGCGTACCCGATATGCGAGTTTCTCGAGATTTGTCTTTTATCTACATGAAATAATAGTCTGTGATTTTCGAGCAAGAACGGAAGAGTACACTAAGTTAAATGTGTTTTACCGATATAAAAAAGTCTACCTCATAATTTAATCCAATAAAAATAAAGTTTGAATATATAGCCACCCTATATCTATCTTGGTTATAATTTTGAAAAATATTTCATTAACAGACCTCATCTATGTCTGAACAGTGGGTACCATTTCCTTCGAAACCTGGCGGGCAGTTCCCACAAACATATCCATCTATGATATCCTCGCATGTTACATCAGGGAAACAAGGACTGGAACTGCAAGTAACAGGAAGTGAAATACAGCCATCCACTGTCCCGTTCCCAGTCATCCCACTTGGACATGGGCCGCACTGGTAACCATCCTCTGTATTTGTACACACTGATCCTTCAAAACATGGCAGAGACGAGCAAGTAATAATTATTGTGGTACATTCATTTTTCAAACCAGTTCCGGTTTTACCAGACGGGCATGTACCACATGTAAATCCAGTCTCTGTTTCAGAGCATTCTACCCCGTCATAACAAGGATCTGAATTACACGATGGCTTGCATCCATTCCTTTCACCGTTACCTATCATTCCTTCTGGGCAAGGACTGCATTCATATCCAGTCTTTGTGTCCTTGCACAGAACTCCCTCAAAGCATGGATTTGTATTACAACCAATGATTATTTTTTTGCATCCATCTTTGCTTCCATTCCCGGAAAACCCGACGGGGCAGTGCCCACATGTATGTCCTGATTTTGTATCTGTACAAGATACATTTTCAAAACATGGATTTTTGTCACATTTTATTTCAGGTAATTTGCACCCGTTCTTTGTTCCATCGCCTTCCATCCCAGATGGGCATTTTCCACATTTATAGCCTTTCCTGGTATTTGTGCATGTGACACCTTCAATATACGAAAGAAATGTTTTACAATACACTTCTGTTATCAATGATAAAGAATAAGGTGACACGAGAAAAGAGAAAGGAAACGCATGTATATACTTTTATTAAGGACAAATTCAATATCTGCTGGAAAAAAAACAAGTAAGGAAAATCTTATATATTCGTAATTCCTTTGAATGTAGTCTTACGTGAAAAACGTTTTTACTAATTGTTGTGAATTGATTTTTATGCCTTTTTCCTTTTGTTTTATTTGATTTGCACTTTTGTTTCGTGTTTGCCTGGTTACAATCCTAATTGTTTTTTGTATTTTAACCAATAAAGTGGTTGCCTTGTCTTTAGTTTAAGTGTCATGTTATTTCTGTAAATACAACAGTTACTTGGAAACGTTTTAACAAATTAGGTAAAGAAACCCATAACTGCTAAACACGATAAGCTTTGGTCATTATTTTTTTCTCAAACTTTTTATTTACTCATTTGTAGGGTACGTTTATTTTCTTTGTTTAAATTACTTTGCTACTATCATATTTTAGTTTGTTCGTTTTTTTGTTTTGTTTTTTTTACTTATACAGGACATGTTAAACACTACACCGCTCTCGCTGTTGGTACAACTATATGAGTTCATTTGGTCGACATTCATATACAATTTTATCTTTTTAAGTTGCAAAATAATTTTATTGTATACCTTTAAAACAAGGCTGCAGTTTACAGTTAGGCCGCAGTACACACTTTTTACCGTTTCCTTTGAAACCAGGAGGACATTTTCCGCATTTAAACCCTCTCTTGGTGTTTCTACAGGACACTTCTTTAGAGCATGGATTATCAGCACATGTTAACTTCTTTAAAGTAAGCTGGTCCCTTGGAGCTTCAAATTACAGAAAATATTGAGGAGGTTTATGAGATCTAATATATACATATTTATAATCCTTATGGTATGTATATATATAAACTATGCTGGATAATTACTCTGTTCGGTGTAGGTAGAAATGCAGATATTCACATGATGTTAAAGAGCTGTTGCAATGACAGTTTTGAAGGAAAATAATATTCTACCATTACATTTATAAATCAAATCATTTAATGGGTTATTTAACAATAGTCCCGTGTTAATAACTCATGGAAATTCAGCTTAAAGTACAAGTTAATTGGATATGAAAGGTATCTTTACATTATTGCAGTTTTTCATGTATTCAGCATATGCTATAGCTGCTCACCTCGCTCTGACAGTACAGTACACATATCACATTTGTTAATACTTTCCCGAAGAGATCGCGTTTCAGCTGCCTGAAATGGATATAGTGCTAAATAATGATAGTCTATTATCTTCCGCGAATCTTGTATATGATTGATTTTTAAAAATAACTAAAATAACTATTTGCTAATTATGTTCCTACGCATTAATACAATAAACACAATTCATATAACAATGAAAACACAATACAGTTTTAATTTTACTATATCAAAATAGTTTTTAATTATTATTTAAGTTACATTTGTATTTAGTTTTTGTGATGTTTTATTATTTTATTAAATCCAAATGTTCTTGCTGATTCAGGAATGAAACTGTGGAATGGGCTATGGATTTAATGTATTGATTATTGTTATAATGAACAGCGTAAATGCAAAGCAAAATAATCAAATTTGGTTCTTTGAAACTAGAGCTGAACATTAGGCGACACGAACATTACTGATTTGTGACTCGGAGTTTAATGGTACAGCAATAGTCTTATCTTTTGAATGTATAATCGAACGCTGATTGTAGATTTAAGTTCAAGAACAAAAAAAGAAATAAAAAACGATTTTATTAAAGAAAAGTCTAAAAGGTCAAGCTATTAATAAAAATTCTTAATAAAAAGATGTTAATGCAAATTCTGTTACCAATCCTCCAGTTTTATAATGCATGTACTACATAACCCTCTTAAACCTGACGAGTAACAGTCAAAATATTTTACATAGTAAGTGCATGTCTATTTTTGATTTTCTGAACATGCTTGTGGTCACGTATTTACACACGAAATATGGCATGCATTAAACCATTACCAGCTCGTAAATGGTGTAAACATATTGGTATATTGGACATCAGAGTTTAGGTATACTGAACATTTCTAGAAATTTATTATTGAAATTATTTGACAGAAATAGATAGTAAACATATGTTGACACCTGTTTTTTAATTTCCTCTTGTAGCGACTTCACTGAAGTCGTCAATTCTTTCAAAGCCTCTGTCAGCAGATTGTTGACGTCCTGAACTAAAAAATGTAAAAAAAAAAACAAATCACAACTGTTAACTCTGATATATTCCTAAATAGGAGTACGCGAGTCTCCAAATAACATGTATGACACCTATGCCTTTCTGCCTCCAGTTCGATTTGCTTACAACTATGACAACTATATAGACCAGTGCTTGTTATACCTTGATGTTTCACAGAGAATGCAGTACTTATAGTTCAGTATTACCACAATTGGCATAAATGAATGCGACCATATGGAAAGCGCCAGAAACGGTTTCAAGGAGGAGCGAAAAGTAAATATCATACACACATAATCAAACAGAAAATGTTTACACTGAAACATGTTTTACATCCACATCGTTATAAAAAAATATGTATAGAGATTAAGACAGAAAGGCACCTACTGATACGTAATTAGCCACTCATCAGAAAAATGGTAGCGAACCCATTTATATTCTAATTAAGTTTGTTTAGACCATATGTTAAACTCTAGATATACTTTGGTGCAATGTGCAGGTGCGGATCCAGCCATTTAAAAGTAATAGGAGGGGGTGTTTCCAACTCCCGTAACGCCATGAAATATTCACAAAATTAAAAAATGAATCGATAAAAATTTTGGGTTCCAACGCCCCCGCCATTGCTGTGTCATTGGTTTACTGTCTCATTGGCGCATGCGCAACATTTCTTTTTTTTCAAAATTAACTTTTAATATTTACAATGATTGACAGTTTCCGTGTCTGTCTTATAACCATGACCGCCATTTGTCTGTTTATCTGGACCTTTGACTACATTGATTTCCACTCCCCTAAATTCACTGGCAGGTATTACGTTAGAAACTACATTCTGTTGCCCTTTAATCGGAATTCTTCCCTTTTCTGGTACAGTTATTACGTGTGGTGAACGTTGTTGGGATTTTGGAAGTGGCAAAAATGGTCTTTGGGACGGTCTTGTGAACGATGGTTGTTGTGTATTACAGTGCTGTCTCTTTAACATCGTGTGAATGTCTGCATTCCAGTAGAAGTTAAATTCATCTTGTTTCTTCTGAAATAATTAATTGGAAAATATGAAATATGAGTTTGACTGTCCCTATGGTATCTTTCGTCCCTCTGTTAAACAGAATTTGTCGTTTCTTCACTAACAATTAATATTTATCAAAGGAAAAACACCGTCAGCGTTAACCTGATTAATGAATTCCTTAGTATGCTTTAAATTGTTATTTTAGCACCGTAATCAGTGCTCCATTGACCGTAGTTCGAAGAAGCTATACTACTGACCTCATTTTTACTTGATTGGTATTAGTTTTTTTTTACATTGTATACTGTTATAATGATAATAACTTATTGATACTGATTAAAAGCATCTGGTAAATGATTTATTATGTATATTTAAAACCTGCATATGGTAGAAATAGTGTATAAACTACCCATGTTGACAAGTAACAAATCCCTAATAACCATTAATTACAGAAAAAACAGGTAAGATCATATATCTGCACAGCTGATAAAACAGAATTCTTCAGAAGCAACTGCATGTTTAAATGATGAAATTCAATTATATCAACAGAATTAAGCTGCTGGAAAGAATACAAGATCAATGTCAATTAAGTATCACAATCCCTGCTTTTTGGCGCTTCCACACATTGTTATAGTCATTTTAAAAGAATGCAGAAAATTAAATCATTTTTAGATGCATGTCTGTAAAATTATAAACTTACAATTTTTTGTTTACCATACAACATTGCTTTAAATGGTAATTTTGACCTGGTTTGACCTTGACGCACACAATTTACGTAGAGATCAGCAACATTTCGCCGTCGAAAAAGATTGTGAAAATGAACGATCATCTTAATTCCATCAGTAGTTTTCAGCAATGGTGTTTGGAATGTCAAGGAATCATCGCCAACAGCTCGTGAAGACGATCTGATGATAACTGAAAAAGACCAGTAGGAATATTTATCGATCATGTCTTTTGAATAAAGAGCGTAATTACTTTGTTGAAGAAACCTTTCGTTGACTGATGAGTTACGGCAAGATTATATTGTCCCGATCCTTGCCTCATGTAGATTTTGTATTCACTAAAATATTGTCTACACTACAACAACTATTGACTTTTTTATGCTAATGAGCAACAATCCCTCAAAAGAGTAATCATTTGATAGTGCTAAAAAAAACTTCTTAGCTGAGTCTTCTAACTTAAAATGGCAGAAATTTAAAGAAAATGGAACAACTAACTTCTTCATATTTTAATATTTTAATTTCGGGTTTTAAAAAAGTTAGTAGCCTTAAGCTTGTGTCCACTGAGTTTTCATAGGTTTTTATCTTTCAGTAAATCAAGTTAGGCTACTCATCTTTTGAAAAATTTGCTGCATTTATCGTGAATATATGCCATTTTAAGTATAAAATGTGTATGAACAAAAACTAGTTTTTAACACTAGAAAAGTAACTCATTTGGGGGATTGTTACTCAGTTTGGGACTAGTCCCCATTTGCGGGTTGTCCCCAACCTGTGTAATGGAAAGTCAAACTTTGAAGGTCAAAAGTTTTTTCTACCTTTTCATCATCATTTAATAAATTCTATGTCTTTAAATACATCAGTAACGCTTCATTTTTTTGTAATACATTTGTTTTTGTTAAGATAATTGCATGCCTTATCTTTACTTCAATAATGAATTAATTTTACTATTCGGTGTTCAGATCATTGTTGACTATTATGGTTTTCTGATTTTGAACTAACATTACATTGTAAGTCACATTTTCATGATAAGAATAATAAATACCATCTGATGCTTATTAAAATAAAATACACTCCATTGTTTGTGTTACCTTGATTTACATTAAAATCTATATACACTGCAAACTGTGTCCCTGCAACAAAATCCTGTCCACTAAACAGGAAAGTAACACCAGACCTCTGGACACTGGAAGGGGTTAATTCTCCACTCAGGAATACATCGCCCGATCTTGCAAATACTTCGTACAGTTCATTATCAGCAGCTAGAAATATACATAGGGAGATTTAACAAGTTAAAAAAAAAGTTTTATGAATGTGCACATTAGCGACATCTAAACATATTATCTTAAGGTCACAATTGTCCTTTGGTTAGTTAATGGCGCCCGAGTAGAAACGAGAGGATACAAATGGGGCCAAAGTTACAGAAATGTGAAAATAAAGAGATTTAGTGAGACAACTACCAAGCCAAGATCAAAGGTGCTTTACTCGTCATGTAAGCCGAGACAGTGATGTAACAGCACAACATAAGAACAGACTGTACAAATAATTTGGAAAGGGCTTGACTCAACAGATCGGCACAATGCACAAAAAACTAACAGAAAGACCAAAAAAATACACAGACACATTAATTGAGCACAAACAGTTTAACATGCTTAATCAATAAGTCAATTAGGCGAAACAAAATTTAAAGAAGAATTCCCAAAATTGTTTGCTTTATAAATGATAAAACAACAAAATTGACACAAGCGGTAATAAAATTATATATTTTCAGAGATCAAGATTTCAAAATTTATTAAACAATGATAATAATGACAATTAACTCATTGTTTAGGATATACATTTGAATCAGATGTTATGATACAAATGATTTAAACAATGGTACAAAGAGCCATAAAAAATCTAGTACAATTTAAAATAACTCTGTATCTAGAATTTGTATTCGATGGTAGTATAGGGTCGTTGTGGATTTTTTCCTAGTCTGTGCGTCCTTCTGTTAGTCCGTCTAGTATCAGGTTACAAATTTTGGTCAAGGTATTTTACCACGAAGTTGTGGTCAACTTGGAAGTTCTTTCTAAGTTACATATCAAATTATGGTTTTGACCCGGATTTTATTGTTCACCGAACATAGAAATGAGGTAGTATGCTCAGGTTTAAGTTTTTGGTTGAGGTAGTTTACCATTGAAACTGGGTACACATGATCATTGCCGTGAGTCAAACTTGCAATTTTATGGTAAGTTACGATTTTGACCCCGATTTCACAACTCACTGAACATGGATATATGATAGTGCAAATTATAAAAATAAGAAGACGTTGTATGATAGCCAATGAGGCAACTCGATCTCCACCAGAGACAAAATGAAGTAGAAGTTAACAATTATAGTACATTCTCAATTAAAATTTTTGGTAACGGTAGTTTACCATGAAGATGTCGTCATATCAACTTGAAACTTGCTGCACAAGTTCATTAATTGTAAGGCGTAATTTGAATATACACCTACGTACGAGTTTAACCTCGATTTCACGGTTCACTGAACTTTGAATCATGATAGTGTGAGTGGGGCATGGTGTCATATGAACACACATTCTTGTTTGAACTTGTTTTATTTACATAATTTTTCAAGTGAAATGAAAGAAGATTACAACACATTTTAGTACTTGTGCACGGAAACAGTGACTCACAATTCGATTCGAGTTTTTTGCACTCGAGGAACGAACCAAGAAACCACAGTGCTTATTTAATAAACAATGATATACATTTGTTGTTTCTCACAAATCGTTTCAACTGTATCTTTCCTAATTAAATGAGACAAATTATACATCTTTGATCGCTTTTCCATATCCTCCAACAAGAGAGCTGCACGTGTAACGCACATTTTTTGTTATTATTAAATACTATTATATAATTATATCCATGTGATCCAAAAAACGATATTGGTATGTAAAACTTCCGGTAATCCATTAGCTCTTAATGTGCAACAATGTCACATAAAATATGATTAATTATGTAGTTGTTCTGCCTTTATGGCACGACATACCCGATTAAAATTAGTAGGTTGATATTGCTGATAAAAAAAAACTTCAGCATTCTTTGTCCATAAATATAAAATAAATACGTGCTGTATCTTATTTTTCAAAGCCTCAGTGACCGAAACAAGAGCGAAATGCAGACATTTCAATGACGAAGCCTATGACGCCATAACGATTCAGATTGCACAAGATTTTTTATTTGTTTAAATGACGTGTTTCTTCGAAGCGTATTAGCGCCACACAAACTTTTTTTATATTTCTTCCCATGTTTTTATTATAGCGCAAACATTTGGGAAATAAGTTATAAATTGAGGAGGCAGTATGAATCAAATTCTATGACTCTTTGCACCTATTGCAAACTGAAATATTGGAGTGTTTAGCGTGACATCATCGTGGCATAGCAATGAGCAGGAGGACATTACAGAGAAAGTTTATAGGATTGAATTTGTACCGAAGAAAATTAAAAACCAACCCTATTAATGTAGCCGAATTTATATATATACTTCCAACGTAAGCTCTCGTATGAACCTTGTGTAAGATGGGTTAGACCCAAACAAGCTTCCCTCTTGAAATAAATGTTTAAAATAAATATTTTTTCTATTAATATTATTATGTATTCTTCATTAAAATTGTTACCCAAGCGTCTTAAATAGTAACCTAAATAGAATGAAATTTAAAACCCCTGAATTTTTTGTCAAAGAATCTTTATAATATTCTTAGATTTCAACAAACGCTTTCTTACATCAAATTTCAAAATTTTTCATTCTAAATAATTCCCTTGTAAAGTCGAAAGATTCTTTTGTCTATTTGCCTTAATCGGTTCACAATTGTATGAACTTTTTGTGCACTGAAGTTGCCACTTTCCGTAAATCAAAATTTTGTCCTTTCCAGTGAAAATTGCTCATACCATATCTATTTTCATATAAATATGAAAATAGGAATTTGTGGTATGGTCACAGGCACTTGTCTCTAAACAAAAAATGCCTGTATATCTTAATATATATAACACGTGTTATATTAAGGTACAAATGTATATAGGGAATTTTTTTTCAGAGACAAGTGCCTGTGGGTATGGTTGCAAATGAAACGAATATCCACCTGAGACCAAATGAAGTAGAAGTTATCAACTATAGGTCACCGTACGACCTTCCACAATGAGCAAAACCCATACTCCATAGCAAGCTATAACGAAAAACGAGAAAACGAGAAAACTAACGGCCTGATTTATGTACAAAACAATACACGAAAACAAACATCATATACGTATACAACAACAAACGACAACCACTCAATTACAGGATCCTGAACTTAAAAAAAAATAAAATAGATAATTAAATAATGAGTTATAAACTATTTTTTAGTATTGGATAGTAAAATAAAATTGTGTCAGAATATTGATAAACCCACTCAAAACTTTGCCTTGTTATAGAGTTAGGTATAGGTGGTATGAAATAGAAAATTGAATATTATGTAAGTGAGAGAAAAAAAACAGAATGACGGAAAAGACGTCCAGAGATCTTTTATTCGGAAATAACCAAAATTGAATTATAGAATTAGTTAGGAATAGAACAAAATGCGGTTCATATGCTACCTATATTAAGCAAATAGTCATATTGATTGATTTAATCTGTAAGTCTAAGAAGCGAAAGCAAAAAAAGGCCGGGCTTCTATTTTAGTATATTGTATGTGAAAGAAAAGAACTCGAGGACAACATTTGGTTGATTTTGTCTCAAGATTTTGCTCATCCGGAATATGCATAAAGAATTTATCTTGAAAAATCATCCAGGTGCAAATACGGTCACAAAAAGAAACATGTTTCGTTTTATATTTATCATTTTTTAACACTTTTGATTACAATATCATGTGTCCCTTTCATAATTTAAATAATGATAATTTGTTTCGCATATTGCATTCATTTTTCAACTTTTTGTGGTCTGCAGAACAAATACATATTATAGGTTTCTGAATAAATGTAGTCAAAGAACTTGAAATTGGTTATATGAATTGAATTTATATTCAATTAAAGATTTCTTTCTGTTGTGCAATACACTGTGCTGTTGCGCAATACTAGTAAATCTGTTGTCAGACTATAAACAAATAAAGTTCAATAACTTCTCAATGTTATATTAGAAATTTATAAAAAAAAAACTAAAGGGAGGTTATCTTAATAGATATAAATCAGTCATCAAAGTTTAATGAAAACTGCTCTAAGCACTTTAAGGATATTGTCCAAAAACTTGAAAATCACCTTTTTTATGAATAAAATCTTGTAACTCGGAAACATAAAATCTAAAATTTATAAAAATCAAAAGGGAGCTTACAACAATAGATATAAACAATTTACCAAAGTTTCATAAAATATGCTGAAAGCATTTTTGAGTTATTGTCCGAAAACAGGAATATCCCCCTTTTTGTTACGAATAAAACCCCATAAATCAGAAACGTATAGTCTAAAATATATAAAAATCAAAAGGGAGCTCATGTCGATAGCATTAAACAATTCACCAAAGTTTCTTGCAAATTGGTGAAATTGTTTTTGAGTTATTGTCCGAAAACTGGAAAATCCCCCCTTTTTTAATGAATAAAACTCCAAAATTCGGAAACGGTAAATCCGAAATTTATAAAAAAAAGAAAAGGGAGCTCACATCAATAAATATAAACAATTCACCAAAGTTTCATGCATATTGGTAAAAGCGTTTTTGAGTTAATGTCCGACATGTTGACGACGGACGGACGGACAGACGGACGGTCAACGGTATACCATAATACGTCCCGTAAACGGGCGTATAAAAATCAAACCATTTATTTTTAAAAAGTTGAATGTTCAGTGCCAATGTCCTTTTAATTGTCGAGTTTAAAGATTTTCCTCTTACTTTCGAATTCGACATTTTTAAGCTATAAAACTGATTATACACACTGATCTTGGTGGAATACGAGATGGTAACACGAATGTATAACAGGCCTATAAACAGGCCGAATGTGCTCACGTGAATTTCACATGAATCTCTCATGAAATTCATGTGAAAATTTTTACGTGAGATTCATCTCAAATAAGCTTATACATGAAATTCACGTGAAAATTTTCACATGAACTTCAGGTGAACTTTTCAAAAAAAAAAGGTATTTTTCATGATTTTAATTAAATTTGAAAATTTAGATGTTATTTGAATTACGTTATTATAAAAATTCACATGAATTTCACGTGAAAAAATACACATATGATTTTCACGTGACTTTCATATGAGATTCACGTGAAACTCACATGAACTGATTTCACGTGAGTTTAATTCACGTATAAGCTCGTTTCAATTCAAATTCACGTGAAATTTCCCTGTGTACAATATCAGTAAGATAACACATGTGATGCTTTATATTTCATGACGAGAATTGGTCTTTTATAACCAAGCTGTACGCTGCATCTAACGATCCAAGAAATAGATTGGAGACGCTCTACTTGTACCCTTTTTATGGATGTAGGTTAAAATTAAATAGCAATTTTGGGGCTATATTTTTTCTACGTATCAGTTAGGTCAAAACCCTTGTTTCGGTTCATTTTGAACGTTGATAATTTTGAATTTTCAAGTCTTATTACTTTTTTCCCCGGACCTACACACCTGGCTAGATTTAGAAGGATTAGAACCCAAAAAACCATCGAGGCGGTAGCAATCTTTAATGTCCAAAAGCCTTAGCTTCAAACTCGAAATTGAAACTTAAAACTGGAATCGCAAACACAGACAAAACTTCAAAATAGACATATATTTTCGTAGAAACAATTAATCAAACATAATTGCTTTTGTAAAACATAGTCGCATTTTTGTAGGAAACGAATAAGTAAACAAGAAACTTATTTTAAAATAGAAATAAAAGTTTCAGTTAAGAAATCTATATACTATAGTAAATATAACTTACCTTGACGAATCTGGGATTCGACGATTGAGATAAATCCAAATATAAAAAGAAAAATACTTAAACATTCCATATTCCTATGATATTAACTATGATAATCAAATGTATATATCCATTTAATAATTTTTTAGTATAATTTTTTCACTCGAACTATCTTAGAGAAGTGTATACATTTAGTTAAATTCATGAATAGCTTTATTTTATATCATTGCATTGTTTCCACAAAACGTATCAAAACACTAATACAAACACCATACATGTCTGATTCGTTGATTGGCACATTAGAATGCAAAAAGAATACACTTCGTTTTCATTTACCGTAAAAAAAATTATCTCAATGCAAGCAAATCGACAAGAATATGTAATACGCCAAATAAGATAAATTATAAAGTGTTGTTTTGATTGCCGGTGTTTTTATTGTCTATCATAACGGCATATTAAAGTTAGTGCTTCTTTTTTCGTGTGTTCTTCTTTGTTCCCTATTGTTATTCCACTGACCGAGATATAAAAGTGTAGGGTTAAGATATTAAAAAAATCAATATAACATGTTCATGTATCTATCCGAAGTCAAGAACCAGTCGCTGGTTGTTTATGTTTATATTTTGATTTTTTGTCGGTTTAAGGAATTTTATATTGATGGTAGATCTCCGATAGTCTATGTAAAATTAATTTACAGTTTTTTTTCTAGACTTTATAAATAAGAAGATGTGGTATTAGTGCCAATGAGACAACTCTCCATCCAAGTCACAATGTATAAAAAGTTAACAAATAAAGGTAAAAGTACGGCCTTCAACACGGAGTCATGGCTCACACCGAACAGCAATCTATAAAGGACACCAAAATGACCAGTGTGAAACAATTCAAACAGGAAAACCAACGGTCTAATCTATATAAAAAACGAGAAACGAGAAACACATATGAACCACACCAACAAACGACAACCACTGAACAACAGGCTCCTGACTTAGGACAAGTGCACGAAAATGCAGTGGGTTTAAACGTTTTAACAGGAGCCAACCTTCACCCTAACCTGAGACAATAGTGTAACATTACAACATAAAAAGACACACTATAAAATATTAATTGAAATGGCTTAACTCGATCAAAAAGACATTTAAACAAAAACAAGGAAACATACACTGAACGAATACGTTTGATCTATGACACAATATAAATACAATATTAAAACGTAGGTGCCTATATAACATAGACGTTACAGGAGGTAGTGATAAAAAAGATGTAGGAATAGTGTCAATAAGACAACTCTTGCCTGGGATGTCTGATTTAGTGCTTCACATATTGTATATACCCCTTTTATTCATATACGTCTTCATGTAAAACCTAGTAAGTTCGTACTGGCAAATAGAATAATAATTATATACTTGCATCAACCTTAAAGTATGAAATAATAAATCTGATCTTTAATCTAGTCTTTATTGTGCCTTTTACTTAGTAGCCTAGTGTATTCGAATATTAAAAAAAATATTTACAAATCCAAAATTTGCACTCATCGACAAAAGATGAAAATTAGAACAGTTTAAGGGTAATAACGTGAGGGTTAAAAACGCATGAAGATATTATTTTATGCGCTCATGTATTATCAAAATTTTCGAATTCCAGGCCTTGTTCATCATAGGTCATAAATTTTCAGGCAAATTTCAATTTTCCAGATGCTTGGCTTAAAACCCTTCAGATGCCAAATCGTGCTTCAACCCCTCATTTTTATATATTTAGACAAGAAAAGACCCCTCAGAAATAAAAAAAAATGATGGGTACAGTTAGATATATTATGAGCTAATCAGTGCCCCTTAGAAATGACATTTGATACCCATCAGGACCCGCCCCCTTTCAGATATTAAATGGGAATGGTCTATTTCAACTCTGCAGCAATCATTCAGATTTACAAAATTGATCGACGTGAAAGTAATTTTCACGGTTACATCCAACCAGTTATAATTAAACCACAAAGCCCATCCAATGTCTAGATTCATTCATCAATTTCCTCAGTACTTATAGTTATATACATATGTTTTCTTTGTGATTCTCTTATTATTGTAATAAAACAAGAATAAACATGTTTTTCATTTGAATTTTACCAGTTATGACATCGACTTAAAAAGAAATATGTATCATGATCGTTTTAACATGCAAAGCAGCGTGAACATATCTGATTGTTTATCAAATTTGATTAGTTTTTTGAAATAAAATATCTCTTTTCTCATCCGTCTTCACGTTTTATTTCATTTAGCTATTAGTTTGCAAAGTCTTAAAATTTATAAAACATTGTAATATTCATGAAGACATTTGACGGGGTCAATACCATCTTTATATGTTTTTTTAATGAATATCAGTGATTTACAGACGATTCAACTACCGATATGTTTTTCATTGGCAGTTCCTTCATAGATATCTTATGTAAAAATCTATGATTTATAGGCATTTTTACCGGACGAAGAAAGGTTTATCAAATCGTGACCTTTCATTAATTTCTATTCTGATCTGGGGAAAAAGGTAGGGAATTCAGCTTTACCCCCCCCCCCCCCCCCCCCCCCAAAAAAAAAAACAACATAAAAATTCAACATACATATAACATCAGTGCATTGGTAACTGTTGTATTTGAGTGTTCTATCTGGAAATCCATACAACCATGCAGACTTCTTCTTATACTTTTGATTCAACAATAGGGAATAACAAGAGACTACTTAAAATAAATAGAGATAGAATATTATATTGTGCGTTTTCTGCAGATCAAGAATTATCCCAAGAAAACTTAGAATGCTGGTTTTCTACCCTAAATAAAATATTTAAAGTATTTAAACTTGATACAAAAACATGACAGATAATAGTGTTTTTAAAAATAGTCTAATAAGAAATTATAATCAACAATCTGACTCACCACTACAAAAAATCAAACCTGGAGCTGTGGACAGTAAACTGATGCTTTTCAGTAATATTTTTGTTCCAAATTATTGTTCCCTTCCATCTTCAAACCAATCTTACTAAAAATATAAAAAGTTAAATTACACAACTACGTATCAGTGCTCATTGTTGAAATATAGAACGGGGTAGATACAATAAACCCAAAATTCCAAGAGAAGAACCAGGGGGCGGAATCAGGCAGGGGCGTGGCGAGCGTGCGCCCCCCCCCCCCTAAAATTTGCAAAGCATGGGTTGTCCTCAGAATATTTCGATAATTTTACCTAAAAAAAAATTGCTCCGCTCGGCGAAAATTTAAGTTTGCGCCCCACTAACCTAAATTCCTGGATCCGCCCCTGAGAACGTTTTTGCAAATTCTGCACTAATTCGAAGTAGAGACAGAAGAACATGTTTTGATATCTTGTCATAAATATAAACATATAAGGCAAACTGTTTTCCAATCTTATGGTTTTGATTTGAAAAATTCACATAATACTTATTTTTCAGTTTCTAATCTTTTAAATCCACAAAATATTATTGAATGTAATAATTCACACAAATTTATTAGAAATGCATTAGAAATAAGTAACAATTCTTAAAATTATGTGTACAATTGAATTATTTATAATTATATACTACATGTAAAACTTTGAAATGTTGTTTTGTATATTTTTATATGATTTGTAATGGAGAACACTTATGTACTATTAGTTATCTTAATAAAGAATCTGAATCTGAAGAAAGAAATTTCCAGGTTAATTCTATAATTCAGTGTCCAGATATTGCTAGCTTGTTGAGAGAACGATACATGCATGACTGTCGTAGTCCTGACTTGGATCAGTAACACCTGAAAGTGATGGTTGGAATTATGGTTTTACAGCAACCCAAACCTCTCACACGTATGAAAACCACCATATGGCATATATATATATATATATATAATAAAATGAATACCGTTGAGTCAATGTCCAGGTTCAGGCTGTTTGTGTTTCAATACATCCCACACTTCCGACGCACAAATGTATCTCCTTTGTAGAAATTAGAAATTATTAATTAGAAAATAATGTTCATACTCCCTCAGGCAAAGATGACCTTAGGTGGATTTTGCTATTTTTGTTTTGTCCCTTTGGTCATATGCCCCTCAAGTATTCGAGTATTTGTTCATTTCTGACTTGAAGGCAAATCAAAAGCGCTTCGGACACACCTAATTTATAGAGTTGCATTCTTCCGCAAAACTTATACATGACTGTAAACTCGCACACCTAAACAACTGTATCTCTGCAAGAGTAAAGGACTTTGTTGTGTACAGAGATAAAATTGAGAATGGAAATGGGGAATGTGTCAAAGAGACAACAACCCGACCATAGAACAGACAACAGAGAGCATGACATACAGCTGTGATCAGTTATAACCTCTCTTAAAATCTGTCAAGAGAACTATAATAGATGAGTTCTCCTGACACATTTAGAACAGTTTTGGATAGTTCTAACCTAGAAAAGTTTTGGACAGTTCTAACCTATAACAGTTTTGGACAGTTCTACCCTAGAACTGATTCTGACAGATATATTCTAGAACAGACCATGAAAATTATATCGCTGGGTGTGCAATAGTAATTGAAAGGGCTTGTGTTGCGCTTAGAGAGCATGATATACTTCCATGCTTCGTTCATGGAAGATAACCTATTTCCATACTAGCTGGCAATGGTGGATCATCGACTTTTCATTACAGTGTCTGAAGACCTATGCTTTGAACTTTGAGCAGTAAAATAAACGGGACAGCCTCGTTTTTTCGACATCCAAATAGTCCGATACCCCATTGATCTGACACCACAATAGTCCGACAACGAATAATTAGACAATGGTATATTATAATGCCTGATAGCGTGTTGGTCCAATATTAAAACTGCGTTTGCATGGAACAGAAGGCACTGTCTATCGACTAACAAAAAACATGATATGCAAGTTATTAAGGTAGGTCGGTGAATCGGTTCTAATAGTGGAACATACTCAGCAAGCAAACGAAAAGAGAGAGAGAGATGCGGACACAATGTCTAGCTCGACTAAAAGTGAGTATCCATCTCTCTGTTATGGTTTACATATATAAAACCATTTTTTCATGTATTATGTTTTAGTTACAGCTCTGAATGTTTGCGTTATGCCTTAAATTTTGCATGTGTGCTTTATTTTTATTTTGTGTTTTAAATTATTTTTGCTAAATTTTTAGTTGTGCTTAAATTTTAATTGTACTTTAATTTTAGTTATGCTTCAGTTTTTGGCATGTTTAGATGTGCAGTTTAGTAGTGCTTTGCATGTATTTCAATATGCCTGTGCCGTATCAATGCAGTGAAATATATGCTGTTTATATATCTTATCTGCATGCTCTCTGTTTTAATGTTATGTATATGTTATTTATATTCAGTAAAAAGCTCTCAAGAGCTTATGTTTGTACTGCTTTATGCGAACCGAATCAAAACAAAACTTTCGTATTCGTATTCGTATTTGTATAAAAGATAAAGAATAATTCGATCGAAAAGATGACTGAGAAAAAGAGAAATCAACACGAAAAGAACAACAAAATGCTTCAGAATTGGTATTCACTGCTTCTCCGCAATTCAAGCGACATTGATAAGTAAGAGCAAAGACTGGTCCGACGACACCGAATCGAAAATTTCACGTTACAAATTCAACTCATTGTGTCAGTCTATATAAAGCATAGTATCTTCCTATAAATACATTAAAAACAAGAGGGGATAGGATTGCCAATGAGGCCACTTTGCTCCAGAGACCAAAATGATGTAGAAGTTAGTAACTATAGGAAATAGTATGTAGTCACTGCTATTGTCACGAATAAAAGTGTATTGTTTGCCGTTGATCGTTAAGTCGAAATAAAAAATTAACCAAACAAATCATAATTTACTCTATCGGAATATAAACCACTAATTCATAGCCCATTGCGTTCTATGCTAAATACTGCAATTTCAATCATTCATAGCTACTTTGTCTTAATTTCAAATAAAGTGACAGTCATTTCATATCTAAACTAAACATTATGTTGACTTGTGTGGAAAATTCAACATACCTTTAATTGAATATTATAGAGCACGTTGGTTCCCGGAAGTTTTGTAGCACAAGAACAGGTATTTCAGGACCAATATGCCCTCCTATTCAAATTCATATATTTATTTTATATTCAAACGAAATTTTCAACAAGGGTTCTACAATCATCCTAAGTCCTCAAGCTTTTATTTGATACCAAGTCACCTAAATATTTATTGATTTACAAAGTTACAGCTATGCGTTGGAACTTTTTTGTTTAAAATGTGTACTATTTTCTTTCTGTCCGGTCCCGAATTAGTTGTTCTATACCTGTAGTTAGCATACAAACATTACATACATAAAAAATGTTTAATTGAATATATCTATCCTAACCAAAACTTTGTAGGAGAGAATGAGTAAGAATAAGAAATTAAAAATATACTAAACGTCAAAAGATATAATTTCTGAATTTGGAAGTCCAAAGTCATTTTCCAAACGATAAGGAAAAAATACTATGATATCAACTAGACGACCATATGGATACTGACGGTTCATAGGCATTTTTTGAAACAGAAGAAAAAAATGATCAAGGAAAGTTAATATTAAATAAACACTTTTATATCAAGCTTTCGGTATATATGATTTATCGAAAAGGCCATCCCTTGTATGTGTTAACGAGAATTTGCATGGTTCTCGGTTGCCTCATATGCATTTGGTCACGGTATTTCGTAGGTATCAGATGGTTTGTATTGTATATCTGTTTCTTAAATATACAAAGAAAGTAGTTCAAATAAAATCAACACCGATTCTATGAAGCGGAAGGTTTTATTTTCTGACAGTGACAAGTTATATATATATGATTACCATTGACGGACTACGAAGTTGAAAATAACAACAAAATTGCATTATATAAATTATGCATCGGTTGCATTGTCCACGTAAATTCTTTACATTTCACAAAAGATTTACTGAGATATGTATTTCTTCTTTGTTTGGCATAAAAGAGACTGTACATTCCAACTTCGTTAAATATGATCAAATATTGTAGAGTTTGATTTGCTTACAATGCCCGGGGTTATGGCGGTCTACAAAAAGTCGCAATTCATTAGGGGACGATCATTTTGTTTTCGGGAATGGGGAGGGAGAATTGTGAAAATTAATATTCTCGCATGGCAAGAGCTGGAAATAAATAATGTTGCCCAAGACAGGATGAAAATGAAGTATTGAGTATTCTAGCTGCAACACAAAATGTGTAGACAAATGAAAATAAATATCCGCAGAAAATAATAAGCATGCATAGTAAAAGATTAAAATGAATAATAAATCCCCAAAAATCCTAACCCTCCACGAATATCAAATTAACGTCCCCTTGTAAAATTTTCATTCGTGAACCAATCCAGTTGCTGAAAATGGGATTAACCCTATTCTATTTTTGTACGCAATGAACTCGTCCACGTCCAAATTGCCACCTGTGGAATCGTCCACTAAAATGTAAACAGTCAACACATGCCCGAAAACTTTGACGAGGCCAACAATTTGACCGAGACTCTAAATGACAAAAAAATAATTAAATTTGTCGAATTCAAACTGGAGGAACCTGTTTACTGGTTATTGTGTGGTCTTCCTGACGATTTTCTTATGACGGACACTCTGTCCCCTTCGGTCGCTTCCATGCTGGGACAAGTAAATGAAGATGGTGACAGCATTATTACCAGTTTAAAAACGGAACTCCTTGATGTAGATGTCGATGTCGGTATTTATGTTGATCAGGTAACTATGAAGATGAAATAAGAAATTAAAATGTGTAAATATAAATAAATTCCTATAGAATATTTTTGTCAGCAGTACTCCACGTGCAGTACTCCTTTTGAAACCTCACCCAATTACGGGTGTTAGATATTATTTTTTTCTGAGTAGCAGCAATTTTCAAACTCCAAAAATGAAAAGATTAAATGTGTTGATTAATAAAATTACATTTTCAGAGAAATATTATTGGAATTAGAATATACTCTGCGATTCAAGATGTTAATTGGTTTGTGATTTCATTTTTGCCTGAAATTTTTTTCTGAATAATATATCAGAAATTTTTAAATACCGGTATATAACATATTTTTGCAATGTTACAAAATAAAAATCGTGACCTATAAAACTTTTGATACATATATATATATATATATATATATATATATATATATATATATATATATATGACGTATATTTTAAAAGAGTTTCCACACGTTTTAAATGTTAATATTATTCACAACTTTCTGATTCGGAGTCATAAAAGTACAAACAGATCCCTTGTTGTCCTAGATGATATGCACGACTTGTCCTTTCCCGAAATTTTCTTTCACAAGCAATCAGTGTTCTAGGTTTTAAATTAAAACAAATGAATACGTGTCAGGTCATTTTCCAGAAAATTTGGCATGAGTTTATTTTGTGCCAATCAGTTACTTTGTGAAATACTGAAAAATATTGTTAAACTGGCATTCCATTTAAAAGTTCAATTTAGTAATTATATTTTACGGAAATGGATAATTTTTAAGAAATGTATAGTCAGCGAACACAGCAATAAAGATATTTTTTCTTTTGTATTTTAATGGTTTTTTTAAAAAAAATACAAGGTAAAAAAAATTTTTGGAAAAGATTGGAACTGTTAAAGTAAATAATTTGTTTAGCTGACGAACCTCCGTGTAGTTAAGGCAAAATGGAATATATTGTGCATTTTTAATTTGAAATGACGGAAATTGTGTTGATGAATGCACTTTTTCGAGCTTTTACACATTGTCTGATTGGCTGAAGTGATGGATAATTTTAAAGAAAGTTGATTTTTTAAACAAACACCAAGATTTCAGAAAATTAGCCCACATGGTCTGTTGTACTCTTTGGTCACGAATTTTTTGGAAACTGAATCGCAAAATTCAGAATGGGAGGAGATTTTAATGCGGACTCAACGGAAAACTAAGGGATTAAAAATAGTTTACTTACTCTGAATTATTGACTGCTGATCTTCAAATATGATCCTTGATTTTAAAATTTGTTTAAACTTATGCAAATTTGAGAATTGCACTGTTTCAGTGGAGAATTGTTAGAAGATATGCACCCCACCAACTTAGAATGAAAGATATCACGCATACTTGTCGCCCCTTTACCAAAAGAAAAGAACTCAGAGCAGAGGACTCCTTCTGCCTACAAAGATCACTGTCAGCATAAGTTTAACACTACATACAGAAATTTTACCATGACGGATATCAGTCTGAGTTAAAATGTGTTTTTAATATAAACACCCCTTCCGAATTCAGTGTACAAATCGTCATATATGAAAACAAGGATTTAGATGGTAAGATATAAATCCTTGATGAAAACAAAATGTGTAAAAAAAAATCCGTTTTGTTACATCTGTGGCATTTAAATAAAACTTGTTCTCAATCCTTTTTGGATTTTATGCATTTCTGTAAAAACTATCATAGATATTTTGCAGAATCCACTTGGCATTTGAATAAGTACACAGATCAACGTTCAAAATCAATGAACAATTTAAAACGACCGATGACGTTCGAATTTGTTACACACATGTATTATAGGTAATATTTTTCAATAATATACTCGAGCTTCACGGGCATTGGCTTACGGTGAATAGGTCGTTGATAAGTTCGGTAACATTTCAACAATTTTCTTAACAAAGGAGAAAGTGTTTTCCTCTCTCACTTGTCAGTCGGTTTGTCAGGCTATGAATTAAAATAAAGTTGCAAAGTAGAAAACAAACAGATGTGTCACTAAAACTTAGAAATTATTACCAATATAATGCACGAAAGAAAGAATGTTTTTTTGATAAACAATTTTTTGGAACAAGAATCAAAGAAAATAAAACGCCCAAAGTGGAATTGGGTAAAGAAATATGATCACATGGACTTCTTAAGTCCAGCAGTCGATTTTTTTTAAGGAGAGGACGTCCACTTACCTAGATTCTGAAAGATTTTGAAAGCATGAACACCACCCTTATTGCACTGTCGATCTTTGGGATTCTTACATTTCAGGAATACAGTATCCCGTACACACCCTCAGACACGGAAACACTGGATCCATCACTGGCAGATTCCGGTTTTAACGATGCCCTCAGTTTACAATGTTTAGAAAGCGTATTCGACTGGAAAGGAGAGAAAGGAGATGACAAAACAATAGACAGCCCAGCATCACCAACAGCTACATGTATGCACCACTGTTTAGATCATCAGGGGTTCGAGGATTATTTGGACGATATATATTACCATAGACTTAGTATAGAATATAAATACGTTGTGACGACTTGCCTGGAAAACCAACCTGAGGTAAAGCTAAGAATGTTTAATAATCTTAAAATCATCAGTTTCAATTTCAAATCTGTTAAAATTTTGAAAATAACAGCTATATGAGCCAAAGCTTAAAAATGTATTAGTTTTCAAAATGTTCTTTAAAGTATACACACACCCAGCTTGTCAAAAATGTATTTCGATATTCAGTCACAACATTATTAATGTTCAGACAGTTTGAGTTCATCTCCAATTTTTGATAGGGTTCAGTCTTTGATTTTCTGTATGGTGTATTTTGTGCGTGTTAGCCTCTTCGTATTTTTCATCTGTTCTGTGGCCATGATGTTTTCTGTTTTTTTTTTCAACCAGCGATTTGTGTTATCAATTGGTATGTTCTGACTTTTATAATCATCTTTAAAAATTAAAACGATTCGAAATCTAAGATGATCATTTTGCCTCTTTGTATTTTTCCTCTGTTCTGTGGCCATGATGTTTTCTGTTTTGTTTTTTAACCAGCGATTTGTGTTATCAGTTGGTATGTTCTGACCCTTATAATCATCTTTCAAAATTAAAACGATTCGAAATCTAAGATGATCATTTTCCTGAAGACACATTTTTATGCTTCTGATGGAAAATTGTTCAATTATTTGAAATTTAAACAAAATTTTGTTATGAAAATTATCTCTCTTTGGTTAAAGAGGCATTAGCTGTCAAATTCATGTTCACCGATTTGACTCAAATTATCATATTTGATTTATAACATACTTAAACGTATATTCAAATTACAATAAGTCTAAAATAAACAATTAACAATGCATGGACTCGATAATATATATCAGCATTTCGTGTGTATTTTATTCTAGACGCCATCTAATAAACCATCGAGATGACCTCCGAAGACTTCCGAGATATAAACATAAACATAAATATGAATAGATCGCGACCTCGTGCAATTGTGCTTTTCTAGGTCTGTTTGATTTCATGTTATAGGTTAAAAAAATAAGTTAATCATCGTTTTTATCTGTATAAGAATGATTTTTTGTGGATCGAATCAGTCAGCGATATTATTTCACCTTTGTTTAAATTTCAATGTTGACATTCTTTTTATTGTAATGGCTGAACACGACTAATACATGCGTAACCAATCTCCAGCTAATGGGTTAAAATGAAGTTCACATGAATACGGATTCAATGAGGTCGAATTATTCACTTGCAAGTTTATCAGCGATGCTTCTTAGCTTATTTTGACAAAATTGAACAAAAGTGGCTGCTAAAAGCTAAAAGGGAATTATTGTTTCACTATTTCACTTTCATTAATGATTGAACAACAACAAAATCATATTTCAATTTTTGTATATCTCGTAGCTAATGCCCCTTTAAGAACTTTGATTTTAGAAGAGTTATTTGCAAATTACGTGTATCTGCTCATAAGCTTCAAATTGAATTTGGCCGTTTTTCAAATATTTCACGAAATGAAAGAATTTACAAAAAAATGCTCCTCTGGCTGTGTTGAAGATGAAATCCAATTTTCATGTGAAAAATTTAACTCTAATAGGGATGCTCTCTTTGACTTTGTTTGCCAAAAAATTCCAAACTTTTCTATACTGGACAATCAGCAAAAATTCATTTATTTATTAAGCTGTGAAGACAATCAGGTCCTTAATGCTGTTGGAAAATTTATTAAGGTTCATGTGGACCCTTCGTCTAAAATGGCTGCATTTTCACCTCAAAATTTACTCTGAGTACAGACAAACCTGTGCATCTGGAAAAGTTTTAATGCATAGCATGCCCTAGATAAATAAAATTCAAATATATTTTATGTTTTAGAAAATTAAAAACTTAACCGGATTTTGCAGTGCACTTTTTTTCATTCCTCCAGAAGGTGCCAAAATAAACTAAGTTGGGAAAGAGGTTTGAGAACTTCCCCACAGGTAATAATTGAAGTGAACTGTTTTGTTTGACATGGACAATAGATGGACAATAGATACCTGACAATAATTGGTGATTTAAACTGTGTACCTGAGTGGACCATATCAAGTGAAACTCAACTGTTTGTTAATTTTATCATCTTCTGCGGGGACGAAAAAAAGTGCACTGCTAAATCCAGTTCAGTTTTAAATTTTCTAAAACATAAAATGCATCAGAAGTTTATTTATCTAGGGCATGCTATGCCTTAAAACTTTTCCAGATGCGCAGGTTTGTCTGTAAAAGTAAATTTTGAGGTGAAAATGCAGCCATTTTAGCCAAAGGGTCCACATGAACCTTAAGTCAATATGAGTTGGATCTATTTATTTTTCATGCAACTATATTATATACTATAAGCCAAGGGCTTTATAACAGTCTAATTGCAATGTGATTGTATATTTAAATTATATGTATCTATGCTAATCAATGTTCTTTTTCCTGTTTAACGCTTTATTCAAAATACACTCAGACGCAGATTTCCTGCGTAACAGGAGCGACAAATACACATAAAATTACAAATAACATAGAAGCGAAATGAGTAGAATACATAAAATGAAACAGTATAAATTTTTTTTTCAAAACTCAATGTATACTAAACCTTTTGACCAGATCGCAAAAAGTCCGTGCAATCTGTAAAGTTTAAATAACCACGTGATCACATGACCACAATCAAATGATAATGGATAGTAACAAAAAGTGTAACATATATAAATATATTCATATGTGATGATTTACAGAGAAAGCAGTAGTTTTTCAACCTTTTGAATGAAAATAGACATGTATTCTCTATATGCCCCTTGTGGACCCTTAATTGGTAATAAAATATGTTCTTGTTCTTGTTCTTCTATCATGTGACAAATGAGTCCTTTCGAAAAAGTTTCGTGCTTTCACAACGTCAAATAGCCGACTCCGAACTAACGTCGACAAAATGTGTGTGCTGCCGCCAGGAGTTGAGTATAACTGTTATCATACATAGTAAAACATTTTTAATTCGTCAACATTACAATGGAACATTACGATCATTATGTATATTTGTAGGTAGATTCAGGTATGCGTGGCTTACTGGTCAGTTGGATGACCGGTGTTCATCACCAGATGAAGCTATGCCAGGACACTCTATTCATTGCTGTAAACATCGTAGACAGGGTTCTAGACGTTATGCAGGCATCGCGTGATTATCTACAACTTCTAGGAATAACTACAATACTAATTGCTTCGAAACTGGTATGTATTATAAGCATTAGAGTTTAACCATGATTTGTGTAATAAAATATATTTATATATTCCAAACTTTTGTCATCTTGTCCCAAATACTGTTCTGGTTCCCCAGTTAAAGTAGTAGCTATTCGTTGAATTCAGTACTTTTGACATTTGGGGCATATTGAAGTTGTGAAACTAATAATATGGGGCTGTTTAAGGAATTTATTCTTATTTTTCCAAGGTTGAAAAGTCAAACTGAGCTATTTTTGAAGTAAAATTAATAAAAGATGGTACTTACTTTGTGTATTATACTCCTTCAAAAATCATAGAAAAATGCACACACATTTTAGTGTACACCAGTTAGTCATCTCTTATTGTGAAGTTGTTTAAAAGATTTTCCCCCATTTATACATTGTATATTCAATTCATTTTAGGCCATTCTTCCTTGTTGAAGAAACCTTTGGTACAACCCATATATTTTGCGTCTTTGATCTTTTTTTGTTGGAAAGAAGACTTTCAAGTCTTTTGAAATCCGTATGCTGTTGGCTAGTGTTTCTAAATTTGACATATCCCTGACTAGCAAAGATGTGTATGTGCAAACCATGTCGTTTACTTCTATATTAAGGGTTCTTAAGATGAGAAGAATTTATATGAAGATATAACGACTATTTGAGTCTCAGGCTCACTTTGATCTGTATGCGGTATATTCACTGGAAACATTTTTTTCAGGAGGAAGTAACGCCGCCAGAAATCAGCGAATTACTTGGTTGCTGTGACGGGGTGTACACAAGGGAAATGGCGAAGCAGTTAGAAAGGGTTATATTAGATGCTATCAGATTTGATTTAATGGTCCCAACTTCACAATTTTTCTTAGAATACTACGCAACATCCTGCATTAATTCATTTCAAGGTTTCCAAGGAGACCAACTCAGGTGAGTTATAATTCAGTCAGAATTAGAATGGTGAAACTTGTTTTAAGGGTTAAAGACGAGAGAGAGAATAATCAAAATTAAGAAATGCATCTGGTTAAGAATGCAAATTGCATTTTTATAAAGTTTATCGGATTTGCATGAAAAAAAAACCTTGAGTTCTTCCTTGGTCTGGTTAACCTACTTTTAAACTAATTGAGAAAAGTAGTAAGAGAATGTCAGTGTTTTCTGCACAGTTTTTACCATCCATCTGAGATATATGTGATAATATGTAGTGCTTTTAAGGAGAAATCATCACCAATAGTTGATAACGCCTCACTGGATTACAGTCTTCTGGCTTGCCTCACTGGATTACAGTATTCTGGCTAGGGATAGGCATATACAGAATTTGACAGGGTTTAACATGTTTGTCAGTGCTCAACCCACCCTTAACCTGGTACAATGGTGTAACAACACCACATAAGAACACACTGTAAAGAAGGAAACGCTTGTCTTAGCAGATTTGTAATAGTCACAAAAAACAAAACAAATATCTAATAGTATTCGCAAATTGTAATCACTATTTATACTAATAAACAAGCATTCTGAGAGTATTGCATGGCAATACATACCGTATAGCGGGTTATTTTCGCGGGGTGTTTATTTTCGCTTATTTTGGCGGTTCAGGGGAAATCGCGAAAATAAATTCCACGAAAATTTATACAAACGTTCGATACTTTTTTTCGATAGCTAAAGCGTTTTGTAAACTATTTATTTTCCCGTTCGACGGATCAATAACGGTTTATGTTAATTTAAACACCATCAATGCCAAAGGCCATTGTTTACTGACTGTAAGGTGTTGATTAGTTTATTGGTTGCATAATAAAATGAATGATAATAGAAGAGTGCAAGGTACCCTGTCAGGTATTTTATCCTTATTAATTAGTGTAAAATTATATAAGAGTTGCAAGTCATTTATTATAATTTCATATTCTAATTAGTACAACAAAGGTCCGGTCAATTTCATAACTTAACAACCGTAACATTAACATGAAGTTTGTGCACCTGTGACAAATAACTATGTACCAGTATTCTATTGATTAACTGTATCAAAATATAATCAATAAATAAGACGTCATGCAGGTAAAACAATCACTTTACCATAACAATAGACCCTTGTTTGTCAATTTTACAACTTTTTAACTGCAACCATTTCAGTATCCGCCAAAATATTTAATTGGGATTAAAGAATCTGCCAAAATAAAAACCGCCAAAATTTTTCGTATACTTTTTTGCCCCTAAATCTCGAAAATAACCCGCTATACGGTAGTCCCCTACCGGTTAAGAATTCATTGTACTGGAACAAAATGCTAACTTGATCTATAACTTGTCATTGTGTAAACTATATAACAAATATCAAGTCAATATCTTCAAGCATGATGAAAAAAAGTGTGAAAAACTGAGTATTTGAGGGAATTTTCTAAGTCCAAGGACCATAACTCTGCACAAAATCATCAGACCAGAACACATTGGAATTTGATCTGTAACTTGTCATGATAAAACTATATACCAAATATTAAATCAATATCTTCAAGTATGACAAAAATAAGTGCGGAAAACTGATAATTTGACTTATTTTTTAAAGTCCAAGGACCATAACTCTGCATAAATCTCAGACCAGAACAAAATTCGAACTTGATCTGTAACTTGTCAAGATAAAACTATGTACTAAATTTCAAATCAATATCTTCAAGCACGAAGAAAAAAAAATGTGGAAAACTGCCGGACTGACGGATGGACAGACAGACAGACGGTCGGACGGAGTGCAAACCTAAAGTTCCCTTCGACTTCGTCGGTAGGGGACTAATAAACTATTCTCCCAGACTAAAAGAGGTTTGAACACGTTTTACCTATATTTACAGGCTACCCTATGTATTATTGCTGCTCATTTATTATTTTTAAAGGGTTTTCACACTAGATTTATTATATATTCGGTGCTCATTGTTGGTTGCAAATGATATTTGAGAATGTCTGCCGTCAATATCAAAATCTTCTAAAAACGAAATTTAAAACGTTAAGATACGACATGACAACGACTGACGAAGATCCTGACTTCTGATAGGCAAAAGAATACATGGAGGGTTAAAAGAGTTTTCTGAAATCTCAACTCCACCCGTAATATATCTTGATCATTGGACTAACAAGATATTATACCGCATTAAAGGATTTTCACAGTCACTGAAAGCACGTTCAAAGCACTTGATTTGCTGATATGTAATCTTGTCGTCCCACCCTATAATAAGTAGTCAGTATTAGTAATTGATGCCAGCTTACAGATGCAGACTCTTTGAAACTTTTAAGTATTTCACGTCCGTTTTGATGTGGTTTAATCTCTGATAATTCATTGCGATTCGATTTGTAGAAGTTGTTACTGTTTTTTAATCTGGACGTTAAAAATATATTAATAGAAGAACGCCCACCTGAAGTACAATGCTTTTCATGTTTGTTTTATAATTTCTGCCGTTGAAAAATAATATTAAAAATTGGAACGTTTTTGTTATGATTGTACATATTGTGGTATAAGTGTATAATGGTAAGCTACAGATCGAGTTCATGTTTAGTAAAACTTTTATTTTAGATTCGGTATATTGACGAACATTACAACGTAATCTCTGATGAGCTTTTCACCGCATATGAAAATCATATTCAGTAACAAATAGAACAAAGCATAGAGCATACAAAGAACACTAGCATATACAAAGCTAACACAAAAAACACTAAGACAGTCTATAAAAAGATGATAATTTATAAACAACTATGTAAGATCAGAACTTGAGTATAGTAAAACTTTCTTTATTTTTTTGTTGTTACTGAAAAGTAATATGAGCGTTATTATACAATTATAGCCTTTGTATGAAGTCGATACAAGGATATATTGACCTGAAAGAAGTATATAGACTGAGGACGAAGTCCGAGGTCGATATACTTCTTTGGGTCGATATATCCTCTATTGACCTCATACGAAGGCTATAATTGTTATATTATTAACTTCAGACCATAATTATATCAAAATCGTCAGTGTAATATATTCGATCAGTTGATTTTGTTTTAATTTTATATATATCATATTGTCTCCTAGACAATAACAACGTATTAGTTGTTATTTCATTTATTTTTTATGGTTTTTGTCGAGCCTGCGACTTTTGTCGCAGAAAGCTCGACATAGGGATAGTGATCCGGCGGCGGCGGCTACGGCGGCGGCGGCGGCGGCGGCGTTAGCTAACTTCTTAAAAGCTTTATATTTTAGAAGGTGGAAGATCTGGATGCTTCATACTTTGTATATGGATGCCTCATGTTACGAAGTTTCCGTCAGTCACATGTCCAATGTCCTTGACCTCATTTTCATGGTTCAGTGACTACTTGAAAAAAAAGTTAAGATTTTTTGTAATGTTAAATTCTCTCTTATTATAAGTAATAGGATAACTATATTTGGTATGTGCGTACCTTGCAAGGTCCTCATGCCCGTCAGACAGTTTTCACTTGACCTCGACCTCATTTCATGGATCGGTAAACAAGGTTAAGTTTTGGTGGTCAAGTCCATATCTCAGATACTATAAGCAATAGGTCTTGTATATTCGATGTATGGAAGGACTGTAAGGTGTACATATCCAACTGGCAGGTGTCATCTGACCTTGACCTCATTTTCATGGTTCAGTGGTTATAGTTAAGTTTTTGTGTTTTGGTCTGTTTTTCTTATACTGTATGCAATAGGTCTACTATATTTGGTGTATGGAATGATTGTAAGGTGTATATGTCTAGCTGGCAGGTGTCATCTGACCTTGACCTCATTTTCATGGTTCAGAGGTTATAGTTAAGTTTTTGTGTTTTGGTCTGTTTTTCTTATACTGTATGCAATAGGTCTACTATATTTGGTGTATGGAATGATTGTAAGGTGTACATGTCTAACTGGCAGGTGTCATCTGACCTTGACCTCATTTTCATGGTTCAGTGGTCAAAGTTCAGTTTTTGAGTTTTGGTCTTTTTTTCTAATACTGTATGCAATAGGGCTACTATATTTGGTGTATGGAATGATTGTAAGGTGTACATGTCTAGCTGGCAGGTGTCATCTGACCTTGACCTCATTTTCATGATTCAGTGGTCAAAGTTAAGTTTTTGAGTTTTGGTCTTTTTTTCTAATACTGTATGCAATAGTTCAACTATATTTGGTGTATGGAAATATTTTATGATCTAAATGTCAGTCACGCAGTTTTTATTTGACCTTGACCTCATTTTCAAGGTTCATTGCTCAGTGTGAAGTTTTTGTGTTTTGGTCTGTTTTTCTTAAACTGTAAGCAATAGGTCAAATATATTTGTTGTATGGAAGAATTGATAGTTGTACATGCCTGCCTAGCATGGTTCATCATTCCTTGACCTCATTTTCATGGTTCATTGGTCAATGTTTAGTTTACTTGGTTAATGTTAAGTTTATGTGACAGTTGTAATAAAGCTTTATATTTAGGACTATCAACATAATATCAATGATTAGTAAAGAAGGCGAGACATTTCAGCGTGTGCACTCTTGTTTTTTGTACATTTTATGAATTTGAAGATTTTTTTTCTTCAAATAATCGATTATAAGTATAATTTTTTTTTAAACTTTTAACAATATCATGAAATTCATTACATGACGTCACAAAGTATATCGGTTTATAGATATTCTAAAAATAACCGTGCAATATGCTTTTTGCTATCCGCCGTTTTCTATCTACCTTCGAAAATATAGTTTAACATTGGACTATCCCTGAACGAATCAAATTAGTTAAAATATACGAATTAATAATATTATACAATTATAGCCTTTGTATGAGGTCGATACAAGGATATATTGACCTGAAAGAAGTATATTGACTGAGGACGAAGTCCGAGGTCGATATACTTCTTTGGGTCGATATATCCTGTATTGACCTCATCAATAGGCTATAATTGTTATATTATTAATTTCCGACCATATTTGTATCAAGATCCCGATTGATTTTTTGATTTTGTTGGAATTTTATAGATATCATATTGTCTCCTAGACAATAACAACATATAAATTGTTATTTCATTTACTTTTTTTTTTACATCTTATGTATATGAAGATTTTTTTTCTTCAAATAATCAATCATAGATATTTTTTTTATAAAACTTTTAACAATATCATGAAATTCATTACATGACGTCACAAAGTATATCGGTTTTTAGATATTCTATAAATATCCGTGCAATATGCTTTTTGCTGTGCAATATGCTTTTTGCTATCCGCCGTTTTCTCTCTACCTTCGAAAATATAGTTTAACATGTGACTATCTCTAAACGAATCAAATTAGTTAAAAAATACGAATTAATAATATATGCAAGTAACATCTCTGAAGAGTTCTTTATCTGACTGTTACATATAAATTCAGACAGTACACTGCAAACACGGCTTGCAAAAAGTGACAAGCATATCAAAAATATCTTTCATTTTATTAAAGTTTTTTTTATTTATTTTTCTTTTTTTTTCTTGACCGTACTTTATATTCTGAGCTGATCAAAGTGTAGTTCATTTTTATTTAATGAGAGTTCCAGTTTGTTCCGAATGAACAACTTTTAAAAAAACACAGTTCTTTCGTCATTTCAAGGGCATGTAGAGGCATTTATGTCGTTCCGAAACATTTTCTTTTGAAACCTTGACAAGACTAGTTTAAATAGCCAATAGTGAGAAGATATACGAAGTAAGCAATACAATGGCCTACTTCGGGCGCTATCTATAGTTAATATAGTCAATCTAGAGTTCACCAAAATTAACTTTAGTTCGACCATAATGACGTCACCACCAAACTATAATTCGACCCTGCCACTGCTCGGGTTTCTCCATTTTGTAAAATGGCCGACAATTGTGGCGAGACCATTTGTTTAAACTGAAAATGTTATTTTTAACTCCCAACCTTTTCATATAATTATATAAAACACGACCAGATGCATTTTCTTGATGGTGTTGGTTGTTTTGATATTATTTAAGCTGAATAATATGATCCACATCATAAATATGGGTGATCGTACTGTGCTATGGTCGAGCCAAAGTTAACTTTTTTTTATTCGAGCGTCACTGTTAAGTCTTTTCAAGACAAAACGTGCGTCTAGTGTACAAAATTTTAAACCTGGTATCTATTTTAACTTTATTTGGAGAACTTTGGGTTGACTATATTAACTAAAGATAACGCCCGATGTAGGGCTAGTCAACACCGCCACGTTTACAAAATTTATACACGGGAAATGCGTTTTGGCGAATTTATTAACTAGACATGCGCACTAATTCGACCTTAACTAATACTATGGTAAACCCACGAAGTAGGCCCTAGTCTTTGAAACCATTGGTTTAAATCTGACCGTCTACTGTAACTTAGAACTGTTTGTTTGTTATGAAATGAAATGGAACATTATTCTATTTACTTAGTCCTATATATATTTTTGTAAATTATAGTTATATATCATAGTGCATCATAAGCCTATTTGGCTTGCTGAAGTTTTATATTATGTATTTAATGTAACGATATACTTTATTCAGGTTGCACTATAATAAACAATTCTTCTTCTTCTTCTTCTTAGGGGCCTCGGTGGCCGAGTGGTTTAAGTAGTTACTTCTGTAATCACTAGCCAGTCAACACTGAGGTTGTGAGTTCGAACCCCGCTCGTGCGGGTGCACTCGACTGCAATCTTAATTGACTAGGATTGTCAGTTTTCCTATCGAAGGTCGGTGGTTTTCTCCGGGCACTCCGGTTTCCTCCACTAATAAAAACTGGCCGCCACGAAATAGCCCAAAAGCTGTGCTTAAAAGTGGCGTTAAAACACCAAAAATCAAATCTTCTTCTTCTTCTTCTATTATGTTTGAAAGAAATCAAACTTAAATTACATGTATCTATGAAATTCGCTTAAAATGAATTTGAGGATTTTATTAAATATTTTCAGACAATCACGTGCTCTTGCTCGCTGTGTGCTAGAGCTCTCTCTGCAAGATTATGACATTTCACAAAGACGCCCATCAATGCTGTCATTGTGTGTTTGGAAAATAGCCGTGGAGGAGACCAAAAGTGACGACGGTGACTACTTACCGCCTGGCTTATTTCATAGCTGTGAAGATTTTGAATTTATCTACAAAGAAGTTAAGACTTTTTCAGAAAATTTACTCCATAATTTACCGGATGTTTCAAGAGTTTGTGAACATTACTATCGGCTTTATGGTATCGAGTAAAGAGAAAAAGTATCAAATGTTTCAATTAAAACAGTCTTTCATGAATAGTGCTGAACAATGTGATTTTGTAACATTCCCAAGTAACTCTATTGCTTACTAACCTTTACAATTAAAATCATTAAAAGTGTTTGTCGAAATTATTCCAATGGAACAAGTGAAAAACAACTGGCATATTCCTGACTTAATACAGGCATTTTCCGAAGAAAATTGGTGGGTTAATATAAAGATAAGGAGATGAGGTATGATTGCCAATGAGACAACTATCCACCAAAATTCAAATAAAGTACTGTAAATTCAGAAATTATTGTGTGCATTTATTATTGCGATTTTTCAAGAATGGACAAAAATGCGAGATCAATTATTGCGATATCAGGAAAATCTGCATACAGGTATGTGTAACAGATATCTGAATGCAAGTTCTTATTATTGCGATAATCACTCAGTCGCATTATTCGCATTAATAAAAACCTCGCAATAATTTCTGAATTTACAGTAGATGTAAGCAACTATAGGCAACCGTACGTCTTTCAACAATGAGAAAAACCCATACCGTATAGTCGGCTATAAAAGGCCCCGATATAAAAAATATGAAACAATTCATTTGAGAAAACTAACGGCATAAGTTATAACAAAACTAAACATGGTTTAAACTTATTTATGGCATGCAGGTGTAAATGTAAAAGGTGGCATGCATAATGTAGTTTGTCATCCTCCTTTGTAAAAAAATCTACCGCCTGATGATGTAGCCAAAAGGAAATAAAATAAAAGTGTTGAGGTCAGTTAGAATAGAAGTGCATCAAATTTTCGTTCCCTGTGTAACTAGTTTGAATCTGATATGTATTGGCGGATGGTTATCCGAGCAAATGGTCCAACTTTCACATTCCTTTTCTACCAGCGAGAGATTTGAAGGTTTCAAGATATTTAGCTATGTTAATGTGAGGGGTAGTGCATGACCTCCATAGTCCTATGCTGCACTAGATTGATTGATTGATTGATTGATGTTTGCTTAACGTCCAGTGGCAACAATTTCATGCATGTTCAGGACGAGAGCAAATTTAAAACAATTAAATACAATATGAAGGTTCTGTAATAGAGTCTGTCCAGGATGAGTCTTGGAAATTTGGACTGTCCCCGGAAAATGAGGGTATCTTGGATAGGGATAGAAATTTGCCTTGTAACAGGCCACCTACGGACCCCCAAAGAATTGTTGCAAGGATTCAAGTTTGGATAAGAATTTGTTTAAGTGATGATTATGTTTACTGCTTATTATTCGATTTTGATGGTAATCTTTCTCTGTTATATCACTGTGCTTATTCATAAAATTGTCCAGTAGAAAAAATAGATGAAAGTAGGTACTTTACATATGTCTTTTTAAACCCCTTGTAATCTGTTTCTCTCTTCGTTTCTTACATTTACAGGACAATTATAACATATTATATTTACTTTGTAGCTCACCTAGCCCACATGTTCAAGTGAGATTTTCTCATCACTTGGCGTCCGTCGTCGTCCGTTAACTATTACATTTTTTTTCTCTGAAACGAATAGGCCAAAGTTAACCAAACTTGACCATAATCACCATTTGAGTATCTAGTTTAAAACATAAGTTCGATGATCCCGCCAGCCAACCAACATAGCCAACATTGGTAAAAATAGAACATAGGGGTTAAATGCAAGTTTTGCCTTTCATCAAGAAAACCGCTTTGAATAGAGATATTTTGACAGGGGTAGAAATGTTTATAAATCTGAGATCTACCGATTGTCAATTTAAATCGAAACTGCCAGAAGATTTCCTATAGCAGTTATTGTCCTTAAATTACGAATTTTACCAATTTTTGTCGAGCTTGCGACATTTATGTCGCGAAAGCGAGACATAGCGATTCTAGATTTCGTCGTTATCGGCGGCGTCAACATTTAGTTTCAGTCTGTGATTAAAGTTTTTATGCCCCCGCCGTAGCGGAGGGGGCATTAAGTTTTACCCTTGTCCGTCTGTACGTCCGTCCGTCCGTCCCAAAGTTGGTTTCCGTTCTCTAACTTAAGTTTGCCTCAACCAAATGTTATGAAACTTATACACAATACTTATTACCACAAAACTCAGATCAAGTACAAATTTGGGTAGCGTCACTTTTACAGTTCTTCAGTTATGTCCCTTTATAACTTTATATGATATGCAAGCGGGGGCATCATCTGTGTCCCATGGACACGTTCCCTATTTATTTAAGACATCAATAACTTTAACAAACCTTCATGGAATTTTATGAAATTTGGACAGAAGCTTGTTTCTGACCAAAAGACAGTATCCATTGCAAAATTTGAAAATATTTATTGTTCATTTTTCCGAATTGTAATGTTAAATGGACTTAGTTTTTTTTTACAGTTAACAAGTAGATACAGTTAGAGGTTAAAGTTTTTTAGTCACCAATAACTTTGTCAAACATTCATGAAATTTTATGACCAAAATACAGCATTCAGAAAATTTTTGAAAATTTCGTTATTTTACCGATAAATGGACTTAGTTTTTTTGTCGAGCCTGCGACTTCTGTCGCGGAAAGCTCGACATAGGGATAGTGATCCGGTGGCGGCGGCGGCGGCGTTAACTAACTCCAAAAAGCTTTATATTTTAGAAGCTGGAAGACCTGGCTGCTTCATACTTTGTATATGTATGCCTTATGTTATGAAGTTTCCGTCTGTCATATGTCCATGGTCCTTGGTCTCATTTTCATGGTTCAGTGACTACTTGAAAAAAAAAAAGCAGATTTTTTGTAATGGTTAGTTAAGTTTTTGTGTTTTGGAACTTTTTTTCTAATACCATATGCAATGAGTCAACTATATTTGGTGTATGGAAATATTTTACGATGTACATGTCAGCTGGCAGATTTTACTTGACCTTGATCTCATTTTCACGGTTCATTGCTCAGTGTTAAGTTTTTGTGTTTTGGTCTGTTTTTCTAAACTATAAGCAATAGGTAAACTGTATTTGGTGTATGGAATGATTGTAAGGTGTATATGTCTATCTGGCAGGTATTATCTGACCTTGACCTCATTTTCATGGTTCATTGGTCAATGTTAAGTTTTCATGGTTAAGTTTGTTTCTTAGATATTATAAGCAATAGGTCAACTATATTTGGTGCATGGAATGATTGTAAGCTGTATATGTCTGTCTGGCAGGTATCATTTGACCTTGGCGTCATTTTCATGGTTCATTGGTCAATGTTAAGTTTGTTTCTTAGATACCGGTACTATAAACAATAGTTCAACTATATTTAATGCATAGACTGAATGTAAGGTGTAAATGTCTATCTGGCATGGTTCATCTGATCTTGACCTCATTTGTATGGTTCATTGGTCAATGTTAAGTTTTCTAGATTAAGTTTGTTTCTTAGAAACTATAAGCAATAGATCAACTAAATTTGGTGTATGGAATGATTGTAAGGTGTACATGACCTCATTTTCTTGGATAATGTTAAGTTTATGTGATACTTGTAGTAAAGGTGTAATACCACCATTGATTTTCCCCTATTTGTCTATGTTAAATTTGCACTTTTCAAAAAATTGTGCAGAATTTATCTTTGTTTCAAATAAAGAAATACTTGGCATGAGTAAAGTTTTATCCTGCCCAGTACTATAGAAAAAAATTCACATAACATTTCATCGCATATAAGAAAATAACCATCACTGGAAGTTAAACAATCAAATTTTCCCCCTTTTTTAACCTGTGTACAAGCTTTAGTAACCATGTAACCTCAAGTTTCCAAAATATTCTATAGAAACCCCAAATAAAAAAATAATGGTGCTTTGAAATACCCAAGATATATGTTTATGACCCAGAAATGTTTTACTGCAATGAAATGTAGGATCAATTACCTACAACTGTCAAATTCAAGGGAATATTTTTTTTCGACCTATTTTATGCAACCGGATGTGACGTACTATGATTTGGTAGTATTACACCTAAAGCTTTATATTTAGGACTATCAACATAATATTAATGGTCAGTAACTAAAGCAGGCGAGACATTTCAGCGTGTGCACTCTTGTTTAACAGTTAACAAGTAGATACAGTCTGGGGTTAAAGTTTGTTACACATCAATTACCTTGTCAAACCTTCATAGAATTTTATGAAACTTTAGCAGAAGCTTACTCATGATTAAGAGAACCTTAGGAAAATATATTTTATTTCATTGTCAGTATTTTTCTGAAAGATGGACTTTTTTTACAGTTAATGTTTATAGACAGTCTGGGATTAAACTTGTTGGACTTTTAAATATGTTAATGAAATAGCATCTAAAGCAAAAGTTTTTTTTAATTCTGTATTTTACTGATAAATGGACATACTGTTTAAGTCAACAATTCACACTTACACTGTTCACCCCTGACTACACCAAGATAGCAAATTTATTTCTTATGAAGTGTTCCTTTACTCATTTGAAAAATATCACAGTCAGATCAAACTCAAGAAAAAAGTAAAAGAGAAAATCCTGTAGGATTGGGTTTATTTTGACAAAATTCAGCCACATCATTCATTTCAGCTGTCTCAATTACTAAAAACATAAAATTGACCAACTTGTTCTGATTAATCATGCTAAAGGCCATTTAATACAATAATTATTTTTTTCAAAATTACAAAAGACATATAAACCATTGCCATGGTTTTGTCGGTTTCTCGCATCTTGTGAACCTTTAAGATTTGATGCCCATTAGGTATCTTCTATTCGTGTTTTCTACAGATATGGTATGGTTTATTAATAATTTTCCAGGAAGCATGAAAAAACTGAAAATAGCCATTGTATTATGAAAATATTCACGGTAATATATTTATTAATCATTTGATGCCTTCTCTAAACTATTAAATTTCATGACATAAACACGCAAATACGAAATTATTTGTTCAATATTACGCACATACGATTTTTTTTTCTCACCTGAATCTGGGCTTCAAGCGACTTGAAATGTTGACGTCTATAATACTCGTCTTTGTTGTTACTGGATATGTTATTGCTGAAAGTTCATGCCACACAACAGATGGTAAGTACACCAAGATATCGCCTTTATTAGACTCATAAGAGGGTATAATTTTTGAAG